AAATAACAAAAAAGTTTTTAAATAATATGTACTTTTGTATGCGCGTATTTCCAAAGTCTCTGCAATCGAATAATTTTTCGACGCGTCGCGACGCCCAGCTCTTTGCAGGCATCGAATTTTTTAAACTTTAGGAAATATCTGCTTGACCCCACACTTTGACTACTTTTTACATAAATTAAATATTTCTTTTCGTTTTGGAATTATTGGCGTGCGGAGTTTTAAGTGAAAAACCCTGTATATATATATATATATATATATATATATATATATATATATATATATATATATATATATATATATATATATATATATATATATATATATATATATATATATATATATATATATATATATATATATATATATATATATATATATATATATATATATATATATATATATATTCTCACGTATTGATTCACGGATGGAAAAATGTGATGACACTATATTCCGGGATATCATCCGTTCGCTCGTTGAACTCCGACTGGAATCCTGCATCCGACTGGAATCCTGCAAATCTTGCATCCGACTGGAATCCTGCAGACGTTTCGCCAAAATCTCACTTGGCATCTTCAATGCTCGCGCTCCGAGTGTTCGAAGTGTTTTCGGAGCGCGAGCATTGAAGATGCCAAGTGAGATTTTGGCGAAACGTCTGCAGGATTCCAGTCGGATGCAAGATTTGCAGGATTCCAGTCGGATGCAGGATTCCAGTCGGAGTTCAACGAGCGAACGGATGATATCCCGGAATATAGTGTCATCATATATATATATATATATATATATATAGTGGCGACTGAAATCCTTTGGGAGTCAAACACTTTTATTCAGTTCTGGGCGTCTATCAACAGAATTAACCTCTTAAATGTAAAACAATTAAGTTGTCCCTTCTCCAAGAAGATGGCAACTTAATAACATCTGTATTATACGTTTTAAGTATTTTACAGTACCTTAACCGCGGGCCTTCGCAGGACCGTGGTAAAACCCATTAAGTAGGTCTTGCCTGAGATGGACCGTAACGAATATTTGTAGAAACTTGAAATTTTTTTTTGAAACGTAAATGGATCGTTTTCAAATTATTTTTATTTATTTTATTTATATTTATTTTCGAATAAGTAGAAGCGTTTATTTTAACAAGAGGCCATACGTATCGTTCTTAAAGTCTAATTTAAATTCCAATTTGTTCGTATATATTAAGGAGCTATTTGAATGTGATCCTTTCAGTATATACATATTTATGTACTTGATTCTCGAGCCATTCTGTGAGGCTGTTTCCACTCGACAGTTCAAAGGGTAAGGGTAAGTGCCTGTATTCTATTTACCTTACAGGTAAGTTTGAAAATAATCATTTGTCTTATGTGCCTGTTGATTAACAACATTCATTCCTCTTGTATTTTTGTGGCTTCTATATAGTTCTTCGATTTGTAAACAACAACAATCAAAAATTTTTTGAAGGTTCCTTTTTTTAACACTTTAAAATGTGGAGACCGTGGAATGAAGCAGATGTTTCCCTGTTAGAATTTGAAGACGAAGTGGAGATGGTAGTCGTACCTAATGACAATTTAAAAGACTAACTACCTCAGAAAATAAAAAAAAAACGGATCCATTTGTCGTCGAATGCTAATTCTGGTCGAAGTATACCAAAATGTTCTATGTTTTCTTCTTCTGTAAAATATTTGGAACACAACACACAAATTTTCACTATCCCACTCATCAACATTTGTTCTTGTTCTCTGAATCCAGATTTGTTTAAGTTCTTTATCTTTCGCAAACTCAATAATTCTACTGTTACTGCAAACAGCCATATCGAAAAGTTAAAATCATCAGCTATTTCTAATACAGATTGCGTTTACGTTATCTTGAATGAGAACATCCGTTTAATGACATAAAAACTTGTATTTTGTGTTCCGGACGCCGCATTAATTTGCTTCGCATCCAGGATAGACAAGCACTAATAACATCTTACGCCTTTGTGTAATGCCATCAGGTGAAGTTTAATATTATGAATACGAACCATCGCGTAAAGTTTCATAAAAGAAAAACGCAAAGAAAACCGAAAACAGCAGTCAGAGGATGACAATACAACGCCACCATTGTGCCTCTCTCCTCGGCCACTTTTACACCGCCACCAGGTATGCAAATAAGCTGCAAAAGAAAGGCGGGTTCGTCTTCTTCGAAGTGGGTATTTGACACAGATTCCCATTGTTAGAACACGAAGAACACAATGGAGGCGGTTTGCAGGGAGAGTTGCGTAACGTGAAAGGAAACAAAAGTTAAGTTCGCCGCGAGTTATGATATTTTTTACTTCCTTGCTCTACCACCACTTTGAAAAATCGATTACTGAATGATCATAGTACCTGTTACGGGCAAGACTAGAGATTACACTTACAATTTGCACTATTGTATTGATAAACTAACTCTTTGATTTGAATTTAAATCTACGTTTGTTTTGAAGTCGTCGCTTGGCGAAAAATAAATTCCAAACAATAAAACACGCACAGTAGAATTGTATTTGCCACGGAGTTTCACCCGCCCATAGAAAACCTGTAATAGATAAACAATAGCGCGAGGTTATTCAATAGCGACCAACTTTTTTTCGATCCGTAATTAATACAAAGAGAGTAATCGATATGGCGTCCTTTTCATTATAGGAAATGTTGAATGCATACGTATCCTGACCCATTTCCCATGACGAAACAGTGAGACTGACCAGCTTTACGAAGTGCATTTCATTTTTTTTTTCGCGGCATTGGTTAAAGAAGCAAAAATATTCTACTACCAGTATAGTACGAACAGCAATACTTTATAAACCGCTAGTCAAGATTCAAAAGTGGTTCAAATAAGTAAAAGCAAATTAAGAAAAGACTTTCAGAAAGTTCTGAAAATGTTTTTTTTTATTTTATTATTATCCTTTTATTAATGCTTGTCTTTTAGAATCCTTGATAAAATCGCACGTATATTAAATAGCGAACCTGCCTACATTAACTATCGTAAACTATAACCTTAATTTCAGCTCTCTTGATATTCAAATATGCATATCATAAAAATTTAATTATAGCTGTTTTGAACGCTGTGGTCTAAACAACCTTTAATATCCAGTAAAATCTTAAGTTTGATAATATGCATATGTATATATTCTCAAACGTCTTTGTCTATTACATGTTTTCTCCACCCTTACCGCCCGGCGAACAGCGTCTCCTTGTTTCTTTATCACCGTTATAACTGCTCATTTTTATGTCGCTGACTATAGCGGCAACGAGATTGAGGATTGGAATTAAGAAGTCAGTATTCAGACTGACCTGGAAAACGATGTTGATCACCACGACGATGAAAACATGAACTTTCCAAAACAAAATGACGCATGGGGAAGTTAACGAGCATTAAGCTTAGTTTTTCAATAGGGTGAACAAAACCACATTGATAACAGTGAAATAACTGATTTAAAAACTAAAACTATTTTTTTTTAAGTCGACTGCAAAAATGTGCATTACGAATAGTTATTTCAATAATAAACCATGTACATTTTATCATTATTACGTGGATATGACTAATTCTTACATACGGTCTCAGTAGTATGAACAAGAACTCGGGAAAAATAATATACAGTGGGTCTCATTTAAAATATCAAAAGTGATGCTACTTTTTCGAAAAGCGGCAACGTCGCATCGCTAAAAATACTGACATGCACCGTGCATTACGCTATACATTACAGATACTGTAATTTGATGGATATGTAGTCTAGGTAAACTGAACCAACTAAAAAAATACTAGCAGTGGGCGATATATCGACAAAATTGCGAGATGTGTCAGATTGAAGCCCACATATCTTGTACACCATGTGCCAAATAAAACGATCCACTATACGATCTGGAAAGCCATAAGAGATACGAAAAAAAGTTTCGTACACAAGGTATCCCGAGTGTCCCCGCCGACATCAACTTCGTTGTTTTAAATGGAACACCCTATATATTTCGACATTTTTTGAATCCTTGGTTAAAATAATGGTCAATTTCATAAAAAATTCCTATTCGAATTTTGCATAGTTTAGGCAGAAATTGAAGTTATGTGTTTTATTTCATATTTTGATTGCCCCATATAAAATGGTGTTAAAATTGCAAAGAAAATTTAACCACAGACTAAGGAGTTTACACCTCAGCTTATACACTTTTAGGACACTATCAACAAAATTATAATATTTTAAATCTTCAGGAGAGTATAAGAAACTTTTGTAAGAAACTTTTTTTCGTATCTCTTATGAGCACATGTCAATTAGTAACAACCTTTCCTGGCACCCTAAACCAAGCAGTAGTGGTGTTATGTCCGCTTATACAACCGAAGTTAGTAAAATTTTTTAGATAAAATTTTATGTCTTTATAAATCCAAAACAACCCAAAACCTTGGCAAAATTTAATGTGCGACCACAGCGTAAATGCAGACGTATGTGAATCGGAAGTAAAGCAAAACGTCAATGCCAGCATGCATGTTTCGTGTTTTTATCAACGGATGACACATTAAAATGTTTCATATCTGCGGCTTATCACTCAGAGCCACTGTGCGCATTTTATCATGCTATTGACACTAATTCTTATCTGCCGTAGTTTTTGACCTGAATTAGCGAAAACTTTCTTTAATTTCTAGTTGCACATAAACGCAAACTAAATCAAAATGTTTAAATGTTTAATAATTAATAAGTTTAAAAAACACAGCCAAAATTGCCTAACCGGTTCGGCCGCCGGGTTTGTTATTTAACAAGCGAAAAATATGCCAACGCAATATATCAGAAATAATTACTTCCGCCGCCATGCCACCGAGACATCTGTTTAACATCAACGCACTCGAGATTCCGTCCGTAGAATAGCGTGTTTATAAAAACATTAACCTTAAGGACATCATACCCACGCACTGTTATTTACACGCTTACCATTCAAATATATTAAAAATAGTGTCAATACCAGTGGGTTCGGGGACACGTATTTATAAAAAAGAAAAGGACCGTAACTTGCCTTCATGTCCATGATGATCTGCTGGAACAAACCGCCCAAGGCCCCCGATTCCTTGTCGATGTGAGTTTCCATGATTATGGCCGTAATAATCCCTCACACGACGCGCACACACGAAATCGAACTGTCGAACATTCACCCGGGAAACAATCAGGCGAAAAGGTGAGTCGATTCGGCCGACATAGCGAACTAACGCATCCTAGATGGATTTTAATAAACTGGCACAAAGAAACCGTTGCCGCGTTGAGAAAAACTTAACAGCAGCGTGCAAAGGAAGATGCTTCGTCGCTGCGTTCATTCATCAGGACGGGGTTTTGTGCATACGGGTTTCCGACGCGAAGAAACACCAAAAAAGTTACTAAACGATCGCCGGACTACCATTACACAGCACACGGCAATGTTTTCTTTCCGTCAACTCGGGAATCATCCCCTCCCACGATTGAGTTTTTGTGACACACCGGGGAACGTCACGGGCATGTGCGGAAATGAGAGTCGCGTTCGATTGCGTCACGCCGCGCGGGGTCGTTCCCTCTCCGTCCGCTTCATATAGAACGAGGGCGACGGACAAGCGCAGTTCAACTAAATTGATTCTTGCGCGGTTTCGGAAGAGTCACAAAAAGTTCACTCTCGCGTCGTCTCTTTTTGGCCTAGGAAAAAACCGATCGTTCAGGCACTGCCGCGAAGAGGAAGAATACGCGGTTATATCGTGAGCTCAGACGCTATCTATTAGTGAAGAGCGGTATCAAATTGTTAGACGGCCTTTAACTAACCACATCCGCGGATCCCTGCTGTGGTTCCGTTATTTTTATTGTGTTGGTGATAAGTTGAACTTTTATAATTTTTTATGCTTGAAATGAACTGTGCAAATAAAAATATGCAAAACTAATCAAGTTTTAGAATATGCCGTTTAGTAACGGAAATGTGGGAGGTAAGCATTAGTTGTCTCTGTAAGTAGTTTAAAATTGGTCGCGAGTAAAGGAATTAACCAGGGTATCGTTTTAATTTGAAGCACCTAGCAGTACATATGGCATGTCCCACCGGGAACTTTGTCAATTTGTTATGGGAAAGCTATAAAAAGCAAAAACTTGGAATTAAAATAAAGTTGGCGGTGACCATGGCCGAAAGTGGATGTCGACTTTCTTATTTTAAACACAACAATTTAAAACCTATTTTCATGTATAAAAATCCTATAACTAAATTTCACTGTTTCTGAACTGTTAAAGATTGTATGTCAAAAATGACATTTGCAGACCGAATAATATATGTATCTTGTACTGTATTGCAATTACAACATACAATTACAACTTACGATTATTATTAATACCGTATGTTAAAACAAATAACAATTAAAATAATATTGAAAAACCTGGCGAAAGTCCAAACCACCCAATTTTATAATCCTATCTAATTTAGAATTGAAAATTCGACTACTTTGAATGTTGTATATATTCCGAATATACATTTGACGTGACGTATGACCTGACCATGGGTAGTTTTCCGAAAACATTCTCAGCCGTAGGTAACGAAACTAACGATGTAAAATGACAATTTCCTCACGCTCAATCGGTGTAAAATTGTGTATTTTAGGGGAAAGCAGTAAAAAGAAAATATTGTCAGTAACCATGACTTGCCAGTGCTTTTTTTTTTAATTTGGTGTCCTCTAAAAAAATCTCGTGTATAATTACAAGAATGCAAGACTGAGTTAGGGATGAGTTCGAAAATTTAAATTCCAATTCAATAAGAAAAATGTCTTAAAGTTCAGGGCGTCAATTTGAACAATTATTAAAAATTAAGTTTTTTAAAATTGCATCCTTTTTTATCATTAGAACGTTTAATTTGCCATGATTAACTTTTTTTCGCTTCCGCTTTAACCGAACCCAAAGTTCTGGGGATTTTCTACAATATTCTTGTTTAGTTTTTATTTTATTATTTCTTCGAATTTTTATGAATTTTCCTAAACAAACGTAAAATTCTTGAGCTTACCTGGCCAGCTGTGCCCGCCAGCGCCCTAGACGCATGCTTTACTCGAAATCACGGTGAAGCGCGTAATCGGCCGCGCTTACCGAGTTGTGGTGATGCCCAAATTTCCTCACCACCCAAGGCACATAAGTTAATGCAGTAAAATTTAAATGATTCCGTATGAGAAAAATGTACAGATATTCATAAAATGGTGAATTTTAGGTATAGGATATACATCAATAAGCAATAAACAATACAAGCAATAATATATAAGCCGTATTGCCACCCACAACACAACAAAAGTCCAATTTTTGCTATTTATGGTTGTTCCATAACAGATCAAAGTTTCCGGTGGGACACCCTGTACTTTCAATGTTTAATGATTAAAACAATAAAATTATGAGTACAGGAACGGATGCGTAAAAAAGTAACGGAGAAGCAATCCTATCATTTATTTGGGATTTGCTCGATATTTCGCTAAACTTTTAACAAGAGGTAGGCATGGAGGTTTAAAATAAAAATACCAGGTTTAGTATTTATTCTAATTAAGTCATCACGAGGTAATGCGATATTGAAACGAATGCTGTCTCAGCAGATTCCTCGCGATCTCCGCGTGGCCTAAAATGACAGACTATTCGTTCCCTACTCTTTCCTTCTCAGTTCTCCTTACCCAACTTCAGTTCAATATATATAACCAGCATGACTATGTGCGCGGGTACTTGACATTCGGGCCCCTTTCGCTGCCATATCTGCGTCAACAGCGTGGCGGCCTGATCCAATTGGCCCCTAATGGTCTTTGCGACCGCCAGATTATACTCCATCGTAGCGTGAGCGCTAGCTAACGTTTTAGGAAACCAACCTAAAAAAAATTATCATTCCAATATAAAAGAAATATGATACTTACTAGGCGGCGGATTGGTCTTAAGCTGACACTCTTCGTTTTTGTTGTCTGAGGCCTGAAAATCAAATGATAAATCCTGCACATTGTCGGGTCTCAGGTGCTCCAAGGCCTCGGGTATTTTGTCAAGAAGAACCAGACATTCAGCCGCATACAAACGAGCCAATAATCTAAAAAATAGTCTGGGTTCCTAAATCTATGGGAGACAAAATTAACAATAAACTTCAAACCAAAACTAAACCAACTTCGGCTCGCCCTTTGGAATAGTGCAATTTTTTGATACCTGTGTATGCCGGAGACTTGAGGTTGTGAAGACAATTCGTTCGAGTAATTCAGCCCCATGACATAATCGCCCAAGCACAAAGACACATAAGCGCTAGCGGCCAAAATGGAGTTCTTTAAATTAGCTATTCCGAGGATCGACGAGGGGTTGGAAGGAGACAGGCTTGGATTGGGAGGTGGAGCGGGCGGCAAAACCCCTGGCATGAGAAACAGTGGTACGGGAGGCGTTTTTTTGTCCGAAGGTATCAGGAGATAGGCATTACGCAAACACAGCGACGCAAACTCCAAGGAAGGCACGGGCACCGCGTAAGACTGGGTCTCGGAGCTGTATTTTTTGTCTTTGGACAAATTGGTGGTGAGTATTGCTTTCTGCTTGTCTTTCGATCCCGCCACCTTGACGATCAGTTCCTTCTGCCTCTTTTGGATGTCGAAATCGACTTCGTTGGACTGCAAGAAACCAGAGCATATATTTTTGAGCCTGCCGTCATATTTACAGGCTACAAGTATCACTTTATAGTTCTCGATGCTATGTATACAAGGTGATATGTATTTAAACTCACTTACTGAAATAAACAAAATGTTAGTTTACTATCTGGACCGTTAATGACATTCGAATGTTAAATTTTCTAGAGTCGAGATCGAAAAATATCAATTAACTCTGTGCTAAAGTTAACTACCCCTTTATGTACGGCGATGCAGCACTCGGCGATCCTGAGCCATAACCGTGAATTTCTGTGATACCGTCTAACGCACACGATGAAACAGTCGAACGCGTGAGCGGGCCTGTCCGCATAAAGCAGCGCCAAACCCAAATTGTACATCAATTCGTGGTACTTATAGCCGCCGGAGGTGTAGAGATGTTCGCCGTCTGTTTTTTTGAAGCTAATTAAGAAAATTTGCTGTTCGATGAAAAAGACTCACTTTCGTCCTTTTTCGTTAAATTCTGCGCCAGTTTGGTATCGTCTTTGAGCGCCGTCTGGAAATAATGACAGGCCAGGTTGGGTTTGCCCATCGCGTGGTGCAAGAGACCCACGTTATTGCTCAACATGATTTTCGATGATTCACCGCTTTCACTACGGATATTTTTCCATATCGACTGTTCTATGTTAAGCAAATACTTACTTGTAACTCAAACTGTCTTCGGGGATCAAAGATAAAATTTTAAGAGACTCTTTAAAGTTGCCCTTTAAGTACTCCAAGTTTGCGGACAAAAAAAGTGCATCTATGTTCTGGAAAGCGGCAAAAAACAAGAGAAAAACTATGTATATTCGCATTTTCATCAACTTACATCTTTTTCTTTCAGTAATAAGGGCACCTCTTTAGCTAAAATATTAAAGGAATGGTTCATTAAGTAGCACCTAACTTTATACTTCGACAACTTTTTTTGAAACTCTTCCGGTATGGGTTTCGGCGGGGGCAACTGAATCTAGAAAACCACATCTAAATCGTGATCCGAAGTCTTAAGTCATAACCCCAACCTTTTTATCTCTACCAGACTTATCGAGACCTTTCAGTGGTATACTGCCACCATACATTAAATTATTCTCCAAATAATTGATCAGTGTTAATGCCTTATCAGGTTGCCTTAAACTCAGCTGCAGCTCGATCGCCAGTAAACTCACCTGCTTGGCCAGATTCTCTTCAATTGGCTCGATAAATTTATAAACGCGATCTATTATTCGCTGGGCAAGGGTAAAATGCCGCTGGTGGTACAACAGCAATGCCTGATTAAACTGCGCGATGCAATAATCAATTTCCTCCAATTTATCGACTTTAATTTTGAAATGATTGCACAGGGCAGTAAGACTCTTTTGGAAAGTTTCTGACTTCTTTAAATCGGTTTTATAATATTCAATCACGATTTTGTTATGCAATACTTTAAAATCGTTTGGCCGACTGTTTTCCAATTTATTGATGATCTGCAAGCAGCCCGCGTAGTTTTTTCTGCAATTAGGTCAGGGTACAATCACTATTTTTTAATTTTAGGTTAAAGGCTTGTACTTTTTAAACTCAGCAAGGGCGTGTTCGCCTAGGTCCTTTTCATAATCAGAGATTTTTTCTTGCTCCTTATCATCCATTTTTGCCCTTGCTGTATCTTTACTTCTTTATTTTTAAATTTTTGCGTCAAACTTAAAACCTAACCATAAAGTCTTCTTCTTTCAATAAGGATGGAGGTTAGGATCAATTAAAAATTTCAAAAGTGCAACCTAGTTGAATTAACAATGTATATTTTAAATTGCAAAGCACAATACTCTTATCTACTCCCATCTTCTACTCGAGTTTTGTTTGGAGCTTTGCAAACTAAAATAAAATATATTCTATGGTTTAATAACTTATTCAATTACTTTTTTATTAAATTACATAGATTTCTAGAATTAACAAAACTACAAATTGATAAATAAAATTCTCGCAAATACAACCAGCAGTGTTCAAATTGTTATTTATTTTGTTGCCATTCTGGCAAAAAACAATATGAATTCTATCACAGACTCATTCGGAAAACACTTTCAAGTTGTTTCGCACAACTAAGAATAAGAACAACCAAAATTGTGGTTAAGCAGCACTAAAGGTCTGTTTTAGGACCCAATGAGAGAGGGATAGCTGCAAGTTCTGTCCGTAGGCACAAGAACTCGGCGCAAACACACATTATCGTAGCGCATGCCACATTCAACATCCACCAAGAAAATGTGACTGGGAACTGGCTATTATAGAACCAGCAGGTTACCAGATGTATAAGATGCCAGGTGCAGCTGAAATCCATGCACTGTTTGGTACGTTCAACAATGTACCACAAAACAACAGCCCTACAAAATTAGTGCACTGAAATTACAAACATAATAAACAGAGGACGTCTTACCCTACTAACGCATTAATGACAAAGGCTGTTATGACAACTCTACCTCCCGCATCTCGTACCTGAATTTCCTATAAATCAAGCAAAGCAAATTACAATAAATCCCATGTTATCCACAGTATTCCCTTACGTGGTACTCAAAGATATGATCAAGAGTTCGAGAATCTCCTACTAGAGTCCCTAGCAAAGCAAGTATTAGTCCTAAACTAAGATAAAGCAGACACTGAACACATAAAATTTGAGAAATGACCAACCACGGGTCCCACTGAGTGTACCGAAATGATCCAGTTAGTTTCTTCATTTCTTTTTTCGGAATCGCTTCACTTGGTCGATGCTAAGTTAGACTGACTCATTTTTTAAAATTAAAATGTCCTTTCTGAGACACATACATGCATAACCTTACTTATTAAGAATGACAGCGAATGAGACATTAGCTGATAAAAAATTTGTCACTCAAAGATTCTATTTTTCTAAATCTCCTAAAAGATTGCTAACAAGAGATAACTAATCAAAATATTGCTTCAGTAGTTTCATTTTAAATTTTTTGATTAAATATAGGAATAAGTTTTTTAACACACTTGTTAAGAGGTCTATTTTTGGTAAATTGGTAGGGTTACTGTTGCCTTTATTTAGAAGAAGAGTGGGTCTGTGTAGATGCTAACCTTTAAATTTGCAAAATTTGGAAATTAAAATGAATACCATTAATTTATTAGGGAAACACTTACTACAAAGTATTTGTCGCACAAGAATAAGGCAGATTTCTATATCACCCGCGTTGAGACTGAAAGAAAGTATACATATGCGTTCGTTAATGTAGAAATCCAATAGTTTGAGAAATTACCTTTTTTTAGTCCAGGAGAATCAGGATGGACAGTTATTGACCATAGAAGGCAAATATGTGCCATCGCCCAGAGAACCTTACCTTTTAAAATCAAAACACGACAATGCATGTCCAATTTGTGCTTCAGGTTTGAACATCAAGCACACGGACGTGCTCATCCTAAGTCAGTTTGTCAGGTCTGATGGGTGCATGCTGCCAAAGAGAATAACAGGTCTATGCAATAAGCAACAAAGAAGAGTTCAGTCTTTAGTGGCTATGGCACAGAAAGCGGGTGTGTAGAAATCAATAGTATTGGCGCAATTTATGCTTTTGTATACTTTTTAGGATTAATGCCAAATTTAGCACCCTCCTTTAGTAAGAAAGATCCAAAAAAGAGATTTGGATGGAAAAAGTTCAATAAGTACTTTGATGAAACTACAATCAAGACCTAATTTTTTAATAAAATAACACTGTTATTGCAAATCATCTTTATTTTGCAGTTCATTTGTAATTATTTCCTCCAGGTATTTATTAAGATCTGTGTCAATTGTCTCACGATGCATCAATTGATGCTCTATAAGGTTGACAAAGGAGCTTTTTTCATAACTCTCTGAAGCGGCGATTTCCCTAAAAATATAAAGAAACAGTTGACCTTCAGCTGTAATAATCTGCAATAATTTACTTGAAGAGTGAGACAATCTGATTAGGATTTAGCTCATCGAATTGGGTAAAAATGCCCATTTCATCAAAGTAATCTTCATGTTTTAGTTTGGGAGCCATGAGGTTTAACCCGCAGTTGGGTATCCAGTCCCTAAAAGGGACGAGAAATTTGAAACTTTTGGAATAGGCCAGGGGATGAATTACAACTTACTCAACTAGTGGTATGATTCTCAACCGTCGTGATCTTAATAGTCTTCTGGTAAAATAGAAAAACTGCAACATTTCGGTCCCTTTCAGAGGCAATTTTTTCTTCATATTGATCTTGACCAAATAAAGGACTCCCGCTTCCAAACCATTACTCTAAAACCACAAATTAAAAAGGTTGAGCACAGATCCTGCGGAATGAGAGTTACATTGGTCCTTCCATTTTTCCTGTCACTTTGCCATGGTACAAAAAATCTCCGGTCATACTTCTCAAGTAGCTCATAGTCCATAAACACATTGAATAAAATGCTCCAGTGGCTTAAGAACTTTTTGGAATTTAAGGCCTGTAAGAAAGAATTCCATTTTTCTTTCTCCATTACCAAGTTATTGAACCGTTACCCTATAATCCTTGGGGCTCATTATTGCAAATATTTGTACCCTACCAAACAGAGCTAAATGAGTTTGCATAACTATCCCTGTAATCAGGAATTGTAGAAACTTCAAATTTTGCATAGTTCCAATTACTGTGATGGCAGGGCCTGCAATAAAACTTGATGATTACTGGATTGGGAAGGTATGATTTTTTACCCTCTAACCATCTCTTTGCAGGCACGTGTCTCAGCAAGGACGCAACCCTATTGCCATTGTCATATTTATCCAACCTTGAATAAAAACTCAGGTGAAAAAAATTTCTCGGGTAAAATTCCATTCTGTTCAAATAATCTGCATGTAGTCTCTAAATATAAACATTAATTGCATCAGCTCAGATGTAAATTGCATATTGCACTCTACCTTTATTGACAACTGGAACTCCTCACAAGATTCATAAAGGTGAATCTTATTTACATCTTGGTCCAACAAATATCTCGTAATTAATCCCAACCCAGGATTCGTTTCGGCAATCACATGTTCGTCTTGCACCCTTACTGCTTTCATAACATGTGAACCAATGCTTTCGGCCACTGTAGGACTGATGAGGTACAAAGATCTGGTTTGTTTTATACTTTTAGTGTTCAAGTATTTACAAGGTATTGAATCTCTGTACTGCACAATATCGAGGTTGTTTTCAATAAATGTGTTAACTTGTTTAACATGCGCTTTACTAACTCTTGCTTTTTTTGCTTTCAGTTTAATATTTTCGGTTGTGTTCGGAAATTCCGAGTAAGTGCACATGGAACAACTCCAAGCCTGAAGTAACTTTCGCATTACCCATATTCTGCACAAAGTCATGGCCTTTATAAATAAACAACTCACCTACATCTTAATTTTGAGGTTATGGTTAGGTTTCTTGGGGGGAAAACTCTTCCTTTCCTCATCATATAAAACAAATTAAATTATACCACCGGGTCATTTTCTAAAACGCTTAATTGACATGTCACAGAAGTCTAGTTTAACATGATGGCGGTTTTACACCAAACTTATAAACCAACACAGCGAGTTGAAAAAAATGTGTTTTTTTCGCATTTTGGAAGATATGTAAAGTCGATTACTTCAAAGAGTTGCTGCAATGTAGTGGGCTTAGCGTATTAATTGTTTAGTTTCAGTCAAGATCCCGAGTGAAGGAGAGTAATTGCGTGGCGAAGATGCATACTACAAAGTGTCTGATTTTTGTATATGGTAAATAAATTCGTACTCAATAGTTTTTCCAAATATTTGTTGAAAAACACCTAACAAACAGGGTGATTCACCTTGAGTAGAGCGTTACAAGTTCTCAAGAACTAAGCCACACACTAGAAAAACGAAGCGGTTTTGTTTTTCACTAAACTTATTCATATTTTAAATAATAAAGCTGTTTCTCTAGTGTAAATCGCAGAAAACAAACGGCTAATTATTTTTGTGTTTGGTCGAAATAGTCATTTAATTCTTTGTAGTTTGAGATTTCGTTTTTGATAACAAGAACAAAATAGCAACTGAATTAGTCGGTTTGGTGTAAACCCGCCATAAAGACAGCCCTCATTCCCGCTTCAATATTATATCCATTCCATACACCACATAATTCTAAGGTCAATTTTGGTTGGTTCTAGTGTTTTTCGGTCTGATCACAGACGTACAAAACCTTATTCGTATAAAAAAAGTGCCGATATATGATATCAATTATTTTCAGTCAATGATCTTTTTTTGCTTATTCTGCCTGCAGACCTATGTCGGCGTATACTGCAATCTCTTGCAATTTTAGTACAACAGGCGATAACTAAAGGAATATCTGCCCATGTAGCTAAACCTTAGCTACCCAACACCTACTCCACTTAAAAAAATAAGCAAAATATTATATCCGACCAGAGTAACATTTTTTTGTCTTAATATATATATACCATAGTTCTAAAGATTAAAAAACTATTTTCTGAATGAAGAAACAATATTGCAGAAATACAAAAGTTGACTGATGTGGCCGAATATATTCCTCTAGTTATCGCCTTAGTTTTAGTACATTAGTCCTTTAAAAGTTTGACTGTGTTCCGATGTTGCAGTTGATTTTCTGCATCCAGAAATAAGCAAGTATTTGGTTAGTATCTATTTTTCTGATTGAGTTCAAAGAAGAAAAAAAAGAGGATATATACGTATTTACACAATTATTTAAAAATATGTACATAGAAGAGAGAACTTAACAACAACGGATTATATTAAATTATTTAACGCCTTCTCGTGTGTTTAGTATCTTCGTAATTATTAAAAAAAGTGATAGTTTTCAATGTGCACTCGGCGAATGATAGTAGTAGGGTTGCCCAACATTTGCAAATCTAAGATCGAAGATGTCCATTTTGGTTAAAATCGTTTTTTATTTAATTGGTTTTATGTATTAATATTTTTTGATGACCGAAAGATACTACAGATTAAATACATGATGGGCAGCTATGGGAAGGCGATAATGGTTGGATTCATTTGTCGTTTGTGTTCGGAAATGAAAAAAAATGTTATTCATTTATATACAGCAAAAGCTGCAAAACTGGGATTGAGGAAAATGTTAAAATTATTACCCATAACGGTAAGTTTGGCAGACAATAGTCAATACTGCAAAATTATTACATTAAAAGTAAATTTATGTTGATTTAGAAAGTACTTCCCCACAGTGCTCCTTTTATTTGAATCTATTGTATTACTTTGCATTGCATGCCTGTTTATAAATCAGTGTTTTAAGTAAACTGGAAAATCTTTAAAAATTACTAAATTTGGTGATTAACTTCGAAGTCAGGGAAAGGCCATAATTTATCCAAAACTCTTGTTTAATAACGTTACTAAAAATTTTTCTGTTATTTATAATTTGATTCGATCTACTTTTATTGCTTGATGTGTTTTGTTTGAATACATATTTTTCTTTTTGTTTCATATTGCATTTTTCATTTAAATATTGCTAAATTTATTTTTAAAATTATTTTTTTGTACACAGCACAAAAATACTTTGCTAGATCACAGAAAAAAGAAATCTGAAAATTTATTTCATGTTATTTAGATAACATAATGTTGTGATATTTTATAAATATGATTTGTAGGTGGATAAATATGATAATCTACCCAAAACAATATGCCAGCAATGCATAGAAAGGCTAGAAGCGCAATATGACCTTCACATGAAGATCAGGAAAAGTGATTCTATATATAGAATTCACAGAAATTTTCATGTAAGTATTTTTTATCACAGGTATCAAAGATTTTGGCAAATAAGAAATAAATAAATGGTGAAAATCAAGTGTACTTATTCACTCTTTATTTACAAGCAAAGTCATTTAGATTGCCAAAATCCACTTTCTGTTTGGTATAAAATCATAGTTTTGAGGAAATATTGATCTTTTTTCAAAATGAATATTTTTGTTAATTGCAAACTGTTTGTTTCAAAAAATTATTTTAATAATATCATTTCTAGAGCAATGGTAACTGCCCAGTTGACTGTCCACTCCATGGTCATGTTGAATAAGTGAATTTTTGTAAATAAAGCCATTAATTTGTTTTTTGTTTCTAAATCTTCATTTCTTTTTCTGAATATGAAATCTTTTATTTAAATGCAATGTAATAAAATTATTTCATATAGTGAGTGTTGTTTTGTCTGTGATTCCTATATATTTAACTACATGATGTAACATTATTGTAAATACATTTTGTTATCTCAAATAAAGACATATTTTTCTTGTCTTTTATTTCCACTGCTTTATAAATAAAAACATGCTCTTGATTGAACTGAACATAAATTGGAAGAGTATTAAAATGGTTTATTTCAACCATATTGTGAAATCCCTACTATTACAAACAAAAACATAGTAGTAACTAACACTATCATATTTAAAATTTCACTTTCAAGATTTGCAAAACCTGTTTTGGACAAGAAAAGTTGAATTGAGATCAAAAATAAAACTTGTATTATATTTAGAAATTAATAACAAAATAAGGTAAAGCCTATTTTATTCATTTTTGATGTATTATCTATTTAGATTTCCGCTTAGTTATAGCTATCAATTGTACTAATTGCTAATGTTGCAAATTACTTTATAATGTGTTTTGTTTGACTACATATTTTTCTTTTTGTTTCGTATTGCACTTTATTTATACTTGCAAATATTTATACTTATTTCATTTTTTAAACTATTTTCATTTGTACATAGCACAAAAAATAGCCTGCTAAATCAGGGGGAAAAAAATCAATCGCAGTAGTAGCAATGCACTGTGGAATAAGTTGCAAAATTGTTCAGGGTAAGTTTTTATCAAGATCTCATAATTTTGGAATCCCTACAGGGTGAGTCAAGGATAGAGTAAAGTTAATGTTATGAGTTATGAGAAAATGGTAAGTAAAAAAGTTGTGGAGATTGTTAGGATGCACAATAAAAAATTATTTTAAACTATACAAGGGGCTCAAAAAAGCACGACGAATTAAATATGCATTTTTTTAAACGGAACACCTTATTTTTATTTTTAAATTTTGTTTTGAATTCTTTTTAAAATTTGTCAGCGTTTTATTACATAAATCTAATAGCTTTTAAAATATTTTAATTTCTCTAAAAAATTACTAGTTTTCACACTTGCAAAAAATTATTATCGCGCCCTTATTTTTAAAGGTTGATCACTCAAATGTGGTCTGTGTGCGTTTGAATTGACGTCTTGTATGTCCGTGTGGGCGAAACAGGTGTAACATTTTCCAAATAATAATTTTTGAGACATCGACTTTCGAGTTTAATTGAAGCTCCGTTCGCTCTCTGTAGAATCCTCGTAATCGTTCCGGTTTCGATTGTGTGTTTTTTGGTTCCGAAGTGTTTATCTGCGCATATTTTTTGGTCTGTGATCAAATGTAAACCACCCTCGATGAATGCCAATAATGAGTATTTGTCCTTAGTAAATGTGCCCACGAAAAATATTCTGTGGTGACCGCTCAATTTGGCAACAACGCGAACTTTAGTATAAAAACATCGAATATCAAATAGAAATGAGATGATGATCGAATATTTAATTGCGTTTCGATCACGTTTACGCGTAAACAACTGATAATTCGGATCTTTCCTTGTACACCACGCTAATAATCGGTGCGTGCTGTGTATACCGATGCAGACCCAGAAGAATATGATGAGTCCATGGCACTATGAGAAGGGCTCCCATATAACTCGGTTTCATCCCTATCACGGTGAAAACATAGTTTTATCCGAAGATGACACCGTTGCGTACAGAAGGAAAAGTTTCGCAAATGCTGTAACCTTCAGCGAGAAGCCTTTACAGCCTGGAGAAATTTTTCTGGTTGAAATTGAACAAAATGAAACAGGTTGGAGCGGGCATATAAGGTTAGGACTCACTCAGCTAGATCCTTTAAGAATGTATGAAACAAGTTCAATTCCTCAGTATGCTTTGCCTGATTTGGCAGACATTGGTACTTCTTGGATATATGGAATTAGTAAGGCTCACAATACTGTTTTTGTGTATGACAATGAGAACGGCAAACGTTACATTAGGAGTGGAGCAAAGAAAATCACCAGTGAAAGCAGCATAATAAAGACCTGTCGCGGAATCGTGCCCGTTAGTCTCCTTAAACCCCCCAGAGTTATGGAAGACATCCTGCCTACAGATATAGGTAGTCGGATAGGGGTTATGTATCTGCCTACAGACAGCAAAGAGGCCGAGATGCATTATATTATCAACGGGGAGGATATGGGCGCTTGCGTAAAGAGGATTCCATATAAGGATGCCCCTTTACATGTAGTTGTTGATGTTTATGGCACAACAAAAAAGGTCAGAATAATTCAGTTGTATCATGGTGAGTACCATTTTTTGCTTCGTTTATGGTTCAGAACTCACTGTGCATTCTTTCAGTTCCTACATTACAAGCTGCTTGTCGTGATGCCATCTTGCAGCACATCACGAAAAAGGGTGTTGCAGCTCTGCCCCTTCCCCGACTATTGAAAGAATACCTGCTTTATCAGACTTAGATGTTATCGGTAGCATTAAAGACTCATTAATCTGTTAAGGTCAAGTTTAAAATGTCATAAGTCCAGTTGTCATTTAGTTATTAAGTACATTCCGGAAAAAATGAAAAAACAGCTCCAAACCAACATTACATGTCCTCTAATGTCCACTAATGTCAGTCAAAAATCAATTTGGGAATTATGGTAGACTCCAAATAGAAATAAGAAACGCTCTGGGGCAGTTTCATTCATTCCTTTTTTTAGTCTTCTCAATTTACCCAAAATAAATGGTTCTGCCTACTCTTAGAAGTAAGTTTTATTGTCTCCATGTAAATTGTTGATCAATAAATTGTTTTCCAACTTTGGTGGCGTTTTTCGTAATTTACATTAAGCAACATAGTTTAATTGCGATGAACGAAAGAAATGATTTATTAGGCCTAGAAATTCCTGTAGATTCGAAAAAAAATGGGTACCTAGGAATACCTATGATTTTTATATTACAATTTCGCATATTTAAAAATATTAAGCACCCTAATTCGGGTGTAATAAAACTACACTCCATTAATGGAAAGCGACGAATGCTTACAAACCTTTTTTGCTTTTTCTCGCTTTTCGATTGCTCTACATGACCTCGTAAGCCCCCAGCCGAGGCGTGGCCTCAACAGCGATTTGGGTGGGAGGAAAATGCGCAGGTTTAAAAAGCGATCCACGACACACTTGCCGCTGTTGTCCATTTTTCCGGTCAAAGCAAATTTTTATTTAGAAACCTAGTAAAATCCCGGTCCAAACGTTCGGACGCCCACATCAACAAAAAACCAAATTACATAACGATAAACTGTTTCAACAGTTTGGTCAAATAACAGGCGCAAGTGTTGTGGCGTCGATTCATCGTTACCAAATTTAGAAATCGTCAATGTTATGGTAAATGCGACAACGTCGCGTCGACGAACCCGTCACGTCAGCTGTTTGACTGGTTACGGTCCGTGTCGCCACAGACGTTTCGTTTCAATACAATTGCTCAGCTGTTCAGTGTTTTGGTTTATCACACATTTGGTTTGAGTTGTTCAAGTTTCTAACGTCGCAATGTCCGAGCAAGAGGCCGCGACGTCCAGCAGTGAAATCCCGCAGGAGATCGCCGAGAGTCAAGAGAAATGCGTGTCGGGTTTCGACGGCGAGCCCGAAGCGAAAAAACGCAAATTCTCTAAATCGGGTGACGACAAAAAATATAAACTGGAGGAACGTCTGGGTGGTATATTGTGCTGCGCTGTGTGCCTCGACCTGCCCAGGGCTGCCATTTACCAGGTAAGTACGATGCTTTAACGGAATTCGCAACCGAAAAACCGTCCAGCGTTACGTAATATGGCTCCCGGGGTGCCATTTTCTTTGTTCCGAGAATCTGGGTGGCTGCGCTGCCACGGCGCATGACCCTGGCGCGGCAGATCCATCGATTTTTTTTTGTTTATGCCTTTCAGTTAAAAATTGTTATTAAACGCGATCGGAGAGCAAAGGCCCTCTCTTTCTCTCTTCTCCCGTCTTTGTTCTCCGATTACCGCGTTTCCTCTCTTGTAATCATCTGTTTACTCAGGCGATGCGTTGAAGTTCTTTTGTTTACATGTTGCCATGTTGTTTATAAAGGTCGGGCGACCCAAATGCGCTTCGCGTCAATTTACGCAGAAAGAATTTGTACGGAATGACGCGTTTAACATTATCATTAATCCTGACAGTGGCATTTATGTTAGATAGTCTCTCTCTTTGTTGTATTAAGAGTTTATTGTTTACGTTTCAAATCCATGTTAACTATATGGTCTAGCGATAAGTGTAAACGGAACGTTTTTTTTTTGTTGTAAAGAAACGCAGAGCTGATGATTGATGTCGATTTCGATGACGATGATTATTTTCAATAAACGTATTAAATAGATTTCGTGGTGGTTTTCAATTATTACAACTTAGCCGTCACACACCCCCCGCTCCCGTCCTGAGAAGTTTTCATTCGAAAGCGACAGTGAATTATTTACTCGCATCGTTATAATATATCGTAAAAATATGATGTCGACGATGCGAAGGTAGGTTTGTATGTCGCCGTAAAGGATAAATTCGTAAAGTTGACCATGCTTCCATTTCGTTTTGCTTTAGAGATAGTTTTTTGAGAGATCGTTTTTATATTGATAATGTTTTGGTTAGTTACAGGACGTGAAGAGGATCGGTAAGTCGATTTGTATGTAAATTTTTAATACGTCAGTAGTGGACGGGTTCGAAACGGTACGCGTTCTTTTCAATAATAAATAATATAACGTAAACATTAACCGCGTGGATTTCAAGTGCCTCAACCGTTACGGCAACAATAATAGGTCCGAGATATTTTCGAGCCAAGGCTGCGCTTTATCGCCGAATAAACAAATCGACGTAGTCTCAGGAGCTTCCGTGTTTCAAAACAATCGTTACGGAGTCAATAGACGCGTTTCGCGTTTTTCCCAATACAGGGACGTCCTCGAGCATTTTCGGGATCAAGCTGGCGGCGGCTGCGCGTCACAGAAGATCGCGCATGCGTGTGCCTGTGGAACGGAGTCTAAAATGTAACCGCAAGTGAAAATCCCGGAGCAATGTCGACGCGTTTCAAATTCTTTGAAGTCAATTAAGTCGTTTTCGCGAGTCGTGTTGCAGCGCGTTTTCAAGCATAAAAATGTGTTTCCTTTCAGCTCTGGCGCGAAAAACTAAAAACAAAAAATATATGGGGCAAAACGACTACAGCTGAATCGTGCAACATAACCTAACTTTTGTGTTTTTCTTTTCTCGTGTTTGCCCGCGCAGTGCAGCAACGGCCACTTGATGTGCGCCGGGTGCTTCACGCATGTGTTGGCGGACGCGCGGCTGCGCGACGAGATGGCTACGTGTCCCAGCTGCCGCGTCGAAATCAGCAAGCTGACCGCCACCAGGAATCTGGCGGTCGAAAACGCGGTCAGCGAACTGCCCAGCGAGTGCCAGTTTTGCAATAGGCAGTTCCCGCGGAACACACTCGAGAAGCACGAGGAGCACGAGTGCGAAGAAAGGTTGGTTTTATTTTTTGGCTGATCCTCCAAAAATGAACTCGGACAATTTTTGCCGATATTTATTCTTCGATAAGTTGTGCAAATACTTTGATCAAAATGTAGTCTGGTTAATATTGTATTATTTACAATGGATATACAGGGTGTAGTTGAAATGGCATCACGAAATTAAATCTTAGTATCTATGTCAAAATGGGAAAAATACTCGTGAAAACAGTTGCTGCTTAGTATTCGAGAGAGATTTCTCCAAAAGTTAGGTATCTTATGCCGATGGTGGTGGCACTGCATCTTCGGCATTCAGAGCCCGAAAAGAGTCTTCTATTCATTATTGAGTGCCACATTTATACATTATTTTAATCACCAGGAAACTCTCTCTTTAAGCTTCAAAAAGTTCTGCAGACTAATGGGTCGCAAATCCATTATTTAGCTAAATAAATATACGGGGAAATTGGTAGGTCTGTAATAGCATATTCTACGCCCAAAATAAGCCCGAGTTTTTTATATAAAAATATGTCGAGAAACGCCCACTAGCGGAGCCACATCCTGAAAATGTTTTTTTATCCGAAACAGATTATGACAAAGTTTTAAAATTTTGGCATGCTCAATCTAATTCTAAAATTTTGTTAAGGGACTTGCATTTTGGAGGTATACGCATATACCTAGCTTCTAGAGATATAGACTCCCTACTTATGGCGTTAATATAGGAACGCGCATGCGCGAGATTTAAAATCTCATTTTTTACAAATGACTGCGGCATTCAACAACCAACATGGCCGCTTAAAGATGCGGGCGTGATTTTTACGGCAGTATTTTCTCCAAATCTCGTTAAATATTTTGCAAAAACGAGTTTCAAAATTGCTGTTTAGAACGAAAATGACGCAAAGTGCAGGTTAGTGGGTGAAATATAGTGACCTCCGTGGAAAATCATTTAGCCTCTATACGGAAAAACTATTTAGTTTAACGTGGTTTATCAATCCCAATTGCAAAAGAAAGTGCAAGGCAAATTATTTTTCTTTCATCACCACAATCAGTAAAATAAAAGCCTGTATATAAATAAGTAGCTATAATATAAATACATTGTTTCCAAATTCTAGAGGCATGTTAAATAATTAACATATCCAACAAGTCCTCTTTCTTGATGATAAATCGTGACAAATGTCGGTCTGGAAAATATTAAAATTTACGTTTTTTGCAAGCAAAGATTGTTTGCTTTATTTTGTTCGTATTGTCTGTGTCGGGTAGATTTAAATGAACCACTTAAAATTAAGGCTACAGGGGACCCCTTAATTACAACAAAATACATTTGAATTGTTGTAATTTGGTATGCCCCAAATTCTCGTTTCATGGTTTTGTGATTATTGAATAAACTGTCACTATTGGTATTTATGAGCATATGTAACAAAGCTAAGATAAGCACCTTTAAAGTATGATTACAAAATTAAACTTTTTGACACATGTTTTTATTTTGAAAACTTACTTTGTATAATTTTGGTAGGCTAATTTCAAAAATTCTATGCATTTATTTGTATCACCGAAGTTTTTTTTTGTAAATATTAAAAAAAAAAGATATTTCTAAAATAATTTATTTTTTTATTCAGTAAAAAGATGAATGAAAAAACTTTACTCAGATTTTTTTCAGTGAAATCTTCGTCTTTTTGCCAGAAAGCAGCGTTATCCTTACATTCGACTTTGTGTTTTTAAGGGCATATCCCGTTCCCTTAATGTCCTGGTGAAACCTCTATCCCTGTTCTTCACTAACTGCTCCAAGCTTTTCAGGAAAATAGTTCAAATGTGAAAACAGGAAATGCACTTTCAAACTCATATTTCAACCTGGATTATGAAAGTGTTGTAACACGTAACTAAAATACCTTCTTTTATTTTGGCATCAGATATGGCTGGAAACTTGTCGCACAAATATTTGAAACACTATCCATTTTTGCCTAGGGCTTTAACAAACTGTTTGATTAAGCCAAGTTTGATATGAAGAGGAGGCAGTAACATTTTTGTGGGGTCAACTAAACTTCTTGTTCTAGTTCATTCTATTTGAGTTCGCGATACATCTGGTCCATGAAGAACTGGTCGAATAGCAGAGTCAAGATTGGGATACACAAAGTGTTTATTTTTTCTGTTAAATTCTTGAACATTACACGAAAAAATAACAATGATCACTGTGATTCCTAAGCTCTTGCGATACCACAGCCAACCTTAAACATTTCTTCTTACCTTTGTGGTAGGTGGGTGGCTAGGCGTGGTATACATTTTTCACAAAAGAAGTTATAGTTGGCATTTGCTTTACTACAACATAACTACCACAGATATAACAGAAGTTATTCACACAATGTATTCTTTCGAAGATAACAGCCGCGAACACGCACGACCACCAATACAACCAAACTGCGCATAAACGCAAGTTATAACGCTGTATTGACGATTCTGTGCCAACTCTGTTGCTTTGCAATGTTGCCAAATCGCATTTAATTTCATAAAAATGTATTTAAAAGTTATGCTCAGTATATTAATAAAATAACATTTTTAAGATATAGAGCGCTATAAAAAAATGATGTTTTTTGGAAAAAGGGCACCCAAAAAATACAGACAGCTTTCAAACATCAAAATCACTGTAGGCCCGTGCTATTAAAGCAAAATTACATGGGATGAATTATAAAAAATTTAGTTATAATCAGACTTCTCAATGATTGTCGTCCTTATTTTGTGATGTTCTAACCAAAATATTATCTGCGTTATGACGATAATAAGGGACGTCTAACAACATCGCTTTGCACAGGATCGCCACGTGCAAGTTCTCGAGAATTGGGTGCCCGTGGCGGGGCCCGGAGCACGAGAGACCCGAGCACGAGACCCAGTGCGCTCACCCGGAGCGCCCTGGAGCCGACATTATGGACTCGCTGATCGCGATCGACCAGCAACGCGTAGAAGAACGGAAACTGTACGAGAATATTTTCGACCTGCTCGGGTTCGAGAAGATCGCCTTCAACGGTACGTCTCCCGCTGCGCAGAGTCGCGTGCGTGGTTGATAAAAATAATGCTTAACATTTTGTTGAGATTCGGTCTATATTTTCGGTATACTTTTTTCAAAGAAAAAACGTAAACGTGAAAAGGAAAAAATTGAAGTACGCTGTGTCCATTTTTCGTTGTTACTGCGATATATCTAAGTTACTATTAGACTAAAGATTGAGCGATGTGAATTTTCGTGAAACAGAAGATTGTGTTTTCAAAACAGTCCTATCTGGCTTTGTTTGTAGGACACAGGGAGAACAAAAAATTTGACTTTTTCAGTTACACTTTGAAACTTCACCCCGCATCGTGATGATAATATGAGAACGGGATCTAATAGATCTTTTTACGTCGAATCAGTCATTTTATGAAAGTGGCCACTTAGGTTTTACTGCAGTAATAATAATATTGTTAATATAAAACAGGTATGTTTTCTAAAATATCAAGATATACCCGGTTGCACAAAAAAGTGGTAAGTGAATAGCGGTTTGAAATTGGGAAGGGTTGATATAGGCTGAATGGCCAATTTTTTGAAAATATGTCAATAAGTTAATGGTTGCACTTCCGGTTTGAACGGACACGACATTGTACGTAGGATAGGATGATTTTTTAAATTTTTATTCAATTTTGAAAATTGTGTCTAGGAGGATGTGACCATCATAAACACTATTGTCACCTGATCATGTGAAAAATTCTAAATCAACTTTTTCTTTACATATCTAATGGGAAATAGCATTTAATGTAATGGACAATTACTTTTTGTAGGATAACCCAGTTTTTTCAAATAGCACATTAGTAGGAACAAAAACTCTTTAAATCCGGTACTTTTTTTGCAATATTTTCAAAATTCGTTAAAAAATAAATTCACAGGACGGAAAAATACCAGATAAGTAAATACATTTGTATAAAAACAAAATATTACTTAGATGACTTTGCTGCTATTCATCATCATTTTTATCTGAATTATCGATTTTATTGTGTCATGTGTTATACGGGGAATGCAGAAAAAACTCTCGACAGGCTTGTGGTTTTTCTGTCCGCTGCATGCGCTTGTCGAGAGTTTCTTCCGCATTTTTAATCTTACCGACTTGACAATATAATGAATAGAAGCAAAGCCACCTAAGTAATATTTTGTTGTTATAAAAATGTATTTGCTTATCTGGTTTTTTCTTTTCTGTGAGCTTATTTTTTAACAGATTTTGAAAATGTTGTTGTCAAAATGTTGCAAAAAAAGTACCGGTTTTAAAAAGATTTTGGTCCCACTGTAGTGCTATTTACAAAGACTAGGTTATCCTAAAAAATTATTGGTTCATTACATTAAATACATTAGACAAGTACAGAAAAGTTTCATTTACAATTTTTTCCATTATCAGGTGACTCGGTAATGATGGTTACAGCCTCCTAGACACAATTTTCAAAAATTAAGTAAAAATAAAAAAAAGTGAGAAAAACCATCCTATCCTACGTAGAATGATCTCCTGAATGCAAAAATGCAAAAAAATATAGGTCGTGCCATTTAAAATTGGATAGTTACTCTCTTTTCCGCTCAAACCGGAAGTTACTACGTATTGTCAAAAAACCGGACATTCAGCCTTTATTAAACCTTCCAAATTTCAAATTGCTATCTCAAGCCGTTTAAAAGTTATAGAGTGTTCCCACTTTCTGGTGTCACCCGGTATGTTTAGTTAAAACAATATATTTCGGAAATTATACGTTTTTCAAAAGCTTACAAAAAGCGCAATCAAGCAAAAAAGAAAAGAAATGTAACTTTAGAAATTCCGATAAAATTCCGTTTTCGTCGTCTCATTACGGGAGTAATTGAAATGACCAAATTTTCTGTTTCTTCCTGTATCTCAAAAAAGGCAGCTAGGACACTTTTGGAGACGGCATCAAATATGAAAGACTTTAATTTTCGGCCAACCGAATAATGTGAGGTTACGTTCATCGTTACAAAAATGTTTTTGAAAAATTCAACTTAAGACACTTTGGATATCCGAAACCTTTATTTACTCGCCTTGTCTACATTTCCAGATGTTACCTATACTGGAAGTTTTCGTATTTTTATACACCCCTAGCGGTGGAGGTAGGAGCTGAAAAAAATATTACCGGCAATTTCTATTGGTCGAGTTCCTTAAGAAGTTTTCTTCCAAGTTCTATCACCATTTAATTAAAATTTTTCAAACCGGGTGCCATCTTCAACCTATTGAAAAGGTTTTGGCCACGTGGTTTTCGTACATCGCAAACTCCCGTCTTTTTCAGACATTCAGCTAAAGCCGTACAGGACCGACGAGTTTGTCCACCGTCTGTTCTACGAGTCCTCGCGTTTCACGGCGTTCAATAACAACTGGGTGATCAAGGCGCGGATCAACAATAGCCAGAAGGACCCGACCCAGAGTTCGGAACGCGACATGACGTATCAGGTATAAGAGTTTTGTTGTATTTCTAAAACAATCCTCGAACTGCGTAGGAGTAGCTCTGCATTATTCAATAATTTGAACTATTTTCGGACGGTTCGGCCTTTGAAAACCCCGAACAGACTAGAGCCAGATTTTTTAATTAATTCTTTAATTTATTTATAATAATTTGGAAGAAAACACGGTTTAAAGAAGAAAAGGAAATATTTCGTATTTAGTGTAAGGAACTAATCAAAAGCAATACGACACATATACCACACACGCTTATAATTTCTTTTAAAGAATGATTTGAGCATGCGCCAAGAATAATCTCAAAGAAATTCTTGCTGGACATTGGGGACCGGTTTAGGAATTGTTATAAAATAAACGCGAAATCACAGACCACAGAACGGTTCTGTTTAATCCTAAACAAAATATTTTTGATTGTGCGTACTCCAGACAGTTCTGAAGAAAAGAACTTGAGTATACTCCGTCCGGTAAAAAGAGCAATGAAACGCTTTGCCAATGCTTTGTGCTTTGTGCGTAAGCGACACATGGTAAATCAAAAATTTAAGTTATCTTTGTTACTCTCTGAAATATGACGGAAGAACTGGCTGTTTCGTTTTTATTTTTAATATTTAGCAAAATCTCGAAATAAATTCTATTTGGAACTAACTAAACTAAACTAAACCAACAAACAATTGTTTTCAAAAAAATTCAAAAGATTTTAACTGAAAGCGATAGATTTTGATAGATTTTGAAATATTAAAAATATTTGCGCGATGCTAGACCGCGTTACGTCAGTAGCCAGACATAGCAGACGAGTGGCTGTCGGACTGGGGGGTTTAGAGTATTCATTTTAAGCGGGCACGGATGTACGGATTGTTAAATTCTGTGAACTTTATCGGAATTAAAAATGCCAAACAGGAAGGGGTGTTTTGTTCCAAAATGTACAACTGCGTCCAGTACAACAATAAAAAAAAATGTTTGTGAGTGTTACAAAAGCTCCTCTGCAACGTAAAAAGGGGTTTGACGGAGTTCGGCGAAACGTGAAATCAGTTTCTTCCACGTCGACTGCTGCGAAGATCATTTCGACCTGGAAAATGACATGAAAACTATCTGGAATATAAGTTGAATACCGTTCGAGCCGGGATGGAATTTGAAGTTGTACCACATAAATTTACATGCTGCCAGAGATTTACTCTCTACAAAACAGCGAGTGCTCAGCGTGAAAATTGAAAGACCGAAAGATGTCTCGAAATATTTGCCCAATGCGAAGCACTCAACCGAAAAGTTTCCCTGAATTAAAATATGTGTTTTCCAAGTGGACTCCAAAAAATATGTAGATGTATTTTTCGATTTTTAGAAGTCTAGGCAGGCTATACAAAACAGTGGGCCAAAAATCAAATTTTTTATTGTGAACTTGTCTAATTTTAATGAAAATTGACTCGGTTCCTAATATGAAGTATAGGTAAGTACGATGCTTTCTTTAAAACATTGAAGGTAAAGACATTTTCGGAATGAGAGAGACATTCTTCAGTTTTATTGCCTGATCGTTTAGCTAACGCAAGAGGGAACTTTCTTTCGGTAAAAAAATATATAATATTTTGTAGATTGTAGAAGAGAAGAAAACACACTTTTCACTATGCCAGATCGTTTTTTTTTTTTCTTTGCCGTTACTGAGTGCAAAATATTCATTGCAGAAAAAAAAACAAATAGCTTTCATAATTATTATGACCCTTCATATGTTTTTAGATCATAAACTTAAAATGAATAAAATAAAATAAATGTAGATGTAGAACAACACTGCTCTGAGGTTCGTTTAAATTTATCTTATTTGTCAAAAACTTGTACATCGTTTTCGTATTGACATGGGGGTAAATTTCGCGAATCAGTCATTTGAACCCTTGAAACATTGTGTTGCCACATATAAATAAAATACAGAAACGTTTATGAGAATTCGGAATACTCTCCGTATACTCGGCCGTCCGGCACAACGTGGCATCTGCTGTCTGGCTGCTGACGCCACGCGGCCTAGCCTCGCGCAAAGTTTCGTTTTCTAACTTCGTGCTGACCCAGAAGGAGTAAATATCAATATTTTGCGGTTGTGGTTTTTCAATAACAAACTCTCTAGATTGTAGTTAAAATAAAAGTCATACGAAAAATGTTTAACCGATCTATTGTTCTGAAATACCCCAAGTTGGATTACGTACATAAAACCCCCAGTATCTGGTCGCGCGTCTTATATATCCGCACCGGCGTGTTTCTAGCTGATACTGAAGACGAAAACGCAGACGCCGCTAGTGCTCAATTATATCCTTCTGAGGGGGCCGATCGGCGACATCAAGGTGCGGCCGCGCATCTACGAGTTCGAATTCACCGATCAGAATACAGAGAGCCCCTACGTCATGCTTCCGTTGCCCGACACGGCCGAGTGCAACCGCCTCCTCGCCGCCAAGACGATAAATTTCAGGTCAGATTTCTTTCGAACCGACGGGTTAATTTGAATTACCGTGCTTTATTTAAAAAAGAAGAATTTTCCATGTCGTTCACATATGGAATAAAATTTCGTCCCAATTATTCGCATAGTACTCCCATAAATTTCGTTTATGTTGACATGACTATTCGCGATATTTGCGAAAGTACTATGCGTGGAAAATTGTAGCGTCATATATCAGTTAAACACCGATTCGATCAAATATCGTAGCAGATACATTTTCCGCAGTTTATTGTCTAAAGAAGGCAAATTGAAATGCATCAAAAAATTATATATTTCATGCGTACAAAGAACCGCCAGAGCGCGTCATTCTTTTTACAATGAATCAGATCAAAAATGTACAATCAGACCTACAGAAAATACATTATTGTTATGCAATGTATTTCCGAACCTCTCTGACGAAAGGAAGGAGGATTCTCACGTAATTTTAAAACTAAAATGTGGTTAAAATTTTTATGTTTAAAAATTAAAACTTTACGAGTTTTATTTTTATTAATTAGTTGCAAACGATATTCTAGTCATACTTGGTTCCACATATTTTTTTATTTTTATTACTTCAATTTTTTCTTCGATCTGTTATGATAAAATTGTAACTAGCAAAAATTTGAAAAAAGAAAACCAATCAATACGGCAAAAATATTTTCAATATTTCGGATATACCGGAAGTATTATAAATAATCTAAATTAAATGACCAACAGACTATTTTGAACATGGTAAATTAATAAAGTAAAGGTTTGTGTAAGTTTAGTATAGACAAAATTTACAGATATTGTTCGGCCTGCAAACGTCATTTTTGACATAAAATATGATATATCTACGATATATGAAATTTAGATATGAGATATTTTACACGAAATACGTTTAGAATTTTCGTAGTTTTCCCATAGTAGATCAACTAAATTCTCGATAGGACGCCCTATATATATTGAATATAATTTTTCAAAAAAATTTCTACAAGCGTAGATTGTTCATAAATCCCACTTGCTGACGTTTGGCCAATCATCTTGTTGGCTTCTTCAGAGCTTAACTGATACTGTGTCATTTTATATAAATAATATATTAAACATACTTTAATTAATGAACATTCTCCTAATTAGCTCTATCTTAGGTTTTTTTTGCAGGTTACTTATGTTTTTAGCATCGAAATGAGTGATGACTGCAATTTGAGGACGTACGGCGAACGGGTGGGAGGGCAGGGACTGTGTTGACCTCAAAAGTTTTGTAATAAATTCATTGTGCTATACCGAATCCTAGGGATTTTTTTTTTAATTTAAGGAGGATCTCTTATAGAGCTAAGGTTTTGTTTTCATATATCAACTAAGTTTTTAATTTAACTTGAGTGAACCATTATTTTTTTAGTTATATTTTTACACTTTTTTTGAGGTATACTTATATATACATTTATATATTATTACCAAATTGTTTTTGTATTTTTTGTTCACGAATTTTTTTGCGAAAGGCACTTTATGTTTAAGGGAAGGGCATATAATAAATTATTATATTATCTATAGAATAAAAACTTAAAACTGCAAAATATGGTTTTATTCAAATTATTTTCACATGTCTGTATTACTTTAAGCGCCACACGTCCAAGAGGCCGCTCTCTCCTCCCGTAACCAAAAAATCGACCTGTAAAAAAGCAAGTTGCATTTGCCCAGTTAAATTCGTAATATTTTCAAAATTAATGCTATGAAATGTATCAAAAATTTTCGACATCGGACAAAAAGTGAAATTACGCGCGGACAAATGTCTTGTCACTCACATCTCTGTTATACCACGCGCAGCGCACCCTCTGCCCATTCTCGACAAATCGCGAGCCGCGTTGCACGGCCCCTGCTGTCATTTTCAAGCTCCTCAGCGAGCGTTTTGATCCAACCAGAATCGACAAGTGATCACGACCCACGACGACCTCTGCTACGTACACGTCGTCCGTCTTAACCTAAAAAAAGAAATTACAGATTAGTTTGAATTACACCGTTGGCGTTTCGGCAGTCACTATTAGTTAATTTGAACTAGACTATATCCAAATTTACCATTATTTGGCTCGCGATGTCGTTACGTTCGAGTCGAGCGTAGGGCTCCGCCCCGTCCAGATCCCACAACTGCAAGTCGACCGTCGACGTCACGCAACTTATCCTATAACGGCCCTTTTCGTCGAACCACGTCAAACTGTCCACGAACTTTTCCGTATTTAGGCACTGTTGCAGCGCGTCATCTTCCGACGTCTCGACTAAATTATAAATGTTGATCAGGCCGTCGGTAGAACCCGACATTAGCGTGTTGCTGTCATCTGGATGAAATCTAACCTAAAAAGTTTCTAATTCCATGACCAGGGGCTAAATCACAAGTTCCATAAACGAAACGAAACTACCTCCCAGTTGGAAAAAGGCAATTGTTAGTCCCATAGGTAAGAAAGGCAATAAATATTTAGCAAACAATATCAACCAATCAGTCTAACTTGTATTCTCTGCAAATTTATGGAGAAGATAGTTGCTTGGGAACTAAATGAATTTCTAATGACAAATCATCAGGCCTTCCTTGCCAACCAGCATGGCTTTCTACCAGGAAGATCCAGGATAAAGGATATCCAGTAGATATAATATACCTGGATTTTGAAAAAGCTTTTGAAACAGTCCCCCTGACAGAACTTGTTTGCAAACTACACCACTATGGGTATAAGAATTAAACTGCTGGGATTTATCAAGGACTACCTTTCATGTAGGACATTCCAGGTGAGGATAAATGGCTGCCTCTCATCAGATTTTGAGGTTTTGAGTGGAGTGCCTCAGGGATCAGTGCTGACCCAACTATAACATGGGGACCTAGTTGAAGATTTAGCTAAACTGGAGAGATGGACAAGGAACTGGCTGAAGGGTCTCAATGCATACAAATATACAACTCCACAATAAAGGTTACAACAATCTTAAATTTGACCATGGTACAAAGATAGTAAAACATATACTACGTGCTTTCAAGGACATGTCTCTTTTTTTCGAGCATATAACCTTCCATATGAAGATCGATTAAAATCTCCGAAATACCTCTGAAGAAAGGAAAAGAAAGGGGGACTTAATTGAATGCTACAAAATCCTGCATGGCCACTACTCATGTGATATTGACTTTTTTCATCGAAATGACAATAACCTATTCCGTCACAGTCTTTCACGCCAAAAATTTATAACAAACTGTGTTGTAAATGAGTGGAACAGTTTATCAGATGATATTGTGACTGCACCTACCCTGAATAGACTTGATAATTTTGTAAACTGCATATAGTGTTTTTACATATAGTATAATACAGTTTTACCGGCTTTACCGCCTACTGCCTAACAGTATAACAATAAGTTAGGTTTCATGATTTGATTGGTCCAGGTTATACAGCGTTTTATTGGTGTTGTTTTCTGTTATTGTGTGTCCCTGGTGTGCGATAATCAGTCTAATTTAAATAAACATACAAAAAAGTGCATATTCTGAAGCCCAAGATTGTTTATTACATGTAAGTACACCACTCTCACTAAAAGTATTTTATTAAGACTCAAGGCTGCTGTAATTTTGTTATTGATTTTGATCGTCAGTACTCTAACTGCCAATGAGAAAGTGGCAGAAATTTATTTTCTAGATTGACTTCTAAATGAAGCTGTTGTGTTTTAATGTGCACTTGTAAAATTTATTACCACAAATTTTCTTGTATCTGTAGCGACACTTAGGCACCACCAATTAAATCATGGAGCCTAAATTGTGATTTAGCCGCTCCTATTACAAGGGTCACATTCCAAAAGAGAGCTACGAACCTGAGTAATATCATCCGTGTGTGACTCCCAATAACCTCCGAGCAATTTTGTACTTCTCACGTCCCAAAACAATATGAAAGCGTCTCCATCTATCAGATCCGTTCCGGCCGCCAACAATCTTTTGTTAGCGGAGACGTCGAACGAATTTATGGATTTCGGATCGCTCGTCGCATCGAGAGTCCTATCTAAATGAGGGTAAATTCTGGGAATGTTACCGAGGCCCATTGTACTACCTACGAAACTAATGGCCTCCTTTTCCGGACTCCTTGTGTCCCACAATTTTATAGTCCCGTCGTTCGATCCCGTATACAGGAGGGAATCATCAAACTTGCATTCAACCACTTTTTTCTCGTGTCCCTTGAACCGAGCTATGCTTGTTAGATCCTGGGCAAAGTCAAATACTTCGCAAGAGTTATCTAAAAGTGTTACAGCTAAGTAAGGATTCGTCTGACTAAAAAAGATTTCTCGTAATATCGCACTGGAAATTATCAGGGCCTACCTGTTGCCGCACACGTGCAAAATGTATTCGGAAGCGACCGCTTTCTGTCGAACGTGCGAACACGGCGCAAATCTTTCGTTTATGGCGTCTGTGCGCGAAGGATCCGCATCCGAATCGCTGCTGAAGTTGTTTGCTTCCGTATAATTCGTGTAGTGTGACATTTTTGTGAGAGCGGCGATTTGCGTACTTTTTATTTGTGAGGTTAGTTCAGCTCAAACAATTCCATACAATAGTTCAGCAAAACGATCATGGCCATATGGCCGCCCAATATTAGAAACACGCCCCAGGACAAATTTGTGTTCTGTGGCTTTGAATTAAATAGTGTGTTCTATATTTAATGGACATCGTTGCGGAAGGCTAGTCGCAATTAGGCGCAAAATTTATTAATTATTTTTTTTAAGTTTTATCTTTACCGTGCAATACGTGTTTCGATAGTATTGTCGGTATAATTTTTCTTGACGCATTTAAATGAAGACTAGATGGTACTGCAATTAAACACAATTTTTATTGTTATTGGGCAAATTAGGAAAATAAATTGTAGAGGCCTACAAGAACACAATTTTTTTAAAAAGCTCTTTATGTTTTAATTGGGAAATATTTTTTCTTAGTTTTTACCCCCTTAGCATTTTGATAAAACTAAACTAATTGCACCGTATCGTTAAATTGTAATTAGGGCAATTTAAACAAATCGCCTTAATAAATCGAAACATCAGTTCAAAATTTTGGATTTTTTGCTGTACTTGTTGAGAAGAATTAAAATAGAATTTACTCCATTTCCTTGCACTCATTCTTTGTTTCGTTTTGTTTGTTTTGTTTTTACCAACATTTAAAAAATTCTCATTGAAGCATTTTAGAAATTTTACCGAAATTGAAATGTTGCCAAAAATTCACTAATAAAATTATCGCGAAAATCGCTTTAAAAACATTTAAAGCAAATTGAAACATGTACCGTGCACGTCCATCACAGTTGCGAAATTAGATTTAACATTTCGGTCGGCGACATCCGCTATCGCCAAAAAATGATGCGAGAGAACGCGCGACGACGCAGTTGGTCGAAAAAAAGCGAATAACGTTTTCTTTGTGTTGTTGGGCAATATACGGGAGGAAAGAGCGCATCGGCAGTCAGCAGGCCATGCGCGGCGATGTTTAGCGGAATCTCATTAAAAATTTCTTTCGGGGCGCAAAAGTAGGTTAGGAGAAAGTTAACGTTTCGCGTGGAATCCGCGCAACCGACTCAGTGCAACGTTCGCGGCGTTCGAGGTGTGGCGGTTAGCATCGGTGATCGCCGATATACGCGATATACTAGCGTCCAGTCCGCCGAAAAGGTAAGCGCTGTTGATATTTGCTCGGTTCTAGCGCCTTTGGTCGCTGCGCGACAGGAAATCGCAGTAGTATGCGCAGACAACAGATCGTTACTACACATTTTACTGTCCAAAAAGATGGACTGAATAACTAAACTTCGTTTAATTATTCATAGCGAACATATTGGGATCACGAAATATTGCAATAGTTGAAAATTTTACGTCTTTTTTATGATTTTCTACCAGCAAGCAGAAACAAATTAATTAAATTTTTTATCAATAAAATAAAAGAATTGCAATAAGGAATCCATTGAATTATTAAAATCTGTGAAAACGATTAATTGGAATTTTTAAATTGTCACAAATGAAGTTCAAAAACACATGCTACGGCAGTTAGAAATTCAAATTTAACTAGGGAGCGTGATTAATAATAATTTTTATTTTCTTATTAATAATGTTTATATTATTGATGCGGAGGATGACTTTAATATCGTATAGCTGAGGGGGAAATTAAAAGCTAATATTTTTGAAGTTTTTGTTATCTAACCGGAAAACAAGATAGAGTTGATATAATTTTGTTATTACTCGATGATATTATCTACGTATTAACACTTCCTCGTCGAATCGCTTGAATAGCGTATTTTATGTGTCTCACTTTTTGTTGGTTTTATCTCTACTTTTAGAGCTGATTTGCCTGCCGAGGAGCAATCAAACAACGAACGAATCCAAAATTATAAGCGGGTCGTAATGAAATCGTTTACATTTTCCATAGTCTGGCGACGTTGCCAAATCGCGTAATTTTCGGACACATGCGACCGCATTTTCGAAATGAAATAAAAAATATTGCAGGTAATCTTCGGGCGCCGCTGTCGACCTCCGTAAATAAACGCGCTTCAAATGTGGGTCGAATTGGTACCGGTTGTGCGCGAGGCGAAAGAAGAAGAAAGCATTTTACTTTCTTCGGTGCCGGCGTCACTTTCACAACCTTAACATTGAAACGTACCGTGTCTAAGCCACCGAAAATTGGTGGTCGAAAAATTATGCATTCAATAAACGGCAACTGCAAAATTTTCTACAGTAATACAGTCCACAGAATGTCATTCCACATTATATACATATATTAAATATATTTGTTTAAGTGTGAATTTAAAGCACATATCACACAGTGACAGGTGTTTCTGTTTGTTTGTTTTTTTAATCGAAATTATATTTTAGTGTTTGGTTTGAATTTACAGTCTAAAAAAATGGTTAGGATCGTCTTGGTTCTGTGATATTCGTTTTTCTTTTTAATTTATACCGCGGTTTTGATTTGTTTGGCAGTTTAGTCCTTTAACAAAAAGCTATTTCCGGCCAAACGCTGTATCTTTTAGAAGGAGAGAAGGAAAGAAACAATCAAAAGCTGCAACAATTATTTTATTTTCGATTACGGCAAATCTGTTTAGCTGGGGAAAGAACCAGTTTTTGGTTAGTTCGGACTCAATTCCTTCTTAACGATAGAGTACCACCTGACAAAGTCGCGGAAACTTGCAATGGTTCGTGCGACGTCCCCTTTGCACGCCATCTATTACCGTGCAATTGAGTTATCGTCGCTAAAAGTCAGACAACGCATCGATGAGAAAAGCCTGCTCATCTGACCACAAGCATTCAATTTGATTTGATTTTTCAATCATTTATACTAAGCTGTTTTTTTTTTACTTTTTCGAACGGAGTGTTGTGAATTTTTTAGTTTTAAGGCCAATTAATCACGTTTCCGGACATTATCACGATTGAAATTCGCCGGACGTGCGATTTTTATCGTTCGGCACGACCTCGCTGGATATCAAAATCGCGCCCGCACATCCGATCCTCATTATCGACTCCTAATACGTTGCTAATCGAGTCGCCTATAATAAACCTGACAAAACGCTTCGGCGTCGACTTGATTGATTCGTTTGTTTCGTAGTTTTTATCGCACTCGCATAAACAATGGGTTCGGGTGGTCAATCGAACAACGACGAGTACGTTTCGACGTTGCCGGAGTCGGAAAAGAAGAGGGCCCTAGACGAACTGAGGGAGGATGATAACATCCGAGACCAGAGTCTCGAACAGATGAGGGAATGGATCAACAAACATCCGAACATAAAAAAGTGTCGTACCGGTGAGTAATTAGAGGCGTGAGATCCCGCGGCAATACTTCGTTTAGCAAATTAGGTTTAGTTAGTTGTGTTTGTTACTCATTTAAATGGGAGAATGGTGTGTTCCCATTGGGATGTTATTTTAATTGCTATATTTACCCCTATAATTCTTGCCAACATCGTCTACATATATTATTTAATAATAAAACAATATTTTCTTTGTAATAATCCAACTTCTTAGGCGCATACGAATTGAATTAATTAGAAATTCAAAATAATTAAGTCTTCTTTTCACATAAAATGTATATTACATATACATTACATTTAAAATAAAAATTGTTAGTCACAAAAAGCAATATATGGTTTTTCAGAAGTGCAATGGGTATTTATGTGTATTTTATAAATAAAAAATAAGTCAGTATATTTTAGTCTTGTTTACCTAATAATTTATTGGTCGGAAAAAAAGTGTCAGAAGTGAAAAAATACACACTGCTTTTTCTGACCAACAAATTATTAGGTAAATAATATTGACTTATTATTTATTACAAATGATTATTGAGAATTATTTGATAATGATAAGGTATATGTGATAGAAAAATAAATAAGAACTAAAAGTTCAGATTTAAATGAACATTTGATAAAGACACGGTATTGTCGAAACAATTGTCATGTCATAATACATAATTTCGTGAAAATCTGAACTTTTAGTTCTTATTTATTTTGATAAATGGATTTTCATCAAGTAAAAGCCACCTCAGTTCAATATATGTGATAGAAATGATAAAATCAAATTCATATTTATATGTTTTATTTATTAGATAATTAGATGAGTTAGCAATTTACTTATCCGCAGAAAAAGTTCCTTTTGCCCGATATGTTCTATACCGGAACCATAATATGCAGTTTTGATTAAAATTTATGAAATTTAATAGTCAAATAGTCAAAATATGTGACAACTGCTTAGTTTAGAGAAGGATAAACGACTGAAACCATTTTAAAGAGTCCCCCTTAAAAAACTATTACTATGATACTTACAAAACTTCTGGATTCCTCTTGCGTCGGTTTTTGGTGAGTCGAACTCGTTCCAGAAGTTTTGTAAAAAGTTTTACAGTAGCCTGTAAACTTCACAATTTTCTAATTGTGATCGATATCGATTACAGTCTTGGGTAAATTGATATATTATATTACAGCTACAACAGTATCATATCCAGGTCGACGTGTAATAACAGCCGTAAACGGTTAAATCGGTCGAGGCAATATTTTAAGTCTTAAATACGAAGTCGTTTATATTTCGTTAGGCCGTATTGATTGGGAGTCTGCAAAATTCGATGGCGCATTTTAAACTGTTTGAGAAAATGGTATCGTTCCATATATTATGTACGCAGAGGCGGGGTTGGTATCGAGAGAAAGTCGGACTCTTCGGGTTATTAATTGCGAGTTTTTAAATGCTACGCGCGCAATTTTGCAGGTTATGTTACTTTTTTTGCAATGGCACGTCGTCGGTTTCGATGAACGTCGGTTCACATGTGGGCCGCCTTTTTCTGTGTTATTAACTTGATTATTGTTGGACGTATAATATATCTAACCCAGATCGCGAAAATAATGACGTTATATATTACGCATCTGTATAAGCTTGCGTGCCCGTTGGCCCAGATATTCAACGCCAAAGAAAATAATTTTAAAAACGCATGTATTTTGAAATGCATGTATTTTTTTACTAGAAATTCGAAATTATAATAATTAAATATACCTGCAATTATTTATGGCGCATGGTGTAACATATACCACGCGGACCACAGAGGTCCATCCAACTATATATCTATGGGGTGGACCGCAATGAATGTGCTAAAAGCAATCCTATATTAAACTCGTGAAAATATTGATGTCGAGCCAAGCATGCTTTAGTAAAATGTTACACATTGTTGCTCAACGTGCGGGCGTGCGGCTGTTAAAGTTTAGTTGTCGAATAAATTAATAATTTGCAATATATTTTTATTTTGGTTAGTTTGCTATAAATTATGTTCCAAACAATTTTGGAAATTTTCGTTGTCTTTTGCACTTCAAAATAATTACTTTATTTCGATCTGACAACGCTGCAGTTCAAATTTGCTAACAAATAAACTTTTAACCATAACCAACGAAGCTTGTTATTTTATAGTAAATTCCTTTCTAGAAAGATTAAGTTTGTCGAGGAGCGGAGGCAAACATTTTAATACTCCAACGTTTTTGGCATATCAAAATGCTTTTAGATGATATAAAGACCATAAGAGCATTAAAATTGATGCGCCTCAGGCAGCTGTGACATTTTTTGCCATTTTATTGATAAACAGCTATTTCAACACATTTACAATGTTTTTTCTTTGAACATTTAATCGGCTTTGACGATGATTTGTCGAAAGTGGGATTTTAAATGACAGATTGGATAGGTTGAGAGCATGTTTTGACTCGCGCATGCAAGGCAAGGTCTTTAGACACTAGCTAACTTACTAGCTATATAATAGACACTATTAACAAAACAATTATGCAAACTAATAGTACCAGAAGGTAAAATCGATCGTCACCGCACGTTTAATGCAAAAGCAAGGAGATATAAAGGTGATGAAAAATTAGAAGAAAAAATAATGTCGGTTTGTAGTCAGATACAAGGAATAAAAACAAGTGTTCCTATTTAATAATTTTTAGTTTGCCTATTTAGCTGCAAAATTTAACCCAATTAACGTCAATGAATAAATTTAAATAATTGCAATTGGAATGATGCACCCTCCCTCTCCTTCTCGCAGATTCTGCGTTCCTGCTGCGTTTCCTGCGAACGAAAAAATTCAGCGTGCCTCTCGCGTGCGAGATGCTCGAACGCTACTTGACCATAAGGCAACTTTACCCGCAGTGGTTCCGGAACCTGGACTGCGAGGACCCGGACCTGGCCGATATCATCGATGCTGGATACCTGGTGCCCCTACTCGATAGGGACCACGGCCGAATGGTAAAACCAATTACGTAATAAATAGAGACTCTGCTAGTTATTCGTAAAATGCTTTAACCAAACCTATACGAACGGTGGTTACATTCCGTTATCACTCTTTTCAAGGTAGAATTATTTTACATGTTGTTCATGGACACGTCACTGTTTCCATGACAAGTATTTCTAGAACGCCCTTTACGCCCGTTTTCGCAGAATAGAAAATCCAACTGGCGCAAGAACGACCTTATTTCTTTTCTTTCTACAAATTTTTCAGTATTCACCATTAAAACCATTGCTAAACTATACCGGTAAACAAAAAAATCGGTAATTTAACTGTTCTGTTTGTTTTTTGGTTTTAATTCAAAAGTTTCGTTCCAATTTACGTGTTTTTGAGTTTCTGTGGGTGTCGTGCGGACCATCTACCATGATAGAAATATATCAATAAAATCCAAAATCTGATAGATTAAAATTTTTATGCATCGCAAATTTTGCTTGTCGGGTTTTCTTTAGATATACAGTAAAATTATTTTTTTTCTTAAAAATCGCAAAGTTGCGTATATGTATTTACATATGTATATATTTAATTCATATACTATATAATATTCTATAATTTAAAAAATAAAAACTTAAAATCATTCCAATGTTATAAAAATATAAAACTACATACTAGCTTTTAATACGTAAATGTACACGTGTATTAATTACATGTATAACTTATACAATGCACGTCAACGCTATCTTTTACTCTCTGCTGATCTGATGGTACGTCCTTGCTGTATCAGGAAGTTTCAACTTCAGGATTCTCGGTCTACCTACGCATGCAAAAATTTGCTGCTGTTTGAAGGATACACATTTATCTAGACAATTTAATATTTTACATTTTTTTGCTGTGAGTTAATGTTTTGTGAGATCTTTTGTTTGGAGTCATTGTGAACGGAACGGAAAATATGGGTCTCACAAACGAATAAAAAGAATGCAAACATTTAAAATTTTTGAAAATGTCAGGTTCATAGTGCAATTCGGATCACTGGAGTGTCCGTTTAGTTAGTTTAGTACGTTAGTGTCTGAACTAATACTCTACATACAAAATTTCTTATGTCTTTGTGTGTGTCTTTGTGTTTTGATGCAGTAACAGGCATAACCGAATAGGCAAATAACTGCACCTTAGACGCAAGTTCTCAAATTCGAGATCCCTGTATTAAAAAAAAAATAATGGGCGCAGATTCTGTTCAGCTGCGCTGGCAAGTTCGACCCGCACAAATTCACCTCCGCGCACATGGTCAAGGTGCACAGTCTTGTTACCGAGGCGCTCATGGATGATGAAATCAACCAAATCAACGGGTACACGTACATCAACGACGAGAGCGGCTTCCAGATGGCGCACATATCGCTGTGGTCGCTGACCGACGTACGGAACATACTCAGGTGTATACAGGTAAGGGTTCGACATTTCCGCAACACAAAAAGTAATTTTCATTTTTCAGTTGCTTAGAAAGGAAAAATTTCCAAAATTAAACAAGTTACAGTTTTTATTTATCTCAAAAACCCCTGTTATCTTAAAAGAATCCACATATAATAGATTAGTATTATTTTTGCACCCATTATTTTGGCAATGTTTTACTTTATTCCTTATTTTAAGCGTGCACACATGATAAGAAAAAATTGTTTTTGTCTTTTTTTACGATAAAGTTCAACGCTATGTACGTTAATTTCGAAAGCAGTAACTATTTTGGGTTATAAATGTAAAGGAAAATTATTTGCTTCTGTTTCATTTATTTTATGTTTCTTTTATTCTAAATACTCCAAAAACACCTGATTTGACAACAACGACAAATGTTGTTTCTATGGTTCTTATTTAATTTATTCCTTTTCAGTTTTATGAAATGTTATTTTTTTTTTCTTTTTGAGTTTTTTTCTTTAGCTATTTTTTCAGCACCCTGTACCTACTGAGGTGTTCGTGAACACACTGCGGCGTTTCTTTAATTCACTTTATGTACTTACTTGTTTTTGAGGCACCCCTATACACACAGTTCATCCGGTGGACGGTGGATGAGGAAGTGACGTTTTTCTACTACTCTGGAATAGCAAGCGCAGTGTCGGATTAAGATGTGCCGATAATAACTACATTATTTGTCGACGTTTTTTAATTGTTGTTTTGCTGTTTTATCCGTGATTATATAATATAAAATTTTTAATTTGATTATTAACTATAGAGTGTAAGGAATGAGAAAAATGTTTCACTCTAGGTAAGTCGTTATTTACAATATGGTGTTCAGAAAACATTTATTTTAATAGATGGAGAGGAGGTGTGTGTCTTGTCTCAAATAGGAAATTTAACGACTAAAATTTATCATATACATTAAAGTAACAAATATCAGTTTATGTTTGCAAATAAAAAACATAATAGAACAAAAGAGAAAGTTTCTTACTCTCAGATTTAATCTCGAAAACAAGTAATTTTGAAGAAAACAATAGGAAAAACTATCAATATAGTAGCACAGTGTTGCCACGTTTTCTTCTGAAAGGCGGAGCTGAGAGACGCAAACCGTTTACTTAAGGTCGCGGAGCGATGTTGCCAAGCCGGTAGATTTAACTTCTTTTTAAAGTTTAAGATCGTATTTGTGAACGAACTCCTGCGAATCTCCTTACTTGGCTTTAATATTTTTGGCTTACATCGTTGCAGAACACCACGCCTATGAGGCACAAGGCCAACCATTTCCTCAACATATCGCCGAGCGCCATAAAGCTGATCGAATTCGCTGTGTCGCTGCTCAATGACAAACTGAGGAGCAGAATATTCGTGAGTGCCTCCTCCTCTCCTAGCTTCCTACTTTACGAACCTCGAAAAAAAAATGTCTTGCAGATGTACAAGTCCGTGGAAGAACTTCACGAGAAGATCGACAAGAAAATATTGCCCAAAGAGTACGGAGGCGAAGTGCCGATGGAGGACATGGTGCGCCAGTTCAAGGCCCTCCTTAAGGAAAAACGGGACGCCATATTGGCATTAGACGACATGTACATAGAAATCGACGAGAAGACCTGCCCTCTGGTGTCGGAAATGAACGAGGAACTCGGCATCGGTATAGATGGTAGCTTCAAGAAACTGACTGTCGACTAAATTTCTTTTGTCGCTCCACTCCCACTCTCTCTACTTCACGAACCTCCAGTCTAGCTTTAATTTAATTTTAAAAAGTTGCGTTTTTATATATATGTATATGTATATGTTATTTTTTTTTGTTTGTCGCCTGGTGGAATAAAGTTACCGATCGTTATACGCGTAAGACGTACGTCTGCGTAGTGTTAAACGTTAATGTTATCGTAAAATAAGCGGGCGTGTTTTCCTTCTTTGAATTCGCTGACTTTTTACTATTCTGTGATGTTTCATTTTTGATTTTTGGAAAATAAACGCGTTATTGGGTTTTCGTTTTTTATTGTACCTATTAGTTTCCATCGACTGCAAAACCTGAACATTTTAAATCTGTTAAAGATAGTACACATAGTGACATTAGCCAGTCAAGCACTCGATCATTATTCGGTTGATATACAGGGTGTTAATCGAATCTGGATCCCACCCCGACCCTGAATTGATATTTGGTTCGCTCCAAAAAAAGGCCCAACAGGACGACTAGCCCCAACCGAGCTCTCAAGTTGACGACAATTGCGATGAATATCAATAAAACGTTTCCAAATGAACGGAACATGTTTGCAGCTAATATTTAATGTTAATTTAATCTCTTACATGGTTATGGTACAAAACTTGTCATTTGGGCCTTGTGTAGCTCATGACCGGGCAAACGCAGAGGTTCAAATGAAATAATTGATATATCGCGGCAGAAAACGCCGCCGCCCAGGACGTAAATATTAGATTAAATAAAATAACAGTTCCAGTTACGACCTAAAGGGCCCCACAGACGCTCAGTTTTTTAATACAGGCTGCCTGTGGAAACCTAGTTTTTGCAGGCATATCGGTGCGTTTATTGAACGTCTGGCCGACTGCGCAGGCCGTTGGCCTGGCCTGAGCAAAATCAGACCGTGCTTGAATTTAGCCTGTGCAAACTTGGAAATCTGAGCGTGTGTGGGACTCGTTCAGTTGATTTGTTCAGTTTTCAGGTTTATTTAGAATCCAAAAATAGTGAGCAACAAAATGACGAATGTTAACAGTTTTTAAGCGAATTTATTGAGGTATACAAAAGCTTACCATGTTTATGGAAAATAAAGAGTAAAGAATACAGTGACAAATAAAAAGTCCGCAGCCTATGATGTATTGGTCGAAAACCTCAAAGAAGTTGATACGGGAGCAAATAGGGAAGCCGTGGTTAAAAAAATAGCTGTTAACCGCTCATGGCATGAAATTGATTATCTCATGCATGTGCCTTGCTTTTGTATTAAAGGAGAAACGAGTTTCAATAATTTCAAATAGGTTGTCTCGTCCATTCTTAGGTAGTTAAACCAATCCTGCTTCTCAAGTTTCAAATCAGCAAGCAAGTTGACATGGGAGTAATCATTTCTTTTGAGCAACCAATCTTTGGTCCGTTTGCTTCTTTGAACCAACCATTCCTTTTTTTTTTCTTTTTCTTTATTGCACGGGCAAGCACAATCCAATATAATCGAATTTTCTTTTACTAAGTATAGAAAAACCGTGCCAAAACTAATGAGTGTGAATTTACCCAGTTGGCTGTATAGAAAGAACTGTGCTAAAAAACTGCGTGTGTGTGGGACAGGCAATAGTACAGTTAAACTGCACAAATTGGCCTGCACAGTTGGCCTGTGTTATAAAACCGAGCATCTGTGGTTGCCTTAAAACACGTAAGTGACCGCGAAGAGATCACTTTCATCCACCCCAAGTCACAGAGTATATATTTTGTCAAACATCATGGTCACAGCCCAGTAGTTATTTTTCATATGTGTACTATGAACGATTATCATTCATATTAACAAAGCTAACCAACAATACCGTGTAACTGTGGTGTTGTTGTGACACAGGTTATGTTTACAAATTGCATCGATATCAATTAATTAGTAACAAGGAACAAAAATCGTAGATTGTGACAAGAGATGAGAGCTGGTTCAATAGCCGCACATATTACAACTCACCCGATGTAATTTAATTTCGCTTAAAGTTGTCAGTAATTTCTGACTCTATACTTATAACAGGTTGCACCATAAACACTAACAAATTACAACTGAGAGCTTATTCAATCGGCGCAAAAGAATCAAAAAAGAATATGGAATCCATTAAATTACATGAATAAGAAATATTAAATAAATGCACTTTGCGGACTCTCGGTACAGTTAGGTTTGGTTAGTTTAAATCTGTCTGAGCAATAAAATTAAAGAATGGTTACGTAATTAAATTAAATCTAAGTGAATAAAACCTCTATTAAGATGCCAGCAAGGAAGTACGTTTTAAGTTAATTAATTTGCGAATGGAAAATTGCCGCGCCATCTATGTTTTAAAGGGTGGTTCCATTCGAGACCGGTGCAGTAAGGCTAAGCGCATCTCCCGATACCAATCGCGAAATTGTACGTATTAGCAATGTTCTCGCTAATCGGGAATCCTTTGTAGTGTTGATGAACAAAATAATAAGATCGCTTAATAAGTTTTTTTTTTCATATTTGGATGTCTTTAACTACTAGTCCCGAAATTTTGTTAAAGCCTAATACTGAAAAAAAAAACGAGTTTTAAGAATAAAATTAGCAATGTCCATCCGCTGAAACAGTTTGTTTCATATTTTGTCTAAACCTGATATTTAAATTGTTTTATTTGCAAGTGATTCCTAAAAAAATCCGAGCCACTTCGGACATTTCCAGGATTTTACCGCACGGGTTTGGGAACAATCGGAGATATTTTCCACGCTTTGAATTTTGACGTCAATTCTGACAGTCATGTCAGTGAATGTATTCGTGTTTTGCGAAAATGTACCTAAAAACTAACGGTCGTAGAAAAAGTATAGTATGCAACACATTCGGTAAACTTTTTAACTCACTCGTTTATTAAACACTCGCTCCGCTCGTGTCAAATAAACTCGTGAGTCAAATGCCGTTGACGGCAACCGTTGCATAATATACTATTTTCTACTCCCGTCTGTAAAATGCGTAATTACATCGATCTAGTGTGCGGGAAGCGTCACTTTACCACGTCAGTTTCGTTTCCCACCAATCCGAGCCACTTCGGACATTTCCGGGCATTTTAACGCAGGGGTTTGGGAGCAATCGGATCTTTTCGGATATTTTACCGCACGGTTTGCATTTTGACGGTCATTTCAGCAAATGTGTTGGTGTTGTTTTGCAAAAATGTACCCAAAAACTAATACACAGAAAAATGTTATGTAATATAAAGTTTCCCACATACATTTTTCATACAGTTCACATGAACTTTAATGGCTTTTCCAGACCAATTGTACGATTGAAGGTTAGAACTTGGGTTTTCTTGCTTATACGATCATTAAAATTTAATCCTCTTAAAAGCTCGATCCTTGGATGGTTTTTCTTCCAATGACAGTCTTTTTCTTTAAATAAACTACTTAATGATCAATTGTAAAAGTTAAATAAACAAAATAAGGTTTTAAAATTGCGTTTATTCCGTTGTTTATATGACATATTCAGTAATACACCTCTCTCTGTCTAACGTACCCAGTTAAAAAGAGACTATTTTAATTGGTTAAATTGTGTTATTTTCGTGACGGTCGTAGAAAAAGTATACTAGGCAACACGTTCGGTAAACTACTAAATATACTAATTCTATTCAACAGATGGCGCATTTCCGCAAGTATTAACGTTCCCTGTATGATGCACAGCCCGCGAGCGAAAAAGTTAGAACGGTGCATTAGTGGTCGTTTACGAAAAAAACACTCAGCTGCACTACAAGTCTTCTTTATTTATAAAAATGTTTGCCGGTTAAAAAAAAAACTATCCTATCAAATTAATAACTCTTACGCAAAAATACGAAACATTAAAGCGCGCATGGCTATGGAGACCGCGCCTACAAACACGAAACTCAAACTCATCCTTGAACTCCCTCCCGTAGCGATGATACCGAATACCAGCACATTATTCTCCACCTTGCTGGTATTAAAACTGATACCCAACGTTTCGTTGACCCTACTCTCGAGATAGGTCGCGTTCGAAACTGGCCTCAAATCGCCCCTCAAACTAGTGGGCCGGAAGAAAGTGTCCGGGCGGTTCTCGAAGTTGCCCCACACCGTGATTTGGCTAAACTTGGTGGTGAAGGTGCGCCTGATTCCACAAGTGTCAGCGTCGTCTCGCTCGCACCCTATCAGGGCGCATAGCTGCACATTAACATCAAGTTCGCCGATATTCTTCCTGCCGTTGAACGCTAATAACCTTCAAACGGTAAATCCATAGATAAAAAATTTCGGTTTGGTTAATGTTTTTTGTTAGTAAGTACAATTACATGACAATTATGCAATACACATTACGCTTATGTTATTATTCTGTGATCCCTTTTTTTTATTTCTTTACAAATTAGATTGTAGTATGGTATATAGTTTGCCAACGATATACCATTTTTACAACCTTTTATGGTTTTGACTTCGGAATGGGTTTCAGACCCACCTGTTGCAAAGCCCACCTTCATTTCAAGTTGAATTTGCCCATTATTAAAAACACATTAGAAAGCTTAAACTGATTTCCAATTTAAGGGTTTACCATAATTTAGAAAATTTTGAAAATTCCTACAAAAGAAGCAGTTATTGAAGGTTCTTAAGAAGTATGATATGGACAAGTTGGCCATGGAGTGAGGAATCAAAATTGCCCGTCCGTCATATCACTGCAATTTTAATCCGATAGAACTAATATGGGGATAGCTGAAACCCAGTTTAAGAAGAAACGACACCTCGCCGAAATTTAGCAATAGAATTAATTAGTCAAGTCAAATCAAGTCAAATATCTGCTTTTACTTGGGAAAAATAATACAGTAAGAATTGATATTTCACTGCATGGACTAATAATAATCGAAGAAAGTCTACACAAATATATGCACGAAATACTGAAGTACGGTTCTTGAACGTAATTGTGGAATTGCGAATCTATTTATTGAGGGTTACAAAGAGAAACCCAAGCGAGGTAGGCCTGCCTTCATAAAAAATTGCCACAGTTAAATACCGGATTATGGCGTACAAACGGTATATCGTCGGCGAACTTTACTATGTATGTCATCGTGTGCGTGTGATCACCCTCGTTTAAAATCCTGTCTTAGAACTTATAATAAACAGCAGGCCATTTTATGTCTAACTCTTTTATTTGAATAATTTTAACAGAAGTTACGCATTTCAGCTATGCTAGATCGCTCTTAGAATCCTCGGTACTTATCCGTACTTATAGTAGCTAGGTACTAGCCACACCGTTCTACTAGCCACCACATTAATCTTAATCATTGCCATCTCTTTCAACTTCAAAATTAATTACTGTCTGTATTGGAGAGCAATGTCACATATTTTTATTTTAAGAAGTAAAAAAAAGGATGCATTCTTGTTCTCAATGTATGTTTCGCACAACGTAAGTTCATATTTTAAGACAAAATGAAACATTTCCTATTTTAGCTCTCATTTCTAGCTGAATTTCATTAATTTGGCGTCCCTGTTAAATTTTTTTTTTAAATTAAATATCTAAAATATAAATCTTGCTTTATTCTAATTTTTCGCCGGTGATTGAAAAATTTAAACATCAGTTTTGGTGGTTTACATATTTACATACATATCGCTTACATATTTAAGAGTGTGTCTATTTTTTAAAATTATTATACAGAGTGTTTCATAATAATATCCTGGCCGTTGGGGGTGTAAATCTTTGAATTATTTTCAGAAAAAAAAAACAATTTTATAAATTCTGCTCGACTTACTTGTAAAATTCCGACGAATTCGCCTGGTTGACGACGACGTTGAAACTGCAGCAGAAGGAACCGCGGCAAACCTGCTCAGTCACGTTGTTGCCGTTTAGGGACAAATCGGGCGACTTGAGGGTGTACGACGAGGAATCGAAATCTCGCAGGGTCTGGAGACCGGCCAGCTCATCGGTCGTTTCGTTTCTCAGTATCCCGAAACCGAACGGATTCTGCGAAAAAAACAACTTTCCGTTTGTAAAACAAGGCCAAAAAATGTTCATAGACCGCAGAATATTCGCGATGGTGGCGTTGCTAATGCAGGGTGCGGCAAAAAGGTAGGCAGGATTTCAAATAGTGGTTGTTCGGTTTGTAAAACCGGCAACACTGTGTACGCAATTTTCAGTTATCGACTTGGCTTGGAGCGGGTGCATCGTGCTTTCGTTGTCAAGGAGTTTATTAGAAATGGGGAATCTGTAATAGCGACGCAGCGTAACCAGTTTGATGTTGGTCGGCATGGCGCGATTCCGGATGAAAGAACAATTCGTCGGTGGGTTTTACACTTCAGGGAAACAGGTTCTGCGCTTAACCGGAAATCTTCTTGCCGACCAAGGACAGTAAGAACACCGGAAAATGTGAATGCAGGAAGAGTTTCCGTACAACAGTCTCCAAGGCGTTCAGCTCGTAAGCATGCAGCTGCTTTGGGAATTCCCGATAGAAGAGTTCGAAGAATTTTACACAACTCACTCCAAATGCATCCGTACAAAATGATGGTAGTGCAGGAATTAAGCGCAAGAGATTTTGAAACCCGTACAAATTTATGCCGGGATATTCTTCAAAACATTCCCAGAGGCGCTGTATTCATGTGTTGCGATGAAGCTCACTTTCACCTCTCGGATGCCGTAAATAAGCAAAATTTCCGTTATTAGTCAGCAAATAGTCTACAGGAACGCAAATAGTCTACAGGAACTTCATGAGCGACCTCTTCACAGTCCAAAAGTCACCGTCTGGTGTGCAATCTCGGAGTTCGGCGTGTGGGGTCCTTACTTTTTCGAATAAGATGGAATAACGGTAACAGTCAACGGAAATCGATATTTTGATATGCTTAACAATTTCCTGCGTCCAAAAATGAACGAGTTGAAGAACGATCAAAGAGAACATCTTCGGTTCCAGCTACATCGCACACAACGCGTCGTTCACTAAATCTTCTTCAAGAAATGTTCCTAAACAAACTGGTATCTTTACGGGGTGATCTTGGCATATAGAGTTTTCACACATCGTCCGTGGACTTTGGAAGAATTAAATAAGACAAGAAATTGCCTGAATTCCCCAAGAAATGATCCATCGGGTAATGATGCATTTTCGGGAGAACCTACAAGAGTGCATCGACAATAATGGCCGTCATTTAAAAGACATCATTTTTAAAAAATAACGTTCCTAATTTAAAAAAAAATGTTTGCTTTATGTAGTTTGGTTTTTATGAACATCCCAAATATTACCTATCATTTTGCCGAACCCTGTAGTAAACAAACTTGGCACATGTTATGTTATCTGCAATAAACAAATTGTGGTTTTGTGATCAATTTTTGTGGTGTGGTTTGTCGAAAATCACGCAAGAACATCTTGCGACGAAATCCTTTTTTAGTTTTGTAGAAGGCTAAGCATTATTGAATGCAAGCAATTGAGTTTAGAGAACTTCTCTGAAACTAGCGAAAGGATTAATTAAATATTGTAAAAGGCTACAAATCGCATTGTAAAGGTGGTTTGTCGGTAAGTTGCAAATATATTGCTAAAGTGTCCTAGGTAGGTTTAAACAATAACATGCCGGATTGCCCCAAAATCTAATCCCGACATCGTAATTCTACAGATAATGAACACAAATGAATATCAGGAAAATATTCAAGATTCTCCTACAGACGGATATGGTCAACTTAAAATCCTACGTCATCTATGGAACGCAACCTCAAATCTGTTATTAAGGCTTCTTCTCTATCAGACTCGGTGAAGAAGTCTGTCACCCCTCATGATTCTAAAATTCCTCGCCTGTACGGCTCCCTAAGATTGACAAACCAGGATTACCCCTTCTAGCTATTGTCAGCACCATTGGTTCTCCAACATATTCTCTAGTAAATTATCTAGCTTATTTACTAAAACCTTTTACAGGGAAAACTCATCGATTCGTACTTAATTCCTTTCACTTCAATCAACAATTAAAAATCATTACATTAGATACACAAGATATTTTAGTTAGTTTCGAAGTAGAATCCCTCTTTACTAAAGACCCTATTCGTGAAACTCTCAACATCATTTCAGAGATATTAAAATCCGAGAATCTGGAATCAGACCTTTTCACCTTAAATAAAAAGTGCTTGTCTGGAACAAATATTTTTCTTATGATGGTCAATTTTTTGAACAAACGTCGCCTTTGCGAAGAAAGCTCTCGACACCTTCCATCTAAAACCAAAATTATGGAAACCCTACGTCGATGTTAATTTTGTTATTTGGCCTTATGGTCAAGAATCCTTAGTAGATTTTCTTAGACATTTAAACTCTATACATCCTAACATACGTGTTACCATTGAATTAGAAACTAATAATAATCTTAATCTCCCATTCTTAGATATTCTTATCAATAGAAAATCAGACCTAAAATTGGGTCATTGTGTTTACAAAAAACCTACGCACACAGACCGATACCTTAATGCATGGTCACACCACCATCCGGCCCAAAAATCATCAAAACTATCTCAGCTCAAATCATTGAACCCAGAATTAAAACACCTTACCTCTGCTCTTCTCTCTAATAATGTCAACATTAAAGATAATAATAATAATAGCAATGAGCCCGAAAGTAATGCCACACTTGCCATTGTCGGCCTTCCTTACATTCAAAACATCACTGACCACATATCAAAATGTCTAAAAAAATATAAGGTCAATGCGACACAGAATACATTGGCGAGACCGGTTCAAAGGGCATGAAAGAGCCTTAAGACATCAACAATCTACAGAAATCTATAAGCAACCTAACAATCTTAACCACGACTCGGATCTTCACCCGTCACCAATATGGGAATCAGTCATCAGAGACAGTGTTTATGCCCCTCATTTAGCATCCGCCCCTCAAATAATATAAAAGCAGGCACAAAGTAAAATGCAAGCCAGTTTCAACAGGATGATGTCCGAAACGTTAGCAAGTTCGACTCAAAAACAAGCGATGCAGGAGGAATCCCGACGTTTTGTAAATAGTAAAGAATAAAATATCAAAAACTATTATAAGGATAATTGTTATTTAATGTTTCCTCGAGTGAAATACATCAACTTGAAACTGGTAAACTTCTAAACTGAATCGTGAACGTGTTTGGTAAAACAAGCTAGTGTTTTAAGCATTATAAACCATACAACGCAAACATGAAACTTATACGAAAACTGCCGCCATTCCAAAGTATATTGTAAAATCGTCAATAACGTGGTAAGCATTCGTCAATCTAAACGAAGGTAACATACGGCGTTGCCGGACCTCTGTCAAAATCTTAAAGCGCCAAGATTTTTTACGACTTACGAAATTCCTGGGTTTTACGATCGACTCGACGTTGGCGAACAACAAGGTGGTAGAGGGGGAGCCAGTGATAACTTGACGAAGGATGGTGCCGTCCCTTCTGTAAATACCGCTGCCGCTGCCGGCCCCCGACGGCCTGTTGAGGTTTGCGGCCAGCAAGTTGATTCCGTTGGCAGCCGCGTAACCCGCTTGCACCTGCAACGCTGTAAACACGCCATCATTTACCCATAATTCAATAAATTTCGTGTGCGTTGATTAGAACTAGGACACTTACACGTGAAAAACGGCAGTTCCGATGACCACGCGGCAGTGAAAATGACGTCAGTGACTGTGCCGTTGCGGAGTACCGTTTGGGCGGGGTCGCGGAACAAAATGTCGTTGCACGTGATGAGACCGAATGTACCGAAATCGGTATCGAACACGACCGTCTCGTTACCGGGCGTCAGCTTAGGTTCGAAATACAGATTCAACTTGCGGTACCTGATGATTAGAGTTATGTAAAAAACATCTTTTTTATTATTAGGGATATCAATCCAATATTATGGATATACCCGTTTTAGAGTGAAATAATTAGATTAACGATATAAAAAAAATTCATATTTCGCATAAAATGAAGCTTTAGTACATATTTTTAGTTGTTGTACATAAAGTGATTATTTTCTACTTTCGAGCATAAAATCGCATATTTTTAACCTTTTCATTAGTGTATGGGATTTTCCAAACGGATAAGATTAAAAATGAAATGTATCTGCAATATTGTGGACCTTCTATTTATAGCTTTCAAATCATGTTAAGCCCTCGTTCTTTTTCTTGACGCTTTTATCTAATGTGATTTTAACAGCCTCTTCTGAAAATTATCACTGATGGTGCTTGTGATTGAATGAAACACACCCCACACCTCATATGTACTTCTGAATTTTTCCAAGCATTTTAAAAAAAGAGTGAACTATCATTGAACTCGAAATGCCGAAAATGAATTATCATTTGGTGTCTGCATGGAATCATCGATCAGTTGACATATATCAAAGCTGATTTAAGTTTTTTAAGTGGCTTTATTAAAAAATTAGAAACCGAACAAATGTGTTTGTTAGAGTCAATTTCAATAATAGAAGAGTGCGAACATTTGTTGAAAAAAGTTCCAAGCAGAATAGAGGAAAGTAATCTTGATAAATTTAATAGTGTAACGACAAAAAATGAAGGGTTTCAAAAGTTACTTAAAATTTCAAAAATTTTATCATTAGATGCGACTGTTGATAATGCTATTATTTAGAACCAGAACATCTTGCATCCTTTACTTCGGTCAACGTCGAAAGTACAACAGCATATTATGCGATAAAAGACAAAAATTAACCATAGAAAATTTAGAACAGCATTTAATTGTCAATTAATTAATAATAATATTATTAATTATTAATAATAATAGGTCTGATTGCAAAACTAAATAATTTTTATCATAATGCTGTAATATAGGTAATTAAGTATTATTATTTTTATGTCTAAAATCTGTAAATATAATATAATTGTTTGACTATCCTTTCCATGATTTTCAGTAAACAATATATGTAAAAATAAAGGGCATAAAAGTACAGAAATGGTAGAAAAAAGAATATATTTGACATATTCTTTGGAAAAAACAGTAAGTATTTTTTGTGCAGAAAAATCTGAACTCTACTGATGATAATCGTCAGACTAAATAGCAAATGCTCGCTTGGCTTACAAAAAAGTATGGTCCTGGTTTTTTCAGCTATCAGATTTTTTAATAAACTGCTTTTTATTATTTGTAATCTGCCCCGGTCGCGTACACAAGGGCCGTTAAGAATTTACTGATCAATAAAGGATTCTACGCTATGAGCAAATTTCTGCAATGTAATATTGCCTTGTAATTGTATTCTCTTTACTGATTTCATTTTTAATAGTTTCCATTGTATTTTATTTTTGTGTTTATTTATTATTTAAGTTATTATCCTTGTCCTATTTAAATTATCATCTTTATCAAAATCTGAAGTGGCTGTCTCTGGCGTAAAAGTGTAGGAAACGATGGGCTTACACATAAAAGTTAACTAGAGACAATTTAAAGCAGATAATTCGTTATTAATAATTACTGATTCAAACTGGAAGATGTAGTGAGAAACACCAAGTGCGGTAGAGTTGGGTGCTGCCTCCGTTCCTGTTCAATCTGTATTCGGAGGCGATTTTTCAGGAGGCTTTATTGCTAATAACATACACGACCTACAACAACTAGTCAACAAGATAGGAGAACAGAGCAAACAATGGGCCTGAAAATCAACGCCAAAAAAACTAAGTTTATGATTATCTTTAGAAACCTAAATATGTTTGAAAATTCCACCATAACATTTAACCCAAAGCCCATAGAAAGAGCAGGTAAGTTTAAATGCCTGGGCATCTGGCTTTGCGAAGAATAGACATCAGAGAAGGAAATAACAGAAAAAAACAGGCTCGACAGGCCGAGATTTCGAAAGGTGCTTATCTGTTCCGATTTTGAGATTCGTTAAGTGCTACGTTTCGTCAGTGCTTCTTTACAGTTTAGAAGGTTGGACACAAATAAATTGGAGGCCTTCGAGATGTGACTGTGCAGAATCCTAAAAATACCTTGGACGGCTAAGCTAACAAACCAAGAGGTCCTAAGACGTGCCAACAAACAACGTGAACTATTCTCCAATTTTTACAACCTTTTATGGTTTTGACTTCGGAATGAGTCTGTTGAAGGGACTATTATTTTCAGCACGTGTACCAAAAGCCAGGGCTGTGTTTAAGATGTTAGGCGACTGTTGTATTTTAAGAGCAGGATTTAAAATTAAGAATGAAGAAAAATCCGTCAGGTTTCAGCATTTGTATGCACGGAGTACCGAAGTACGGTTGTAGAACGTCATTGTGGAATTGCCAATTACCAAAGTTAAATACCGGATCATGTCGTAAAAACGGTCTATAGGTTGGAGAACTCTAAAACGGCAAACTGGGACATATAATGCGAAATACGAAATACCACTTCTTGCATCTGCTGATCGAAGGCAAGATCGAGAGGAGAGGAAAGGAACAAAATACAGCAACGAGAGGCAATGACAAATGTTATCACAAACATCCATTAGTGGATGCGCAATGGAAGATTTTATGTTTTCCCACATTTTTTTACACTTTGCATCGGGTATCAATTGAATGTAAGGAGCCGCTATTCAAGCTGTGCTGTCTAACGAGAGAGAGGAATAAAAAAATAAGGTTCTATAATTATGGCCAATAGACCCTCTGGATCGCAGTGACGCACAGGTTAAAAGCTAACTCTGTCAAACTTTAACCCCGAAAGATAAAACCAAAACTTTAACCAGGATTAATACCAAGTTGGCGCTTTAAATAAGCTGAAAACTAACTATATAACACATACTTGGCAATTATGGCACCAGACGACCCGAACACTACGTTCGTATTGTAGTAGATGGTTTCGTTTATGTCGTCTCTGGTCCGATTCGCCCTTTCCAGAACATTGATCACCACATAGATCGAATGTTCGCTGGCAGCGTTCGAGAGCCTCGTCAAGTACTGGAAATTCAAAAAAATGGTCGCAATCAGGCTTGTATTTACGCGCCTTATATTTAGAGGTTTCGCCGCACTGTTTTAAAAATTGCTTGCTCGAATTTAATTATTGTTAGCTCAATAATACGTTCAATATTCGCGGTACACATTCAAAAATTGACAAATGACGTCAGCGTGGAAAATACGTGTATTAAAATTTTGTAATTCTCTGTTGACTCATAATAAATAAACAATAGAAGGCGATACCTCATTACCACTTAGTAAACAAAGCGAACCCAAATGTAAACTAACCAAATTCTAAATTCTAAATGCGAAAATCTTCAGTTTTCATATTTCGCTTATGTATGCGAGAAGAAGATAAAAATATTTCCAAGTTGCTGTTAAATTAAGATAATTCGTTTTATGAAATGTTATCCGACAGTTGTACTCACGTAGTCGACATCAGCCGAAGGAACTGTTCCAACGGGCGGTACTTGAATGGAATAGTTTTCCGGCTCCTGCACCAAACCCGTCAGACCGTATTCGGGAAATACGATTATCTGCGCACCTGCGATCTATAAAACAAAACAGTTGATTCATATCCGGTTCGAATTATAAAAATTAGTTGGTGCTTTTAGTAGTACCTTGGCCGAAGCAATTTGGTGTACGAATTCATTGACGTTTTCTTCCAAAGTGATATTCGGTTGCGTGCTGATGATTGAATGAAATTCGACTACGGCCGCCACGTAATCCTGAAACCGAAGACACCTCCTTAGTACTGTCTATTAATAAATTTCGTTTTTCTCTACGAAGTAGTTTTAAATTGATTGTTATTTTAAAATTACACCATATTGTGTGGTTATGATGTTAGTAAAGCTACCGATTGAAAGATGGCGGCGTAGGTCGATGATGCGCGTACCATCACTGCGAGAATTAAATTCATGACAAGTTAAGTAAATACATTAAATTTTACCGGATAGGCATTTTTTTAATTTCTTTAAAACGATAGTAGCTTAAACATCTAAAAACCACAAAAACGGATCTGTATTCTATTTTGTTTAATAAACAAATGGATGGCGTATGTTATAATCATATTTTTTGTCAACTTACCCCTTGGACGACTCTGAAAAGTGCCCCCAACAGCCCAAAGACAGTCGCGATCGTCCACATAGTTGGGTGTCCTGTTGCATGTGCCGCGAAAATTGCCGATTTGGACAAGGCGAGATTAAAAAATATCGTTGTAGCTTCGGTAACCAAACGTTCGAAATCTTGAGATAAGGTTTGTTTGCCGTCGATAACGATTTTTATACCCTTTTATTCTCACGCGGCTGCTAAATTTGTACGTGTTTCTACACCACGGACCATATTAGACGGGTACGTACGAGTGCAAAGAAAATTGTGTCCCGAGATGGGTTTTCCATTACTTATTATCTATTATCTTTATTGCAGCAAAACGCATAGGAATTTACTTAAGTTGTTCATAGTAATATGAACATAATATGTCCATATCGATTTGTTATATCTAATCGCCTCTGGCTTATGATGAATACATTGATAAAGTTAATTTTATCTCTTACTTCATTAAAGTATAGTTTTGGTTGGTTTAGTCAGTTTGTTCTTAAAGAAATAAATTCGTACGATACCAATTATCCATTAAGAAATATTATTTTTTCCCAACAAATTAAAAACATCCAAATAAAAAGAAGATCAGCAAAATAAGCGGCCCTTTAGCGACGTTCCTGTACAAAGTATTAAAATTTTGTCAGTAGTAACTCTTATGACCCCATCAAAGGTATTTGTGGTCTAAATTTCAGTATCATAAACCGTTTCAGAAATAATAATAAAAGAAACGACTTTTTGTTAACGTTATTATTTACTCTAGAACTTATAGGAGTCTTTGTGGAAATACCATGGATAAAACGGAAACTGATTACTTGCCACAATATTCGTGGCGATAATAGATTAATAATTGCATTTTGGTTGGTTAAATACAACAAAAATTATATATAACTTTAATATCAAACAATCCAGGAGATTCTTTTTCAAATTATCAAAAATTATTCTAAAGCTGCAACGGTTAATCGCCCCTCTGTCCTCTAATAGCTATATGATTCACACCCACATGCGCGACTGACCCCTAGTTCATATATTAGTTTATATGATCTAGGTCATATATTATTTCATATGACTTAGGGGCTGACCGGGTGGTTACAAAATTAGAAAAACTTTTGCGCATTTTGCGTGGACAATCCCCTGTAAAAAACGAGTCTGTTGAAAAAAGCAAAAATTTTGCTCCCCAGGAAGATTTTAATATTTCTATTCCGTAAAAATTTCTCTGCAAAATAACAAGCCAGTTTTTCTTGAAATCGGGAAATAGAAACGAAATGGGGAGAAATGATTCTTTTTAATAGACTGAAAATAGTGGATTCAATAAGTAGTGCCAGTATTATATTTTATTCCAAGTATTTACTATCGTCTCTAACGAAATGAATACAAGAAAGATTATATTTGATGATTTCGTAAAAATAGAAAAGCCTCAGTTGTTGAACAAGAGGTTTCGTTGGTCAAAATAGCTGAACAAATTTTCTGACAGAAACCTAAAAACAACTCTAACTAACTCAACTCTTCTTTTAGGAAAACACTTTTGGCTATTTGCCCACAACATTTCTATTTACTAAAATTCAAGGATAGTGACATTGTTTGCGTAGGTCAATTTTTGCGGTCACGCCACGCACTCTAGCGATGATTTCAGTTGACGAAATTTTGAAATGACTGGCAACATCGCGACGAAATTTACGCGGCCGTTGTAACGTGTATCTCACGGTATATCGTCTTGGCTTTTGACAGACTGTTCCCCAAAAAGTAATGACGGCCTTCATACCTATTGTTACCGGGAAAACCCAATAACCATTCATGGGCAAGACAGCGGTGAGTCAGGGAGATGTCGACCACGTATCAGCTGATATCAGTGGAATTTTAACCGTGCGAGTATGTCACCAATTTTTCTATTATGTCGCTTCGAAATTACTTGTCATTAGATGCGAAACAAATAGTGAAAAATGCGTATGAATGCTTAGTCGATATTCATTAAACAAGAAACGTTCAGAGAAACCTGCCTATCTACGAACACATTAGAATCGTTCTCAATAAAGGATATTGTTAACAGTGAATACAAAATAAAACAGAGCATTACAATTAATCGTATTGACGACTCCGCGAGTGAATTAGATTATGGATAAAAAAGTACATATTTTGGTAATCATTGATAATTTTGATAATATTGGATTTTGGATGTCATTGGATTTTCTGTCAGTGCTAATATGATTTGATTATAGCCAAATAAACATATGTAATATTTAATGTTTATACTTTTTAAACATTTTAAAAGTCAATCCTCGATGCTATGTCCTACAATACCGACAGGTCAGGTGTTTTATTGCCATCAGAATGTTATGTCCATAATTGTCGTCAAAGGCCACGACAATATACTTTGGGACAGACCATACCCGCTCCCGACTGGGTTCGTTGTTTCCGAAACCGCCCGGTTCTTGAATTTGTTAAAGACCGGCGACACTTTCACAACTAGAAGTGATCGTGACCTGTCGGCGCTTGTGCCTTATCGAGGTTAGTACCGCATTCCCTCACACTTTTCGCTGGCTGCATTGCGTTCCAAATGAATTCGCTCGATTTCGTCCATGGAACTGTTTAGATCGACGCGTTGCGCAATTTTGGTTAACGTTATGGCCCATAGATAACGAAGATTGCCTTAGGTTTGGTTAGTTTTTCCGCGAAAATTAAAAAGTAGAAATCGAAAGGCACGGTTGCGGATTTTATTAATTTTTCTTAAAATGGTTGCACTGAGGTCCTAAAATAATAAAAAGCTACATAAACGCTTAAAAAATATGTTTGGTATTGCTCGATAATCTGGTATAATTTCGTTAACACTCGCCGGGTTTTCCGTCGTATTAAAATACGTTATGAATTGTTTCGCCTTGAAGAATACCCGTATGTTTGCATTCCGTTCGATAACCTGAGCGTCGCATTTTTCAGGATGAACCGGTCCGTGCTACTGCTCTTCGTTCAACTTGCCCTATTGGTAAACCGAAACAGGTGAGTTTGGATAACGGACAAAGCGTAAACGCGGCAACCGCGCGAATGCATTTTTATACTCTGTGATTTACAAGCGTCTCTCACACCCCAGCAAATACGGCGGCAAAGCTTCGCACATGCGCACTTGCAATTAACCTTGCTTGTTTTTATTTACCGACGTATTTACTCGCGGGTATTTTTTTTTAGTATAAGGAAATCTAACCAATATTATGTTATTTCTGCGTTCGGACGCACGTACAAAATTCGCAGTTTTGCATATTGTGTTAACGATGTTGGCAGCAGTGGCGTGTACGAGTGTGCTCAAAATTAAGAATAAAAAAATTAAAAATTGACACGTGCGGTGTATAAATTATGTTCTGCAACGGTCGGCAAAGGTTTTCTCGCGTTAACCTATTGGCAGAAATGAAAATAGGCTTAATTATCTTAAGCTAGACGAAGATGCCTATTCGCTTACTTCATTTATTTAGGTTCTGGACGAATCTACCAGAATTTGAAATTTGCCAATACACGATCCTTGTGTGAAATAATTGGGGAACCAGGTGAAGCTATATATGAAGTGCCGCATAAAGAATACATGGAACAGGAGTGTGATGGAGTATTAAAACAATATACTAATTATACTTGCCGACGTCTCGCCACTCAACCTGTTGACTTCTTCAGAGCTTAACTATAACTGGAGCAGAGCTAAAGGAGGGGCATGAAGATTGTCTCGGTTAAGATTGCTTGGTTGATTATAGACTTCTAAAGATTCTCGGATTTTTCGTTGGTAGAAGAATTGATTACATGCAAGAATTTTAGTTTTATCGAATAAAAATTTGATGTCTGATTTCTTGATTGTGTTCGGCAACTGCTAGAAATATCTCTAGACCGCATGCATCCTGCTGAATAGTCGCCGAATCAACGATTCAGCCATATAAAATCGACTGCCACCATTTCCCGTGTAACATTAATGTAGTGTCAAAGCCCTTCGCTGTTCACATTAGTTGTTCGTTTTTAATTTTGGTTAGTTTTTTTTTTAATAAACCTTTTTTAAAACGTACTCCGTCGGTCGTGTTATTTAACTGGCGCTGCGAACAGGATAGTGCAATTTCGCCCTTTATTGGTTTTTCGTTGTGCGAAAGTGATTGTCAAATCTTAGTGCATTATCCCAACAAAAAGAAACCGACGTACTCCCTTCAGCCACGCCTTTATAGGATTTCCTTTGGTTGTGAGCCTCTGCAGCACAAGATTTATGGATCTTGCCTTGATTGTACTGTAATTGCTGAATTGCCATTATTTGATGTCTGACGCTTCCAAACGTTTGAAAAATATTTTGAAACGCAATAGGGCTTCTTTAGGTTTAAGCATTCAGTTAAAAAACGAATCGGATATTTCCGATAGTGATTCTGAAAATTTGAATAAATCATTCACGCCTATTCCAGAGGATTGAGTAGATTTGTTAGATAGTTTAAGTATTAGTAATAAAAACAAAATGGAAAACCTTAGATTCCATACTTCACTTTTACCCACATTTTCCGGAAATCAAGATCATTTAGAGAGCCTTATTTTGTCTATCGACGAATTTTATTCATTACGCCAAAAATTTAGTGACCCTATAACTTATCCAATTTTAATGCAACAATTGCAATATATTAAATAAAATTAACAAAGGCGAAAACATTTTGCATTTCGTAGAAAGGTTAAAAACTTTTATTCGAAGAATTATTTCCAAGATTCAATGCGAAGTAGAAGATCAAAACTCAAAATTAATTTTAATTACGCAAGTACAAAGCACATCAGTACTTATTTTAACAGCAAATTCTCCGCATACGTTAAAAACGTTATTAATGTTACAAAGACTCCAGACACTTGACGCCGCTTTTTCACACGTGGTAAACTATAATATGATAGAGTCTCAGGTTAACTTTACAAACAATAATTCAAACCTGCATGCGTCTTCACCCAGGCAAAATAATAGTAGCAATAATTTTAAACCGTTTTTTAACCAACAACACGCCTTCATCCCACAGCCAAAACCTTTTCCCAGTCAACCGATTAATCTTCAACCCCGACCAGTCCAACGACATTTTCCCACGAACGCCCAAGTGTTTGGTAAACAAGCCAAACCTATAATCATACAAAACGGAACCGTCCGACAAGACGAACCCGTACCAATGTCGACTTTTAATATCGGAAATTCTCGAACATATCCGCAGAGACAACCCCCTGCAAATTACACTAATTTTTTCCAAAGGACAGGACCGAGAAACTTTGTTTCTCAAGAACTTCACAATGTCGAAATTCACCCCGATTATGACCAAACTCCAACCTATCAAACTTCGGAACCCTTTCAAAATACTATAACGGCGAACCCGTTCATCACGCCTACAACCTTTCCGACCCAAATTCGAATTTTGATAATAATGTCGAAAATAACGAAGAAATTCCCGAAAATTTTCAGGACGTAGCCTCCCATCCAGAATTAACTTAAACAACATAGCCCAGCAAATTGAACTTCCTTATTTTTACCTTTCCGGCGCTTCCGACTCAATAATTTCACCAAAATAGCCAATTTATATCCACTAAATCAATTTATTGAACCTTTTGAAGTTACGGCATGTAAACAAGTATACAAGGAGGATAAAAATTTAAAAATTCCACTATTACAAGAGCTAGGGATTAATTTAAATTTTAATCTTCGTGTCCTAAATTGGCATAACGATTTCGACGCGCTTATAGGTACCAAAGATCTGAAAAAATTAAATGCATTGATTGATTACGAAAATAAAATATTTACTTTACAAAATACTAAAATTCCATTTTCACTTGCCTATAACAAACCACTGCATCAACCAATCAATAATTTTAATAGTAAATATTTACTAATTCCAGTTAATTTCGAAAATGGAACTGCTCTTCTCGCTTCGTTCCGTATTAATGAACATGTAGTTCCCGATTCTTTGGTTTCAATTAATTTCCACCAAAGAGTTAGGGTCATTCCTGAGGACCAATTCGAACTATTAAATCCCCCATTCGATCGCCCCTCGAAATTCAACCGTGAGAGTCAACTAAGGCTCGATCACCTATCGCATTTAGAAAAATCAAAACTCTTGCCCCTATTTTAATGAACCTAATATAAACAATGATTTGACGTTATTCGAACAATACAACGAAAATCGAAAAAAATATTTATTACCATTTTTTGAACACATTAATAAAACCGCTTATCGAAAACAATGTCAAAACACCAAAAAACAAAATAAAAATCCTGAAACACCTCCAGACTTATACCGTGATCAAATAATCTACAAGAAAACGACTCTTAGAAATAAAATGAATCCTCAGTACATACCGACAAAAATTACGAAAGTCCATAAAAATAAAATAACTGGCATTTCTAAGAAAAAACCAACCTCTGCCCATATACGAAAAATTAAAAGGCTTAGAAAAAATCCTCTTCCTTTTCAGCCTCCTGATCCCGATCCTGCAGGCCCAAGCACTTCAGGTCTACAAACTTCCGAATAACGGATATTATACCCTCATTAGTTTTAAACCATTATCGTTCTACATATGTACCATTTAACATTACTAATATTAAGCATTTATTATCCCATTTATTTAATAATGTGTTGATTTTAGAGAAGCTAGTAATCGAACAAAACAATAATTTTAGAAGGAAACAGTTCCATCACGTATATAGGGCATTAAATTTCACTTACAATACTTACGCAAAGCTCAACATTTATGAGTTGAATAACCGTAAGAAAAGAGGACTAATGAACTTTCTTGGCAGCGGTATTAAGTTCATCACCGGAAATCTGGATAATAATGACAAAATCAACTAAATTCAATGTCTAAGATCAATGAACAAAGTTCTTTTTCTGGAAATATAATGAGTAAGTTCAGACGAAATGTGGAACTTATAAATCAAAATACCAACATTCTTAGGTCCGAAGTTCTCAAAGCAAATGAACAAATTAATCTAGTTTTACTTTTGCAAGATCAACACGTGCAAATAAATAACCTTAAGCAATTTTTAGAAAAACTGCTAAGAGTATTTTCATTTGTGCACTCACAAACCTTAGATCTCGAAATATTCAGCTCTGACGAAATAAACGAGGTTTGGCAATACCTGAAAATGCCCTATGGCCTATTAATCATATTCCCGAATTAACTATAATTTGTAAAACCGGTTTGGTAATTACGAGTGAAATGGCAATTCTCGCAATTAAAATACCTATTTTCGAAAGAAATGTTTGCGACTTACAAATTGTGTATCCAATACCCAACAACGATTCGAAAATGTTAATTAGCCCTAGTAAATATTATTATAATAACCTGTGGTATCAACATTGCGAAATAATTAATTCAAGATGGTTGTGTTCGAATCAGTTAAATAGCTGTTATCTTCCAGTTGACTGTCAGTATGCTACTGTACGAAACAACTTTCGTGTGCATACTATCACATTTAAAAATTCTTTACTGTTCTGTGCAAAGACGTCGGAACTAGTATACGAAGACTGCTTCCAGTTCCAAAAAGAACGTCTTCAAGGTTGCTCCCTGATCCAGAGCCAATGCGACGTTATCATCGACAACCAGAAGTATTTCTTGGGTATAAATAATATATCCATTCAGTATCCAGAAACGACGAATCTTCAACCAAGCAACCTCACCATAAATCTACAAATGAAACACTTAGAGGATCCAACAATTATTCAAGAGGACTTTATAGAGCCGATGAAAATCAAAGGATTGGTTCACCAAAACCAAACATATTACTGTTTAATTTTTTCACTATTGTGTATAGTTCTCCTGACTAGTTCCAGTATCATGCTCTACCAATGGAGAAAACATAGACTCCTAGAGGCCATCCCTGTCAAAACCCTCGAAAGGATCATCCACGAGGACGTTGAAGAATCTAAGGGAGGAGGAGAAACATCCCTAGACCGGACGCATCCTGCTGAATCAACGATAAGAACAGCCCTGTTTTTTTTTTTAAATAAATCTTTTTTAAACGTACTCCGTCGGTCGTGATATTTAACTTGCTGATGAGTTTATTTGTCGTAATCTTCAGGCTCTTTCATGTTCTTTGCCGCATATACATGGAATGCTATAAACTCCTGGTATCTCAAACGGAATTTTGTCTTTGACAGAGAAGATATTGAGAGATTTTTGGACAAGTTCTAAATCTGGTTTTGACGTTATATTTCTTTAGAACTTTTGATATGCGGTCAGTGATGTGTTGAATGTGAGGAAGAACAACAGCAACAAGTGTGGGGTTGCTTTTGGACTCATTGTCTTTTTAAGGTTGTGGTGGTGTATTTTGTGATAGAACGCATAATATGTCTAATGTGGAAATTATTAAACAGAAAAGCAGACGTAAGCTGTTTCAATTCTTAGTTTAGTAACTCGCGCTCAGATAATTTTACGGCTCTGTACCGGATGGTGAGGTGACAATTCATTAAGATATCAGTCTGTTTGCGTAGGTTTTCTGTAAACACAATGACCCAATGATGGATTAGAGATATGAAGCACAAAATACACCTCACCACAACCTTCCAAAGACAATGAGATCGAAGGCAACCCCATACTTGCCAGTGTTGTACTTCCTTATATTCGACACATCACTGACCACATATCAAAAGTTCCTAAGAAATATAACGTCAAAACCGGATTTACCACTTCCGTTTGAGATTCCAGGTGATTACAGCATTACATGTATATGCAGCAGAGAACATATTGGAGAGAACATGCGAAACATATCGACTAGGCTCAAAGAACATGAAAGAGTATTAAGACTACGACAACTCATCAGCAGTTGCCGAACCTAATCACGAAACCAGTCAACGAAAAATAAGAGAATCTATAAACCTTTCACCAATATGGGAATCAGTCATCCGAGACAATGTTCATGCAAATCTTTTATCTCCGCCCCCTTCAAACTATATATAAACAGGTCCAGAGTAGAATGCTAGCCAGTTTTAGTTAATCTCTGAAGAAGACAACAGGTTGAGTGGCGAAACGTTAGCAAGTTTAATTCATCAACATTCGACGTAGGAGGAATCCAGACGATTTGTAAATAGCATGACAGTAGCCTGTGGAAGTTTCTTTATATAGTGAGATGGGACATTGGTATGGGTATAGTTATGCGCGATCATTTGAAATGTCGTTTTCAACCAATGACGTCATTCAACAAGCAACATGACCGCCGACAGTTCGGCAAGTTTTAGTTTACATAAAGCATTTTTACCGCAGTGTTTCCTCAAAATATTCCCAGATCTCGTTAACTGTTCTGGGGAAACGAGTTACTTGCGTTATTTGGAAAAAAAGTGTTTTTTCTCTTGGCTGTAAGTATTTTTCCTGTTAATTCGGTTACAATTGTTTCAATTTCATAAGTTTGAAAATGAAGCTTACATACCATAAATTGAATAATAATCTTATAGTATTTAGATTGCAAAAGTCCCTACACTGATCGAAAAATACTTCAGTAAGATACACATGTGTGTTTTTTGTTAAAACAAACAAATCTTCTCTTTTTAATGCTTGCAAGGCCTCTAGTTTAAAAACACCCAAAAAAAAAAACACAAATATTTTGATCTCACACAGGTCTTCGAGAGAAACTATTTCTTTTAATTTGGGGATTTTTCATTATGAAATACGTCAATTAAAACGTAGAAACGAGAGAGTAACTCTATAGTGATTGTTTACAGTATATAGTTTCACAGTATTTTCTTTCTAAACACCGATTTCACACGCTTAACGGTTTTTCACACACTGGAAACTGTCGAATTAAATTTCTCTTCAACATTCTTTGATTTTTCGTCTGCATTTTTAAACTTCTCTCCTTGCGTAAAGCTTTGGCACTGAGATCACTTGGGTGTACGCAGTAGAAGTTTGTTGTGATTATTACCAACTTGATTTCTTTTCGCAGCGCTTTAAACTCGGTATGGCGATACGAGTGCCTTAAAGGGCAGTGCCAGAAACGAGCGATAACGAACACTACCGAGTCGACCGCGTTAAGCTTGTCCGCGTGCCGGCTGTTCTGCGCGGACGCAGCTGCGATATGGCCGAAACCGACTGGCGACGTGTCGATTGGCAACCTGCTCGCCGTCGTCAACGTGCACAGCATCGACGTAGTGGGCGCTAAGTCGGAAAACCCGACCTTCGATTTGGTTAGCGGCGCGGCAAAGATTTTTAAGAGGCAAATTGAAAAACTCATTCCGAGGTATGGAAATATTTGAGGCTGAGGCGACGCATGCGAAATTTGTTATTGCTGATCAGTGAACTCGTTTTAAACTGGAATGGCAACCACGTAATAGAAAAGTGACGAAATTTTACAATACAAAAAGACGGCTAGTAATGGCGATTGTTGTCTTTCTCTTGAACAATATATAGAACAATATATATAGAACAATATATATAGAAAAGTAGTCCGTTTAGGGTGTTCGTTGCGCGTTCTTCACTTCTATTGAAATCAAACAGTATTTTAAATTTATAACATTCTGTCAGTAGTAGATATTGTTCACTTCTGAATCTCCTGTCCTTCGAGTGAGATTCTAACCAACCAAAAAAATTGCAGAATCCTAACCAACATTTCGCCACTCATTGAAAAATGGCAGCATAAAAAACCTCCGTAACAAGAACATACAAATTAATACACTTAGTGTACTCCTCTGAAGACAAGTTTAAAAATAAATTAAATACACACATATTCATCTAGAATGTACATTTCAGCAATATTATTTATTTTCTATTGAAGAAGTAAACATTTAAAATAATCTTTTTAAGGTTTTTGTAAAACCTAAATCAATAGACGTAATTGGTGTGTAAATCATTTACTTACACGGTTTTTACAGGTTATATACAAGGTGTGTAAACAAAAATCCCAAGGCTCGGCGGGAGATTTGTCATCTAAAAAAAGATTAAACATTACAAAAAACTTTTTTTTACTGTATGTAAAATTATTTATGTACATCCTTTTTGACTCTCAAAAAAAATTGAATAAATGTCTTTTCATTGACATTTTTTTTTAAATTAACATACGGATTGCAATTACTAGTAGCTATTCCATGAACACCAAATTGTCGTCATGAAAAATGATCAAAATATATCACAACCACTTAATTCAAAGAAGAATAAATCCAAGACTCTCAAACAGATTGAGTAAGTGAGAAATAACATAAAATAATCTCTCTCATCTCCTATTACAAAAGAAAAAAATCCGTATTACTTCTGCCTGCCAATAAAATTTGCCTCCCAAAATCGATATCGACTGCAGATTAGATCGAGTTCACAGTTATTAGTGCGCGAGGGTTTTCGTGACAGACGATCATGGATAATTTTGGTCTTAAGTTTAATTATTTATATAAATTAATAATGGTCAATTCTGAGGAGTATTTCTCTGGTTCTCGTTCGCCAGAAACACTCAACCGACCGGTGGAAAGTCGATGACCGTCAAACTGGAAATCGATGACCACAGCATCGACGGTCTGACTCTCGACACCGACGAAAGTTACACCTTAAAAATATCTCGGACTGGCGACGGTCGAATCGAGAGCATCGTGACGGCCACCAACTTTTTTGGAGCCAGACACGGACTCGAGACACTCAACCAGCTCATCATTTATGACAACCTGCGGAACGAGCTGCAAATTGCGGCGGAAGTGTTCGTAGCCGACAGGCCGGCGTATCCCTATAGGGGTGTGCTGCTTGACACGTCCAGAAATTACATTGGAGTACGTATGCAAGGTGTTATTTCTAATTTGCGAATCTCAACTCCACCCTGATATCCAAACTATATTTTGTTCGTCCCCAATCAGGTCTAGGACTATGACCGCAACCGGACATATCACAGCAAAAGCCTTTTTGGCTATTTATCCGTTATGACACAAAACTAACCAACAATACAGTTTATGTGTGCTGTTGTTATTTGGTTGAACGAAAAATAAGATATTCTGGTTCCTATAGCTGCACGTTTTATTATTCACCCGATGCAATCTTATAATAAACATCCAAATCCCGCTTAAAGACATCGGTAGTTGCCCACACTACATTACTCTACACTAACAGATGACACCATGAACAATGATAATTTATTCAATAACGACAAAAGTATCAAATAAGACTATGGGAGACACAAAATTACAACAACAAGAAATAGTAAACACATATTAAATAGCAGGCACTTTTGTGAACCCTCGCTTGACCTAGTAACTTCTAGGAACAGTTCGTTTTGGTTAGTTTAAATTTGTCTAATGCGCGCCATCTATGAAAGAGCTAATTAACGTCGAATAAAGTCCAAACCGATTACCAACAGTGTATTGCTATTTTCATAGAAATATCATACAATGTAATATTATTAATGCAGTCCAATCTAGAGTGAACTGGTAGTTTTCGTAGCTGGTGTAGCGAAAATCACGATCCAACATTTAACTGTCCCCGAAGAGTCAATTTAAAAGCCCTGCAAAATTTAATGCAATTAATAATCGTGTATTTCTTTTATTTGACACATTTTCATTATATTTCTGTATATTTACACAATAATCAAAATCTCATTGACCTCTAATATTGGTTGGCCGTTATAACGCGAATTATATAGAATTATGAAGGTGACTTTTAGAATTTACATGTTTTTCTTATTTTCAAACTTAAATGCTCTAGATCGGTTACACCTATTTCCGTCCAAGCTTTATCCCCACCAAAAAATAAGCAAGGAAACCATTATCCAACATTTTTTTGGTACATCCACAAATGCATTCATTTTTTTTACAAAATTTCCGGATATAACTTTTTCCTGTATTTACACCAGCTTTTCCACCTTTTGCTTTTAATTCTAACTTTTCTTCGTATGAATATTAAAAAATCTCTTCACATTAATTAAATTAAAGACTACCTCCATAAATCACAGTGAATATAAATTGTCAGAAATAAACAAAAACAGAAGGACACACACTCTATTATTGTTGTTTTTACGTTCAATACGCTTCTTCCACGTTGCGTTGGGCTAATCATAGCGAACTCTCCTATTCGGAAGAACCAGTGGCGGCAGAGATTTCTAAACTACTTTAGGAAACAACTGATTCAAATTAAATTGATCTTTCGCTTTCGTTTCCAGAGAAAATATTCGGTTGTAGCCCCGCATTGGAGTTTCTATAGGGTGAAACTAAAAAGTTTTAAACATTTTTTTTCTACTTTAATCGAAATTTACACACTTTCATTTCTTGATGAAAATATGTCCACAAGGGTTAGGTTTCGTTTCCAGTAAAAATATTCCCTTGCACTCCTGTACGGGAATTGCTATAGAGTGAAACTAAAAAGTCGTAAATATGTTTTTTTCTACACTCATTTCTTGATTAAAATGTGTTCAAAAGGTTAGTCTTCGTTTCCAGTAAAGATATTCTCTTGCACTCCCGAACTGGAGTTGCTATAGGGTGAAACTTAAAAGTTGTCAATATTTTTTTATACTTTAATCGAAATTTACACAGTTTCATCTATTATTTAGAGCAATTGTCGCGGCAAATGATGTGAGCCAATCTTTATTGGAAACTGAAAAAAATATTTGACATTTTTAGTTTTACTCTATAGCAACTTCCCCGTACGGGAGAGCAAGAGAATATATTTACTGGAAACAAAAGCTAACCACATTTTCACCAAGAAATGAAAGTGTGTAAATTTCGATTAAAGTAGAAAAAAACATATTTAAAACTTTTTAGTTTCACCATATAGCAACTCCCATACGGGGCTGCAACCAAACGTTTTCTCTGGAAACGAAGGCGAAAGATCTATTTAATTTGAACCAGTTGCTTCCTAAACTGCTTTAGAAATCTCCGCCACACAATTTTGGCTGTCAACTTCACACCGGTTTCGAAAGACCGTTGGGAACACGTTCGTTTACCTACGCGTATTTCTATTGCAGTTTTTTATCAGTATACGATGCGAATGCGAAGTATTATGAATTTTATTGTTGATAAAAAAAATATATTTTAGTGAGACTACTTAATTATAATTTTTTTATGTAAGTTCTTAATTATTCTTTGGGAGCTCTTGTTCCGCGTGTAGCATCTATATACGGCGCGGGTTTCCAAAAGTATGATATATTTATAAAATAATAATACGCACTTAATAAAGTTATTTTTATTTTAAACAAATATAAGGGTATATTTTCATAAGACTTAAGTTAATGATGCTCTACCTCAAAGTTTAATAGCTCCTTTAAAAAAGAAGGTATCAAGCTGAACAAAAAATTGAACCATTAAAAAAGAACAAGGCTTGAAGGGTTTGTCAATAAAAAATTTCTATTCTTATCAGAATGTTTCAAATATGCACTTTAAATTCGTTTTTTTCCTTGTTTAATATAGGAAATTTAAAAGGCTCTCTGGAATTTAGTATTAAGAATAGACAATTTGCATTGTCAAATCTTTCAAGCCTTTTTGATGGTTTAATCTTTCATTCGGCTTGGTAGCTTTTTTCAAAGGAGTTACATTACATTAAGTCTTATAAAAATAAATTTCAACATTCGATAATTTTTATTACAATAATTAATTAAATAGTGGAAATACAAAGGAAAAAATAAAATTTTGTTTTATATTATTTTTACATAAATTTATTGACAAACTTCCTTTATATTAAATAAGTACCAGTTAAAATCGTAATTAACAAGGAAAGCCCATTTCAATTCACAATGAAATTTTCTGTTTTTTTTGCCAACCTTTAACCTATAATTTTGACAACCTTGACACACTGAGCCATAAACAAATGAACAACTATAGCTATCTAAATGGCTATATACCTATTTCATTTGAACATTCTGACTGGCATCCGATGCTTGCAGTGTTAATTTCAGTTTGAATGCACACATACCCTTTCCTAGAGTTATTTTTGTTCTCTTCTAAAACATACATATATTTTTTACATAAATGTACCAGTCCATATGTAAATTCGACCGTTTGTTAATTTGCCACGAGAATCTTGCCATCGGAAGTGAACCTGGCACCTAATGTCAAAGAAGGAATTGCAAATTTGTGAAGGCGTTTTTGAGCTTCATTTGATGTCATCACTAAAATGTAAACCGCAAATTCTTATTCGACTGTCACTTTGTTCTACCGTTATATTAGTATTCATGAATGCCTATTAATCCAAGTACATTTTTCCAAACGTGGCACCTGCAACAAGGACGAGATTGAATATGAAATATAGTGGTAGGGAATAAAATCAATTAAGAAAGGTTGTTGGACTTTACTGGGAAAGAAAGAGAAAGAAGCTTTTAAAATAGAATTGACATGATAAAATTCTTGGAAAATCTAGTGTCGCTTTACTTCCAGAAAGAATTCATCATACCCGTAAGGAAATAGACCTTAAAATTGCTTCCATCTTGCCTCCATCCGAGTTCGATACCCTTTCAAACATGATTCATGACAAAGCTTTAAATCTCCGTTTATCTTCTACCCAGAATCACATTCAGAAATTTGAAAAACTAACGTCAACACTAGGGAAACCATCAAACTCTTCTCAACTACCAAACACTGTGATCAATGTAACATCGTACCAACTTTCGGAAACGGAAAAATAAGTTCTTTCAAAAGGTTCCAACTTTGTTCCTGCCCCACGTATTATCCTAAACAAATTACCATCTCAAAGAGCTCATCTCATCTCAAAGAGCTAAATCCTTAAAATATCAAAACCCCTTAAATCTAATATTGCAAAGCCTGAACGCATTGCCCTAAAATCTCTAAAATCTAATCCCAACATCTTCTTTCCAAAAGCAGATAATGGAAATACCACAGTAATCATGATCACAAATGAATATCAGGAAAAGATTCAAAATATTCTTACAGACTTACAGTGATCTATGGAACGCTTCTTCTTTATCAGACTCTGCCAAAAATCTGTCACCCCTCATGACTCTAGAATTCCTCGTCTCTACGGACTCTAACCCTTCGACCACTGGTTCTCCAACATATTCTCTAGCAAAATATCTAGCTCCCTTATTAAAACCACTTACAGGGATAACTGACAGTTTCGTACTTAATTCGTTCCACTTCATTGAACAATTAAAAAGCATTACATTAGAGACACAAGATATTCTAGTTAGTTTCGAAGTAGAATCTTTCTTAACCGCGACTCAGGACTCTACCTGTCACCAACATGGGAACCAGTCATCCGAGACAGTGTTGATGCCCCTCATTTAGCTCCGCCCCCTCAAACAATATAATAGCAGGTACAGGGTAAAATGAGAGCCAGTTTCAGTCAAGCTCTGACGAAGTCAACAGGATAATTTGCGAAACGTTAGCTATTTCGAGTCAAAAAAAACCGACGCAGGAGGAATCCAGAATTTTTATAAAAAGTAATACCTCATCTAATGGAACGAAAAAGGACATTTCATTGTTTAATTTACTGCCACAATCTTCCACCCACTGCACAATACGTCACAGATGTTTTACTCACTTATTTCGGTCACCAAGTAGAAGTTTGCCTACTAAGAGTTGATCGGCAACAAGCTGCCGAGTGCGGCCATTTACATTTTAATTTTGTAAACTTTGACTGCAGCGCATACGCACCAGCCGCTCCTGGATTTAACCGTTGACGAACTTGTTTTAGTTTATTGCTTAGTGGATCAGATTATAAATCCGCTGAAGCAGTTTTTTTTAATATTTGAGCTTAATAAACGCTCGGTTGCCCAATTTTACAACCCGGCAAGCAGTTTATACGAAATTTTTACTAACAGACAGCAACAGTTATAACGAGTATTTTTGCCATTTGTAATTTGTCCATGGGCTTCATTGATTAAATTATATGCCGTCATTTCAATAATACGCTGCATATTCTGCGCGAAAGCGCTTATGTGTTTTTTTAACGGGGACGATGACGCGCAGGTCGACGCGATCAAGAGAACTCTGACGGCTATGGGGGCCGCCAAACTGAATACTTTCCACTGGCACATTACCGACTCGCACAGTTTCCCCTATGTATCCAAGTCGAGGCCAGAATTGGCAAAGTACGGAGCTTACGCACCAGACAAGGTTTATACCGCGCAAGACGTCGAGGAGATCGTGCAGTACGGGAAACTGAGGTAGGTACTTTTACACAAACTCCGGCAAATTCTTTGAGAATTATCAAAGGATGCTTATTTGAATTGTCTCTGTGCTTATCAATAGTTTCTAGGTGTGTCCATCAAAATCGTATAGTGTGTTTACTATTCAGGATGTTTATTGACTGGAATACCTATGTGAGTCTATTCAGGTCATTTAGGATGTTTATTAATTGAGTGAACTGTCGCTGTATGTCGATTCAGGCCATAGAGGGTGTTTATTAATTGAGTGGATTGGATATGTGTATCTCTTAAGATCATCTTCTTCTTCACGTCGCTTCTCCATTCCGGAGGTTTGCTAACATCATGGCAATCCTGACCTGGGAGACCACTGCTCTGAAAATATCTGCAGAAGATGTTAAACGATTCTCGCATATACCGCAGCCAAGATATTCTTCTTCTTCCAATCGATCTTCTGCCCACAATCTTTCCCTGGATTATCAAATGAAGCATCTCACACTTTGGACCCCGCATATCTATACAAACTTTACAACATACAAGCAAAAATACATAATTTATACTTTTTGAGTAAAAGAATCGTTATTTTTGATTGTTTATTTTTTCACAATACAATTTTCATATTCTCAATGTGCTTCTCAACCTTCCAGGACGCATAATATGACATCAACGTCGCTTTCGTTACCAGAGCATTTGACTGTAAACTTCAGTAATAATATCATTATCCGTTAAAAACTCCGTTGTTATTAAATTATCATCAGTAGTTGGGAAGCTATCCAGCTCAGGAAGACACATTTCAATGTTGGTTAGATCTTGGCCGCTATTGCGCAACCAATTACTTAGGGGAACCTCCCAGTCATCGTCGTCATTATTTTTGTAATTTTCGAACCACTGAACCAGAGGTAAGTCAAGATCTGAATCAAACTCATCTTCCGATTTTATCAGCAGTTTGAAATAGTGCATTTTATTATGGCATAATAAAATATAATAATAATAATAATATAATATATAATTATGCCCTGAAACATTGGTTGAACGACTGAGGTGCTATTTGGAGGCAAAAACTCTAATCTGATATTTGAAAGGATTAGATTTTTTTGATGAGCTGCACAATTGTCAACCAGAAGCAATATTTTTCTATTCTGACGTTTTAGATTTTCAACTCAATACTTTTAAATAATTATAAAAAATTGCTAAAGTCATCCACGCTCACTGGTTTAACATGGTTGACATGGCAGGTGGATTTTTTACATTTTTCATGCATCTCGGTCGTTCATATTTGCCAATAACAAGAAGTTCGCATTTTTCGCTTCCTGTGATATTTGCACAGACCCAAACGGTGTACCTCAACTTCGACTGCTTCCCACCCAAACACTTTTCTCCTCGAAATTTAAGGGTACGATCTGTAGTGATCTTGTAAAATAGCCCAGTCTCGTCACCATGAAAAATATCTTCAGAGCTGTAATTTTGTGCAATACTGTGCCACTTATCCTCGAACAAGTTCAGCACAGCTTGTTCGTTAACATATCCCGCTTCACCACCCGCTTGATCTTTTCGCGATTACTCCAAATTGTAGATATTGTTGTTTTTGCCAATTTCTTTGGTCTAGCAATTTCCGCCTTACCGACGCCACTCTCAATACTTCTGTTAATGTCAATCTTTTCTTTTACAGTTGAAGACTTACGCCGATCTGCCATTTTAACCATAAACTCAAAGAATCGTGCTAGCGCAGCTTTCCATAAAACAATGAAGTGAAAACTGTCTGCCGCACACGCACGTTTTAAAGAAAACCTCGTAAATGATTACTGAAAAATCCCTAATTTTTTCGGGAAACCACCGGTCGATAATCGGGGTTTAGCGTACTTTATAACCAAAAAAATAGTGAAAATATTGTACTTTATAACCTTAATAAAATCAAGAGTATTTTGGCCGGACCAGTGAACTATATTCGTACTACCTGGAAGTACGTTATATAACATGTACCTTATAAACGGAGTTTAGTATATATTGATATTAACTTTTCTTCTTTTCTAGTTCTTAAAGACTAACTACTATGACTAACCAACGATGACATCTTTGTCAAAAATACGATACCAGCTTGGTCTTTGATTTAAAAAAAACCTGTATATTTTTATCTCTCCGAACATCAATATAATTTTAACTTTTAACGAACCGTTATTAAAGGAATTTAATTCATCGGTAGTCGAAAATAATCGGAACCGACAATATTAATATTCCGTCATTTTTTTTACCTGTCGGCAGAGGCGTCCGCATACTGCCAGAGTTCGACGCTCCCGCGCACGTTGGAGAAGGTTGGCAAAACTCGAACCTCGTGACCTGCTTCGATTGGCAGCCCTGGCAAGACTACTGTGTGGAGCCGCCTTGCGGCCAGTTCGATCCGACCAAACCCGCTCTCTACGACGCCATCGAAGACATTTACAGGGACATGTTCGAGCAGTTCCGACCGGACATGTTTCACATGGGCGGCGACGAGGTCAACTTCAATTGTTGGAACCGGACAGACTCGGTCGTCGAGTGGATGACTAGCAAGGGGTGGGGACGAGGCGATGCCGATTTCGTCAAGCTATGGGACCATTTCCAGAGTCAGGCCCTAGAACGGGTCTACAGGCAGGCGGGACGTCGCCTCCCGGTGATTATGTGGACGAGTCATCTCACGCGCAAGGAGTACGTGCTGCAGTACCTGCCCAAGGACAAGTACATCATTCAAATTTGGACGATGGGCCGAGACGAGCAAGTCGCCAACTTGCTCGAGCAAGGCTACAAACTGATCCTGAGCAACTACGACGCCCTCTATTTGGACTGCGGCTTCGCCGGCTGGGTCACCGACGGCAACAACTGGTGTAGCCCGTACGTGGGCTGGCAGAGGGTCTACGAAAATAAACCGGCCAAAGTGGCGGGTAAGTTCAGATTTCTCAAAAAAAAAATTGCTTTAGCAAAAGCCGTACTTCCGCCATTCATTTTATTTAAACACAACATAACTCTCGAGAAAGTTTGTTCAAAAATTGCACGTGGAATACTTTTTATGGGTAGATTTACGAGGTTAGCGCCAAAATTTCCAGCCTGACATAGATGCAGCTCCAGTATCACGATAAAACTTTGTCTTCTTTTAAGTGTATATCTCAGTAGGCTGAGAAAAAAAAATTGAAGTATTGCGTCAAATAGTTTTTTATTGACAACATCTTAAACAAGACGTGTCCGAAAAAATGTCGCAAATAACGCGAATTGAGTATAGAGCAGTCATAAAGTTTTTGACAAAAGAAGAGTTAGCACCTAAAATTATTAAAGAAAGGCTGGATGGTGTAGAAGGCCAAAGTTCTCCTTCGTATTCTGTAGTGAAAGAATGGGCAAAACGTTTTCGAATGGGGCAGGAGTCCGTTGAAGATGATTCAAGAACTGGTCGACCAGTGGAGGTCATAACGGAAGATATTGTTGCGATTGTGGAAGAGGTGGTATTGAGTGATCGACGTTTAAAGGTCAAGGAAATCTCAGATATTACTAAGCTTTCTGATACAAGTGTTCGTCGAATCCTGCATGAAGATTAGTGCAAGATAGGTTCCTAAAAACCTTTCGGCTATTCAAAAACAACGCCGTGTTGAGTGTGCGCAGTATTTTTCGGAACTCTGTGGGTCGCAACCAAAGCCTGTGATAGAAACTATTGTGACGGGAGATGAAACTATGGTTCTCTATTATGACCCTCTATCGAAAAAAGAATCAATGGAGTGGTGTCGTAAGTGTGAAGCACCTCCAAGAAAATTCAGAGTCTGGTAAATATTACGCAACATTATTACATAAATTGCGAGACTGCATGCGCGGAAAACGTCGAGGAAAACTGACCAGAGGCGTGCGCCTTTTGCACGATAATGCACCTGTCCATACGTCTGGTGTTGCACAAGCTGCCATTTTAGAGTGTGGGTTCCAACAGATAGATCATCCCCCCTATAGTCCAGATATGGCCCCCAGCGACTATTATTTGTTTGGATATTTGAAAAAGGATTTACGTGGGCAGCGGTTTAACGACGAAGTTGAATTAAAGGAGGCTGCTTTAGCTCATTTTGCACACAAACAAAAAGAATATTTTTTTAAAGGGATTGAGTTGTTAATAAAGAGATGTAATAAGTGTATTGGAGTTAAGGGGAATTATATTGAAAAATAATTAAAAAAATGTTACTCTACTTTGTTTCTTTCATATTCAGGCCGGGAAATTTGGGCACTACCCTCGTATGTATTTACTGGTGTCACGTGAAATAATTTATTTACTATTGAAGTATAACATTAAAATGAAAATTGCAAGTATAACATAACAAAACTAAAATTTTACTATCATCTTCTGTATTAAATGAAAATTCCATTGTATTTCCCGACTTATCGGTGAAAACACTTCGTAAGATTTCCGAATTATTGTAAGAATTGTAAGAATTTTCATTACATACTGAGCCTCTTCCAGCGGATCTACACCGGTGAGATCATCGACATATACAGGGTGTCCCTAAATTAGACGTCAATATTTTAACCACGTATTCTGTGACATAAAATAAGGATAAAAGTTCAAAACTAGGGTCCAAAACGTCTTAGTTTGCAACATACAGGGTGTTAAACTTGAAGAGGTGAACACGTAAATATTTTTAAATAAAATTTGGTACAGTTATTAAACTTTTTAGACTCCATTAATCTTCAGGGGTGGGTAACACAGGAGAGGCGCGAGAAAACACCGTTTTCGAGAAAAATGCTTTTGAAAATTTAATTATATATTTTTTTAATGTTCATATTTCCAATCGAGGTGCAGATAATCATCGGTAAGCTTTGGTAAGTTAATGACGCGTTTCTTTTGTTTGTGTTGCTGGTTAAATAAAAATTAAATGTCAATTATTCGACAGCTTTCATTTTTGTTCAATGTTGGAAAAAATAGTTTTTACTTGGATTGTTCTTATAAATCCTTTTATTAACGAAAAGCAAATCAAACTATTAACTGTAAAGCTAATAGTTCTCATAAAAATTATAAGCGTTACATTTTAAAGAAGGTGCTCAAAAAGGTTGCCTGGCTCACCACGGCAAAGTCGGGCTCTACGGCTAATTCGTTAAAATTGTTACCAATAGTGAACAAAATTGAAAGCTAGTTGACATTTAATTTTTTATTTGCCCAGCAACACAAACAAATGAAACGCGTCATTAACTTCCAAGGCTTACTAATGATTATCTGCACGCCGATTGTAAACGTTAGAATAAAAAAGAATAATTTGAAATTAAATTTTCTGTGTGTTCTAGCGAGGTCCGACAAGGAACCTTATTTACGTAGAAAACTTAAGATTTTCAAATTCTGCATTCCAAATTCGACAAAAAAAATTTGGGGCAAATTGTTCCCAGGCCTCCCCTGTGTTGCCCACCCCTGAAGACAATCCACTACTAAGTTATAGTTCGTTAAATATAGCCTTAAAAGTTTACAAAAAATCGCCATCACCTTTTCAAATGTAACACCCTGTATGTTGAAAACTAAGACGTTTTGGACCCTAGTTTATATGAACTTTTATCCTTATTTTGGGTCACAGAATACGTGGTTAAAATATTGACGTCTAATTTCGGGACAGGTTAGCGATTTTTGGATGATCATTATTGGATTCATTAGTGACTTCAAATAGACTTCTGATCGCAGCGGTTGTACCGTATGTGACTGTATTAAGTTCATAAATTTTAAAACTTTCGTTTAAAATAAATCGACATACGATTCTTTGCAATCTACATCATCTTTCTCCCCTAACACGATAATTGAACGCATGCAAAATGGTAAAAGTATAGATATTAAATATAAACTGTTGGAACGACTCATTGAACACTACACGCAATGTTGTAGTAGAACTTGTATCGCGAAGTAGTCCATGATGTGGCATGACGTATTCAGGTTTATATCGTCTCGTAATTGGTTAGGAGAATCCTTAAGCGGAAGAGGGGTGATAAATGTACCTTCCGGTAAAGAAACATAGGAGCATGACTAATTTTTAGATTTTAATCTTTCCCATTCGGTCGGTTCGCCAAGTTATTTAAATATAAATAAAATAATATATAAATGTTAAAATTTCGAATTTTTGTCGCGGACGCGGTCGTTATTGTTTCCATTGTAAAGATTTCGTTAATGTGATTATATACCAACCGATTAATATTATTGAATCGTTCACACTATAGTGTACAACTGTCTGACAGCAGAACCTTTTAGTGACACCGTCAGATAATAAAACTTCTGATATTTGTTCAAATTTGAGTTGTCGCGTACAAGCGACGCAAAAATGTTTCGAAAATAGAGCCATGCCTGAAACGATCCATCAAGATTTAGTAATTTTATATCAGGTAGTTTAATAGCATCATTTCAATGACTTATTGAATGAGTTACAGAATTAATCTGACTTACTGAACTGTTCTTGTCATTTTCATCGCAACAAACAATTGATTACGGTCCTGTCTTATGTACTCAACAAGCCCTTACGTATGTTTATTATTCGGCCCGAAAGGATTTATTTTTTCTATTGTTCTATTCATGTAATTATATTGGTTATTCTATGTTCGCAACAATGTGTTCGTTGGTATCACTTTTGCTCGATAGATCTTCTTGTTAACATCTTGAACATAAAAAAGCTATTAACGTCACGTGAGTTATTTTCACCGCGATTTGTCGAACACGGTTAAAATGCACAGCAAGAAATAGAAATTAATCTCGGGTAATATAGACAAGGGCTTAGGAATAATTTCGCCGGCAACCACAAATCTATGAGATCAATCTAGCTTACCCATTTTTTAAACAGCCAACTTTTACCTTGCAAGGTTCATTATACAAATAACATAAAAATCATTAGGTACATAAACATCGTAAAAAGAATGTATATTAAGTAAGGTTATTTTTCTGTTGTTGCCTCATTACCTTAGCTATTTTTAAAACTTTTTATTTTTAAAAACCCTACTTGCTTTCTGCATTGTTTATACAAATTCAATGAGTCCATCTATAGTTCTGTACAATTCTCCTTCTATAATACGGGATGCCATTTTTACAAATTCTGACGTAACCCAAAATCATTTGGTGCTACATCTGAGGACCTAGGTGGCCATTCAATTGTGCCCCTTAGGAAACGGTGCATTTAGAAAATTCTGAACTCTTCTAGGATTATGTGCGGGGCAACCAGCTTGTTGGTACCAAATTTCATGATCAGGGATATTAGGAACCCGAACAACTGATATTATTTAAGGAAAAGGTTTTCTTAAAATACCAGCCAGACCTTTCCCGGATACTTAAATGAATGGACATGTGCTGGTTCTCTTGTGAATATCCAACAGCCACTGCCGGATTGTGATGACCATGTAACGGAAAATGGAGACTGATCGGTGAATAAAATATTACTCGCTAAAAATCTTCATTTTGGTTAGTTTTGGTTAGTTTCGGAATTTAAATTCAGGTAAAATTGTGGTCCATAATAGAAAATAATTTTATACCTACCTGTGTGTAATATTCTTTGGTTTGGTATACTACTTAGTTTACTTAGTAATACAGCGTGTGTTGAATCGTGTGCGAATTATGCAAAATATGTGCGAGTCTAGTGTATCTCAGGAGATACTCTCGCCCAAATATAGAACACACTATTCTATTCGGACTGAGGAAGTTATAAACAATGTTTATTTGACTCTCATTGAACGTGGTGCCAGCAAGCAAGCATCTTTAGAAGAAACGGCCACATTGACGAAAATTCCAACCTCAACTATATGGAAAATTGTGAATAATCCCATTTGAGCGAGGAAAAAAGAAGCGATGCTGAAATTTTCTCGAGTGCAGATGAAAGTGATCACGTGTTAACTCCAATGTCCTCAAACTTACAGAAACCGAAGTTTTTAACGTCCCTCCACAAAGTTGGGCAAATTCTGTTAAACATATAGAAAAAGCAGAACAATCGTATATCCATATTGCAAATAATATAGAACAAATTATAATTAGAACAGGCGATGATAGCGATAGTGATACTGATACATTATGTGAATAATTTTAAGTAATTTAAGTAGGTAATAAAAATAATTTGTAATTTTATTTTAGATTTAAACATAAATACATACATAAATAAATAAATATTGTTTAGTATCTTTCCTAACAAAACTCCAAATAATTAAATTCTAAGCAAAGTACGGCCATAATTCATTCTTACAGCTTGCCCGGGTCTTTCCTTAATTCGTATCTGTTAGTCACTTTCTTATATCTATGAACAGACTTTATCAATTAATAATTTGAACCTTTTCTTCGGTCGAACATACCACTATTTTTAGAAAATACGAGTAATTTTTGACACTTTTACTTACCACGCCGCCCACCGGGGGTGGGGGCAAACAGGTTTTTTATTTAATCTCGCGGCAATAGCGAACATTTCTTGTGAATTTCTTACATTCTAGAGTCTCGGTGTGTCTCTGTCACACTTACGATAGATAACGCTATAACTAAATAATAATTTTACCTGTATATAAGGCATTACTATTTTATTCATTATTAATCTAGTTTGTTTAACCTAAAACTGAAACTTCTTTCTTAAGTTTTAACATGTCACGTTAACCTAATCGCGTAATTTAAAACAATGAGCGGTCCATTTCGAAGATATTTCCAACCGCGCACGCGTAATCGCCAATGATATTTATGTGCGATATTTATCAGAGATTAGTCAGGGAACAATGCTAATATTAATTTGTATTTTGTCTGTAAGTGGGCTTCTTTATTTAGGAAACAAGAAGAGTCAAATTTTGGGGAGCGAGGCGACGCTGTGGACGGAGCAGGTCGACTCGGCCGTAATTGACAGTCGACTTTGGCCGAGAGCTTCGGCGATGGCCGAGACGTTGTGGTCGGAGCCGGCGACATCGTGGCGGGACGCGGAACCGAGGATGCTGGTACACAGGGAGAGGTTGGTCGCGCTAGGCGTGGACGCCGACGCGCTCGAGCCCGAGTGGTGCGCCCAGAACGAGGAGCACTGCCCGATCGGGGGCAAATTCAATATTAATAACAGGGGATGACAGGAAAATAAATTTTCTACGCTTTTCTAACGAGTGGTTTTAATTATATCCTATAAAATCGCTCGGTTCGTCTAAAAACGACGCAAATTAGAGGTATTTACAGTACAAAATAAATAAACGAGTCTTTACGCGATATCTCCGCGGCCTTCTCACCACCTGAAACAAAAAAAGAACGTAAATCAACATATTCGGTACGGTCCTGTCGGCATAGGCGGAAACGCCTATGCCTGTCCTGTTCGCACGCTCAACGACGGATCGCACCAAACGGTATGCAACCAAACATACGACGGCGGCTGTTGACGGGTTGCATGCCGACGTGGGGCAATCGATCGTATCGGGCTGCTTGGGATAAAAAAAAAGCCGGAGGTTAGGATTCGGGGGGTTAAAAAAAATAAACGAGACGAACGTCCCAGAAAAATTAATGCGCCCGAGGCGGCCGGAATCGTTTTATTGTTTAGTGCTCGATCTAAGAAAATGCAAAAAACTCTGCAGAAACAGCCAGTAAATATACATTTATTACCCACTATAAACAAATCCTTTATATATTTTTATTGAGAAATACATCAGTGCTTAAACTAACGCTGCTAAACGACTAAATCGAAGAAGACGAACTCGTGACAGGGTGACGATCTGCGATCGGTTTAATCGTTTCACTGAAACGTGAAGCATTAAATAAAATCGAGGGCCTACCATACAAAAGGAGGCCGGAAACGGATTCTATGGATACAACAAAAGAAACCACGGGTCTAGGAAAAAGTTCGATAAAAATGGCGCGAGCGGGAACGGGGCCGCGGAAGGTAAATTTTATTTTCGAGGCACATTTTTTTATTTTACAAAATAATCCCGGACACGTAAAAAGCGGGGACTAAAACAGCCGCTATAATTGTTAACCTCTCCATGCCATTGCGTTTTGCCCAACTCGCACTGTTTTTACACCGCCGAATATCCAACTGGATCGTGACACCTAAACGCGATTAATTTTATCAGTGCGTCTATACCGCAAAATAAAAGTTCAATGCCAGGTGGCAGTTGAGGGAGCTGGCGTCAAAACTCTCCCTCGGCCACTGGCTCTAACCTAGAAAAAACGTTTCGGGCGCGTACACACCTTTGGCTCATCAGTACGCGCCCCCACGATATGGGCTCCTGAAGTTGCCGCGTGACCTGCGCGGTCCCCTGTTACCCCGGGTCCTGTTTCCAGCCCGGAAAACACCTCTAGGCCTGCCGCCGACGCCACTCCAGTCCCAACTGTCATTGGCCCGGAAACCGCCTCCTTGTCCATGGCCCCTAAACTCCCTAAAATTGTTAAAGTTGACGTCGGAGGCCCCCGTGTTGTCCGCAGCCTCAAAGTACTGGCCGTCCTCGGTGTACGAATCGTCAAAGGGCGGGGCGTGGCTTGGCGAGTGCTGCGTCCAGGGCGGGGGCGGTTGATCGCCCATCCACGTACCGGACATCGAGGGCGGCGGCTGATTCATGTCCATCGTCGGCGGATTGGGTAGGAGGGGCGGCGTGAGTAGCAACCCGCTCTTGGGCATCTCCATCTGACCGCGAAAACAAGAAGATCGCTTAACTTATTCAGTAGTTTGAAAATGGGGTACCTGCTGATCCGGCGGAGGAGGCGGCATTGGCCCCAATGGGAAAAAGTTCATGGGGGGCATGGGAGGTCCCGGCGGTATCGAGTCTTGTCTATCGAGTCGCATGTGGCCGTCTGTCATACTGGGTGGCGGTAGACCAGGGGGCCGCATTCCAGGTGGAGGCACGTTTGACGGCGGCATACCTTTCAATGTGGCAAAGATTAAAAGGACAATGGGACCAGACCAGATATACGAACTACGCTATATGGTGAGACAATCCTATATAGTGTTACTTAATACTTATATTCTGTGTTATAAGCCGTAACAAATAAATTAACAAAGATAGTTTATAAACTTTAGTGACGCCACAGCTAATCTCAAGAAACTAAGATTTGATACGAGAGCAGCGCCAAAATTTGCCGGCCTGAATATGAAAGAAACAAAGTAGAGTAACAATTTTGTATTATTTTTCAATATAATCCCCCTTAACTTCAAAACACTTATTACATCTCTTTATAACTCAATCCCTTTAACAAGATATTCTTTTAGTTTGGCTGCAAAATGAGCTAAAACAGCCTCTTTTAACTTCGTCGTTAAACAGCCATCCACGTAAGTCCTTTTTCAAATATCCAAACAAATAATAGTCGCTGGGGGCCATATCTGGGCTAAAGGGAAGATTATCTATCTGTCGGAACCCACACTCTAAAATGGCAGCTTGTGCAATACCATCAGTATGGACAGGTGCATTATCGTGCAAAAGACGCAAGTCTCTGGCCAGTTTTCCTTGACGTGTGCACTCTCGCAATTTATGTTGGGTAATATTTACCATTGACAGTGGTATTAGTTTCTTTAAAATCTAACAAAAGAATTCCTTCACAATCCCAAAAAAAACGTGGCCATCACCTTTTTTGTTGGCTGCCAGACTTTGAATTTTCTTGCAGGTGCTTCACCCTTACGACGCCACTCCATCGATTCTTTTTTCGATAGAGGGTCATAATAGAGAAGCATAGTTTCATCTCCCGTCATAATAGTTGCTATCACAGGCTTCGGTTCCGACCCACAGAGATCCAAAAAAACCGCGCACACTCGACACGGCGTTGTTTTTGAATAGCCGAAAGGTTTTTAGGAACCCATCATGCGCTAACCTTATGCATTACCTAAATGATCCTGCAGGATTCGGCGAACACTTGTATCAGAAAGCTTAGTAATTTCTGAGATTTCCTTGACCTTTAAACGTCGATCAATCAATACCACCTCTTTCACAACCGCAATAATATCTTCCGTTATGACCTCCAATGGTCGACCAGTTCTTAAATCATCTTCAAGGGACTCCTGCCCCATTCGAAAACATTTTGCCCATTCTTTCACTACAGAATACGAAGGAGAACTTTGAACGGTCCATCCTTTCTTTAATAATTTTAGGTGTTAACCCTTCGTTTGTCAGAAACTTTATGACTGCTCTAAACTCAACTTGCGTTATTTGCGACATTTTTTCGGACACGTTTTGTTTAAAATGCTGTCAATAATAAACTATTTGACGCAAGACTTCAATTTTTTTTTCGCAGCCTACTAAGATATATATTTAAAAGAAGACAAAGTTTTATCGTGATACTGGAGCTGCATCTATGTCAGGCCGGTTAAATTTTGGCGCTAACCTCGTACATATTTTAGAACCGAAACATAATAAGGAGTTTAAAATTTTAATTTTAAATCAAAGGATTCAATATAGAATTTATTCAAAAAAATTGGAAGATTCAAAGAATGAAATTATCAATGCTTTATGAAATTATATCAAGTAATGACGGAAGAAAATTATTAATAAATCTTCTTTTAAAAACTAGATTATCCAGTAACGCTATTTTCAAATTTATACCTGCATAGGATAATACAACCTCTTGTTTACGCTTTTACCAACAAAGTAATTCTTTTTAAATTGTCATCACCTTATAATCTGTGTTTAGTTAAGCACTATGTAAAGTAATCATTAGATATTTCATATAAATACATGCGGTAACTAGTTAGCATAAGGAATGGGAGGGAGGTAGATGTAAAGTAGAAGTGAATTTTGTAACTGGTAGATCAATAAATATGGTTAATAGATAGAAGTTCACCAGGTATTTATTGGCTCGAGTTAACCAACCAGTCTAACCAACCAGAGACTCGACAACAGCAACATTCCCATTTATATTCCTACCAATGTTGCACCGATAATAACTTACCCGGAGGTAGTTGCCACATGTTCGCCTCAATCTTCGTATCCTTTGTCCGTTTTAACTCCGTCGACAGCTTACCGAACTCCAATATGTCGTTGGAGAGGTCGTCAAGGAATTGATTAGCGTCAACATCCACGTCGTCCAGCAGGTCGGGTAGCGGAGGCGGCGGTTGAAGGGAGAAATGGTCGTCGGAGCCTAAACTCGCTGTGCCACCCTCTTGGTATCCTCCGCCTAGATCGTTACGACTGCCATTGCTCTCCTGCCTGAACATTCTGCTTTCCATGTCCTCGTCGCTCAGATCCATGTCTATGCTCTCAACGTTGCTCTCCTTCCTACGGGCCGGGCTTATCAGAGCCGAGAGCGGGAGCGGAGGGTTCCTGATGTCCATATCCATAATGGATGGCAGAGGCCGTTGCGAACTCTACGCAAATATATGAATGGCGCCCAGGCACACGTCGGAAATGCCGCGATTTACCTGATTCGGAGATTTAGGAGGCGGGGGCGGTGGCGGCGGTAGGTCCAAATTGAACTGCAACCGGTAATCCTTGTCGGAGCGAGGTGGATTCGACAGTTGTCTGTAGTCCTGATCACGGCCCTTCCAGATATCATCTGCAGCGTCAGGCGGTCGAGGGGGCGGAGCGTTCTCCGTGGGCGCGGGCGACCCCGTTAGGCTGATCAGGTTCCGGTGGTCAACGTCCTTACCGCCCAAACTGCTCAACGAGTCTTCTGAAACGATCCCCGACAATCACACAAAACTACCCAGCATACCCCACGTGGGAGAGACTGACCAATGTCCCCCATGCCGGGCAGGACCCGTTGATCGACGTCTGTTGCCCCTCTCTGTCCACTGTTGTCGTGGTATTCTATGGGGTCGGCGTAGCCCTCCTTCTCAAATGTGGGCGGGCTCTCAGGCGTGTCCATCGTGTCTTTGGCGTTTGGCCAGCTGCCTGTAATTGGTACGTCGCCTTTCAAAATCCAGAAGCGGGACGGCGATTATTTCGCGTTTACCAGTAGACAATTTTTTTAATCAAATCATTGACGCACAGAAAGCTTGAACTACTGCGAAACTTGCACGCGAAAGATTGTTGACTTTTTATGTTTACAAAAAACAAAAAAAAATGCACCAGCATAATATCCAGTTGAATTGGATCCGATAAATGAAAAAATAAATCCCATTATAAACATTATCAAATGTCATTGAAAATTAAATCAAATAATAATAAAAAATATACTGATTAATTTTATTACATAGCTTCTAAATTAAAATGATCATAATTTTCACCAATCTAACACATGCACTTAGGTTTAATTATTCTCTTCAAAAAGACAACTATTGGTGAAATAAAAAAAATGCGAAAAAAAGAAAACTTTAGTTTACCAGCTGGAACATTCAAAAATGATGAAAACATTTATTATTTAAATTTAGAGAAAAAGTTTGAAATACGGAAAACAAATTTGACTGCTGAACCTGTAATTTGGTAAATTAGAAAAGCTTTTTTGCGCTTCTAATTATCGTTGTTTAACTCCACCCATCTATAACTTCACGTTTTCCAACCAGAATCAGCTCCAATCCAGAATTGTTTTTAAATCGAGAGTATAGGGTTATAGCAGACTGTCCAACATCTTGCAATGCAATATTGCAATCGAATATTGAACCTAGTGTATATTAGTAAAGTATTAACAGAGTTGATTAAATGAGGAGGCAAAGTCTCTATAAATTATTTTGGAACTGACTATCTCGTGAAGATAGTAGCAGTGGAGTAGTTTGTTCTTTTAAATGTTATTTCCGCTGATTTACAGAATAACTCAAAATTCAGAACTTAGGCTGGCTACTCGAATAATTTTGGTGATATGTAAATATACGAAGAGTCTATAAAAACTTTGGAACTTTCTTGTCTTTCTGATGTCGACTGGCAGAGATTTTGATGTGATTGTAATGCCAGAAACGCTCACTATCTATGACACAAGCGACTCTAGTATACCACGCTACTGCGTTTTCTGGAACGACAGCACTCTCTTAACAGTTTTGATGGTTGTTGGTTATATGTAAAAGAAGAATATTATCAGGAGCAATCCCTCATAGCAAAGAACAATGTGAAATTTATAAAAGTTACTCTATTTAAAAATGAGGAAATGGTCGATGTTGATGTCTGTGCAACTTATCGTACGCATGCCATTGTTACAAATGTATTCATTGAGAACTTAAGCGAAATATTGAATACAATAGTTTAAGTTGTATAATGCTTAACATTAGACTTAATCCAAATATCTCAAAAGTTCATAAAAAGAACACCTTTACATATCTTAACCATAACCTGCTCTCTAAATACATCTCAGAAGAATCATGACATTATGTTGTGCATAATAACAATGTGCAATTGCAAATATTAAAACTTGTATTGGTAGAGTGACAGTAACTAGAAAAGTGATCTGTAAAAAAGCTAGATTAAAACCTTGGATAATGAAGCTTTTGGAATAAAAATATTTTAAATGATTTGTTGAAGTTGGTGAAAAGTTAGCAGGAAGAATATCTAATCACTAAATTGTTTTTATTTTACACCAATTAACAACAATGAAATTTTGGATCAAATAAAGAGTTTAAAAAATGGTGTGAAAGAGGGTAAGGATAACATAAGCCCTGCAAGAATAAAAATAAATATTGTATATTTCTTAGGCATATTGTAAATTTGGTGTTTAGAAGCAGGGTCTTCCCTGATGTTCTCAAAAATGCAATCATTGTTCCTCTATTTAAACATGGCGACAAAAAATTGACTAGTAACTATAGACCAATTGCACTAATAAGCACTATTAGTAAAATAATTGAAATGGGTATAAAGTATAAGCTTTTAATATATCTTGACAATCAGTAGGTCTTCAGAGAGGACTCGAGCACGGAAAATCCTCTTTGTAGGGTGACAGATTAAATTTTGTGTGAACTTGATAATCATGATGAGTATTTTTCTTGACTTGACAAAAGCTTTCGATACTGTGGGTCACGGAATCCTACAGGAAAGGCGGAATGATATTGGTGTTAGGGGGGAGTAGCACATAACCTATTTAGATCCTATTTGAATGAGAGAACACAGAGTATGGAAATGGTTGATATGTTGAGTGATAGGTTACAGGTGGGGTCTTCCCAATTGAGAAGATTAAAGAAATGGCTAGATCATATTTTATTGTCTTTAAATATAAACAAAACACATTTTATTACCTTCGCTTTATCGAGAAAATCTGTCCCTACCAATATTCAGAAACTAAGACTTTATGAATCCTATTGTGAACAAGACGTAGACTGTAAATGTAACAGCTTTCTTGAAAGAAAAACTTTTACAAAATAACTGGACATACTGATTGATGAACTGTTTACTTGGAACAGTTATACCAATTATGTAACTTGGAAAATCAGCAAACTAATATGTCAGTTCTATGAATTACGTAATAAGTTATCTTTGGAGGGAAAATGGTATATTTTTCACTAATAGAGTCAATAATGAACTATGGATTAGTGCTGTGGGATAATGCCTATGGGACGCATGTGCTAGGGTAGCAGGTGGCTCAAAAATGGATTATAAAAACATTGTATTTAAAAAAAAAAAGCAATTCCCAACTAACTTACTTTTTGAGGAGAGTAATCTGCTTACTTTTAAATAACTGTATATCAAATCAGTGACAAGATTTATATTAAAAACCAACTATTATAAAAACAAAATAACTCATCGCATTAACAAAGGTCTGCTGCCCAACGTGATGTGATTCTACAGAACCCCAAAGATTTAGCGTGCCCTGACTGAATTAGGCTAAGTGGTTTTGATTTATTTTATTTGGAATAAACCAGAAAATAATAATAAAAGCTCTATAGTATAACCATTTAAACAAATCTGAGATACCAAAGATTGTGCAAAAAATTATTGTTGATCATTGTTAACTTTTGATAATGTTAACATATAACATACATAACAGAAATAAATAGTATATACAGTTATATGTATATAATGTAATGTAATTGCTGATTGTTAATATTTATATTTATAATCAAAGAACAATAATAACTATATTATTATTATTATTAATATTATTATTATTATTATTACTATATTTTCTGGAGAACAATAATAATACAAAAAATAGTAGGGTTAGAATTTCAACCAAGCTAGTTTTACTGGTCGCCCCTGGTTATCAGTTGCATACTTCAAGGTAAACCGACTAGAAAAAAAAGTTGAATCGCACATTTTATTGGTTGACCGCTCAAATTTGTTGATTAATGAATAATTTGGGCTAAATGTTGTCCACTTTCCTTAAATTTAAAAAAAAAAAAAAAAGTATCAATTGTGCTCTTGGCACTATTGGCGCAAAAACATTCATTGCATAGAATTAGCTGAAAACAAAGCTGAATGAATATAGAAGGAAAAAAAGCTGAATCCTGCCCGCAAGTACAACTTGTAAAAGTACCTTCGTCCGGCCAACCTACAGGCAAGTCGGCGGGGTCGTACTCCTCGGAGGCGGCGGAGGCGTCGGGCTGATATGGGACTTCCGCGTCCCGCGTCTGCTGGTAACTGAACTGAGACGAATCCCGCGTCCCCGCGCCTCCTTCCTGCACGTAAACGTCCGCGGTATACGTCGTGGTTGATTGAAAGTTCGACGCCGTACCTGTTACATCACAGCAGAGGAGAAAGAAAGGAAGTTAGCAGACACTTTTTTTTATCTCACCATAAATGGGGCCGTTCAAATCGCCTGACTCGCTGCCGAAATTGTTTGCAGCTTTGGTGAATGGGGGCATAGGGGGTGGCGCGAGCGGTAGATGGCTAGACGCGTAGGGCGTCGCCGAGGCGGGCGCGTCTGCGGGGAGGGACGTCGCGACGCCCGCCGACGCCCCCCCGTAGCCGTCTCGACTATTGTCCGCCGCGCTAAACAGCGCTGAGCTGTCGATCGTCTGCAAATAATGCCATCCTACGTATTACATTGTACATTAATATTCATAGGTAGTTAGTTCGAGTTAATAATGGTTATGCCTAACTCAACCACTTAAAGAATGATTGTTAATAAAGTATTTCTCCAGATGGATTGTTATATTAACAAGGCACCATATTTATAGCATGTTTATTGCAATATTGAAGTTCGATCTTATTTAAGTAAAAGTGTTTAGGGTTGGCAAAGACATGAAAAACATATACAATACATATCCTTAAGAAATCCCAATTCTCCTAAATGAACTTACTGACACATCGAAGGACATGTTCGTTCCGATAAAACTGGTGAACCCATTGGTGGTGAAACTGGTGGAGGTGTCGCTTGAGCACGTCGTGATAGTATTCGTCACGGGATTGTAGTAACCCGCGTTGACATAATGAATGTTTGTTTCGACACCAATTACTGACACCTGAGTATCTACAAACTCATGGAAATAAATACCTAGAATATTTTTGCTTTGGACTTCTTTCTGAAAAGTAGTTCAAATGAACAACTCCAGAAATATTTAGGGCTCTAAGACTAAGAACTACTAGTAATGAAATAGTACAAATACCAGAATTAGTAGTTTTAGCCGGCAGATTGTCTTCCGGTAACTCAAGATCGGAATCAGGACTAGGCGAGGGAGCATTTATGTCTGGCGAAGGCAAAGGACTGGGCAGGGTTGCCATATGTTCTTCCAGTTTTTTTTGGAAAGTCTTCACTCTCTGCCCAAACATTTTATAGGCCTGCAGAAGAGTATTTTCTTACCGCGCACGGTGAGACAAACTTCCGCAACTTACATGAGCAACCAGTTTGACATCCTTGCGATCGGCCTCCAATTGGGTGTCAGCCTGTCTCAGCACTGATATCAGAGCTATCCTACTTTTGATCTCAGCCTTTAACGCGTTTATATAACTTTCCATATGCTTGACATAAACTTCCATCTCTTTTTCTACATCATCCACGTGCGCGCGATCTTTCAAAGATGTTATCAAATTCTCCGAGACCTGAATTTTGGGGTTATGCTCCCTCAAGACCACTAACTTGGCGTCCGTGTCCTTTTCCAAGTTAGCACATGTTTTAATTTTGTTGACGACGTAAGTTGCCTACAAGATCATGTTTGCCGGCCAGCAATGGCAAGAATGTTAAAAACTCACTTGAAATTCATGGGGTTCATCATTTTTTACCCCTGTCGGGGTGACATTGATGAGCCCACAGAGGTCTGCTATAAATTCTTCCCCGTAAACTGCTCTCTGTTCCCAGATTTTAAATATCCTCAATATTTTGTGTTTTACTCTATCATCCCTACAAGATTATGCAAAACTTAGCAAACCTGACAAATTACAATTAAAGCAGAGTTCCCACCTGACCATCGTCGTCGCTTTCTGTAATGCTGTGCCCCAACTCTCCACATACTCATAGTTCCTTCTTTTGGAATATTGCACGACATCATTAGCCAGATAAAACAAAATAAGTCTCTGTTCCACCTTAACACGTTTTAAAACGTTCAACCACGCGTTTACGATTTTTTTGTGATGCTGCCTGTTTTTTAGGCACCACTGGCAGCAGCTATTGATACTCTCTTGCGAGTCTTTCAAAGTATTTAACGTCTTCTCAAACTGCAACACATTGAAGTCGGATTCCGACGCAGTGTTCTGACTTCCCATTTTATCCGAACAACCCTAACTCCAGCACTATTCACATGTTTGCCTAAATATTCCGAGTTTTTTTCAACAACACTGTGGCTGTGAACATGTTTGCAAACAATCGCCCCAACGAGACAGGCGGGATTCGGTAACCTCCAGAATCCCGGTTAAATACAATTGCGAATAAATCTAAATGACCTAACGCGTTTTAAACCGCTAGGGGCCTTTTATTTTTCGCAAAACATTCGTTTGTTAATAAAATAATCCACCATACAAGTCAAAAATTAAAAAGAGACCTCCTCAAATTAAAAAGAGAACTCTCGCTTGCCAAGCGTTGCATCAACCCTGTTGGTAATACAGCGCGCCTCAGACGATGAGTTTGGTAGTGAAAGTTTATCTCTGGTTGCGAATAACCACTATGGTATTTTGTAGCAACTATGAATTATTTTTCCATATTTTACTTGAAATGTCTATATTTACATAAACATTTGACCTGGCCATTTTACCTGCATAAGCGGCAATAGAGCATCCACAAGTCACTGTTAACAAGAACATCCTCTTCGATTAAAATCCATGTTTATCGTATTTGAAGTGAAAAGCAACCGTTTCCAATTTTACTTGCAATCTATGGTAATTTTTTTCCGCCGAGGTTTCATTGAATTGTAAAATTGCCGATACTCTTCCATATTTCGTTTTGCGTGTTATGGAAACACTTATAATTCTGTCGTTCGTAATATTGTGGACGCACAGATATGGAATTTTTCAGAAATGAACAGAACGCGAAGCGGGTTGCGGTTCGTTGGATTCCCTTTAATAATCAATGGAGTGATTAGATTATTCATTCCGTTTAAGGCAGTGTGGTGTATTCTTTTAATATTTCCGAGAAGTCTAACCCTACCTCGCCTCGCTTGACGTATCTATTTTAATTTTTCCATAACGAAGTGATATCTTTAATTTTGAAATGTTGTGATGAATAGGGAACGAGTAAATCTCTAACTCCACGCAGCTACGTAGCTCAGATCTTTTTATCCCTCTCATGTCCTGCGTAAATCAAACAAAATACCAAATGGTCGTGGATAAAAAAGAAAAAAAGCGCGTCCCAGATATAATTTCGAGTTTCTCAAATTTAATATCTTTCGCTACTCGAACACAAGGAAATCCCTAGAAGGAAACATCGAGTGGGTTCGAAATTCGCGTCGCCGGCAAACAAGGTTTTGACCAAATATAACGTGACATTTGCATAACGCGTTGCAACAAATATGGGATCAAGTCTCCGTTGTTACCATTAGTGAAACGTGACGCAATAATAAATGAGGTTGGGATTAACAAAAACACGCTGCTTTCAGTTAAAATATATTAGGAAATGGTATTATATAATTTATTGTCAATACAGTAGCATTGCGAACCGCGAAAAAAGGCTAAATAGGAATAATTTTTGACATTTCGACAATCGGACAGTTTTACCACAGCCCGGAGGAATAGCCGCCCGGGGGCACCCTGTTGGGGGACTTGATCTTCGGTTTCTTCGCCAAATCTACATCTTCCACCGCCACGCCCTCTTGTTTTAAGACGTCCGCGATCGTCGAGCTTTTGCTCGCCGACTTTACTTCTACGGTTCGAGTCACGACGCTGCTCGTCACCACAGAATCAATTTCGGTCGATTTCGTAGTGGTGGAGTCGTCTCGCGATTCTTGGATCTGCAAGCTTCCGATGTTGTCCGTCGTCGCCGCGACGACGTCCGGTACCATTTCTTCGGCGGCTTGTTGTTTCGTGTCGGACGCCGCGGTCCCGTCAAGTGACGCGGTCGTCGCGACGACTTCCGATTGCAACGTCTCCTGTACGCTAGAAGCTTTATCCAGTTTTGGAAGCGTCAGAGGCACCACGTCCGGCATACGGTCGGTGCCGAAGATATTGGAGGTACCGCCTCCCGGCGGTTTAAGGATTCGGTTACAGCTACGGTTGTCGTGAAACCCGACAAAGACGTTGGCCATCCTGAAGCAGCTGACGAAAAGGTGTTGACATTTAATGAAATGTTTAATGACGGACCACAGAAAAATTAAATATATAATGGAAATAATACACCACTATTTATGCTCTGCCTCTAGCGCAACTCAGGCGTCCCACGTTCAAAAAAAAAAGTTATGACTTAAGTATGAATCCAGGATTGTTGCTTATATTCTGACACCCACCTAAAGAGTTTGTTAAAGGGGATAGGCAAAAACTTTTTATGTAAAAGTTGTATGGTTTCTCTCTTGACGTACTACATAGCTGCTAGATATATGTGGATAATACAGGAACTTGTGAAAAGACTATAAAAAAACTGATAAGGTTCATGCGCACGCGCGAGATTTAACATCTGGCATTTAACCTTGACTTTGCGGCATTCGCCAACCAACATGGCCGCTGACAGATCGTCAATAAGCTTGGATGCGATATTTTTACGGTAGAGTGGCCTCAAAATATGCCTAGATCTCGTTAAATGTTGTGTGAAAACGAATTAAATTAAATGTGTCGAAATTGCTGTTTAGAAAGAAAATGGCGCAAAGTGCAGGTCAGAGAATGAAACATAGTCATTGATATTTTCTACGAAAATATCAATGTCTTTTATCTATTAGATACATGGAACGTACCAATAAACACGAATGAGCGCCGCTAAAGTAAAACAAAATTAAAACTTCCAATATTTAAGTGGACCACGGTATAATTTTACTTTAGATGAAAGTCCTTTTAACCCGATTTCAATAATATGTAGTTCGGTTCAACCGTCTTTGAAATAACTTGAGTTTATTATTTAAAAATAGAATTTAGTAATCACCATCATTTTTGCCTTGGAAAACAAAACATTGTTTATGAATTCTGATGACACCTTCACAGATATTAGTAGTGTCGCGACGACTAATTATAATCTGGGTTCATTGGGTTATACTGAAAATGAAAAACATGACATAATTTGCCTTTTTTATTCAATCAATGAAAATGTATCATAAGTTCAACAGGAATTTTGCACCTCTTACTTGAAGCGTGCGCGCTTAATCAGAAAAAAGTTTTCCCTTGTTATCTGATACAGTTAAATGCTAGTTACGGCGGAATAAGAGCCCCGTTAGTAAAGTTTAAAACGTAGGCGGCGTTGTCAAACAATATATTTTTCAAATCGGAATGTAGAACATATTCTTCCTGGGTAAAAATGTACAGGGTGTCCCATTAAAGTTATGATTTTTTTTACCTTTACGACGTTCATTTGTTTTTATTGATATGTTCAGAAACTAATAAAAAAACATACTTTTTTATAAAGTGCTTTTAATAAACTGTGTAGGTAGGTGTCAAAATATAAATAAAAAGCCTGTACGTATATGTATGTATAGCGCAACTGAAGACGTCACAAGTTTAAACAAAATTGGGTTTCGACATATTTTAAAACAAAATACTTTGTTATTATTATTTTATTTTATAGTGTGTATAAAAATGAGCCAAAAGTCCAAAACAAAGATAAGCAGCAGCAGATTATGATATAGTTAAATAACGGGCTAGCTTTTTTAGAATTTCGTTTCAAATAGTTATCCAATCACTTTTTACCTTTCTTAGGCGTGTAGATTATATACTAATTATATATGAAGTGTAGGCATTTGTTTGGCAAGTGTACATTAAAAAGGAAAGCATTGAAACTTTTCTGTCCTATAACTACAAGAAAACAACCAACGGGAACCAACCACTAATAATAGAAATTGCATTATTGTTGCTGATCCACTTTTATTTCGTTTTTCGTTGGGTTTGATATTTTTTATTTTTCAAGTAATTGTAATTTTATTACTTTAACTTACTATAACTGTCATCATTGAAATATCCCGCCACCTAACGTCAGAATATTAGTCCTCTAGTTCACGGTGGCGCTACTGAATACGCACGGACCTGATATTTACAACGGAATCTACAACTCCTTGTTTTAATAATTTTATTTAGATTTGAATTTCGTCTTGGCCTGGCGGTTAGGTTATTATAGGTATACGTGCTATTGATTTTCACGGATATTTATCACTAATAGGAAGCTGAGTTATTTTTTCTCCCGATTAAAAAACTCCGTTATACAGTTAATTAATGCGGGCGTGTATATCTTATTTGTCGTTGCTATCCGTTGATTATGATAGGTGAAAGGTTCATACAAACTAAAACGCCTGACTCCCAATATTACTCACAAATATTTCGATAAATGCAGGTTAGTGGGTGAAATTTAAGGGCATGTGCTATTAGAAAATATAGTGGCCGTAAGGACAGTAATAATTCATGCGCATCAGGCGGTACATACCGATAAATTTCACACACTCAGCTGCACTTTGCGTCATTTTCTTTCCAAATAGCGATTTCCACCTAATTCGCATATTTTGAGAAAATACTGCCGAATTGGCGAACTGTCAGTGACCATGTTGGATGTTAAACGTCACCAGTTCTTATTGGTAGACAGCGAGATTTGAAATGACCACGTCTTATTGGTTGAAAATAGTGTTGTGTCAATCGTTCATTTTACGAGGACCCAATCAATCAGTGACCGATTTCGAAAAGGACCGAATCATTTCAATCAAACGTTCATTTCAATACTTTTTGTTGCCAACATAAGCAGCAATAATCTGAACAGTCCGAAAGACCGATTCAGATTCATTTGAATTTGAATTATTGTTGTATCTATATGTTCTGTTTGCTGTTTTAGTTAGTATAATATTTAGCTGTGTTCTGCTTTTTATTGGGTATTGGGTTGTACCAGTAACACCTTAATTTGTTTAAATTAAATACCTGTGTTGAAATAGATATTTCATTCAATATTCAATTAAACACATAAGCAAATCTACCAATCGATGTCGCAACTCAATACTATAGAATAATTATAACAATACTCGCATTCCTTTTCCGTCGCCTGTCTCAGTCATGCATTCAAATCTTAAACCATTCAAATGAATCGTATTCTGGCGAATTCGTTTGTGGGTACCATCGGTGGATCGGTCGTCCTGTATTCGGTCATTCCGACCGGTCGGGGCGGCAGCGAGAGCGAACAAGGATATCGAATCGTTACGAACAAGCGGGATTCGGTCGTTCGATCGTATGAAGTGATTGAATCAAAGTGACCGAATCAATCGCGATTGACACAACCCTAGTTGAAAACGAGATTTGAAATGACCCCACATGTGCACATTTCTTCATGGTGTGTTGAAAAGTTCTTCTACTATCAGCATAGACAGGGCCTCTATATATCCAATAGCTTTATGGCACGCTGCTATGCGAAACCATGATCGTAGCCGCCTTTGAGGTGTATCAATTTTATCGTATTCACTCACAGACCTGGTAAATGTGTTTATTCCTAGCGATCGCAGTGTTTGCCTTTCGTCTCCTTAACACCAACGGCAATAAAACGGGCTTGACTAATTACGGAATAATTATGCGTCGTTTAAATTTTCCGTGTGTTATTGACCCAGGCGGAATAAAAAAAAAGTCGAGAGGATCCGCTATAGAGCCGCGGAAGATGCCTTGCCATAGGCGTGCGCTGAACATTCGCTCGCGAGAAACTATATTACGTGTTCCTAAACAAATATAGCTTAATTTATCTATAAATTTGACGGATATGTTACCTATTGTAAAGATTTCGAAAAAAAAAGTGCAGTTTTAAGTAGAAAAGCCCTTTATTGCTAGTGAACTCGTTCGGTAAAGCAGCCAATATCGTTTTTTTTGAGGCAGCTTTTATTTAGAATGAGAAGGGTAGTAATGGAGATTACTTTCTTTATCATGTTTGTTAATACCAATACAAATGAAAACTATAATAAGATATTTTTCAAAGAAACTTCCACAGGCTACTGTAAAACTATTTACAAAATTTCTGGATTCCTCCTGCGTCCGTTCAATTGAGTTGAGTCGAACTTGCTCAGGTTTCGTCAATCAGAGATTAACTGAAGCTGGTATCATTCGAGACGATGTTTATGCCCCTCATTTAGCACCACAAACAATATATAAGCAAGTACAGAGTAAAATGCTAGCCAGTTTCAGTTAAGCTCTGAAGAAGCCAAAAGGATGATTGGCGAAACGTTAGCAAGTTCAACTGACCATCAACCGACGCAGGAGCAATCCAGAAGTTGGGTAAATAATATAATAAGCGATTATTTATATTTATTTCTTTATTTTTCTACTTGTTGGGTTTTTTAGGCTAAATCGTTTGTTAATGTATACTTTATTAAGTCATTTCAATCCTTTATTCTTCTTTGAAGAACCTTAGTGGTTCTAATAGGATTTAACAATTTTTGGTAGAGTAATAGACACTTTTTGAAAATTTGACTAAGTAAAGCGATATAAATAAATAATAACTCATATCATATCAATAAAATATGTAAATATTATTATATCATAAAATTCCATGTAATAACGAAGATTGTTAATTTGATTTTATTATTTGTATAAATATAAAATGATTTGATGTGTTATGAGTATTTAAGAAAGAAAAGATATCAGCGTATTCTAGTGTTTATTATTGATTTAGTCAGCATAATTGTAAAAGAAAATTTGGAAAAATATATTTTTTCTAGAAATAAAAAATACTGGTTGGGTACATCGTGTGTAACTTTTTCTTTTAAATAATTTTCTAAGTATTTCAATTTGTAAGATGTATGTAAATGATTTTGGTGACAACTATATGGGTAAATAACGTAATTAAAACTACCAGAACACCCAATTCTCCCATTTAAATGAGCAAGACTGAGACATGAATCCCCATTACCAGCGATATTATTAATTGCAAAATTTGCGTCACTATTTTGGCAGGCTGTTAACTGCAGCAAAGCTCGAGTTTGCTGCTTTTAGTTTGTCCATGTCACTAATTTAACTGCAAAATGGCGCGATGGCGATTGAAAATCGCAGCCAGTGACACTAAGGTACTTTTGCGCAGAATTCATATTTTTTCAATAATTTTTTTGTTTGATTGTTTTAGATCACGCAGAACGTTTTATAAAGAATAACGTTCTTTTTATTATATAAAACTAAGAATAAAAACGTTTCTAGCATGATGCCCACTTAATCGGACACACTCTATAATACTGCTTAATATGGCCGTGCACCAACAACAATTTAGAACACTCAACGTCAGTCATAGATACCGTTTATTCGAAAACAATTTGAAGTTATCGAAAATCCGATCGCAAAACGTAAACCAAAAAAACCGAAATCCAAAACTACAATCAAGTAGGCGCGCAGTCGCTAAAGTCGCGCCGGCCGCAAAAGAAAAATAACATACCCGGAAAATACAGACACCCGACAATTTTCTATGCACCCGATGTCGACGATAGTAATAAAATAGCCGGCGAACGCCTCAAGAAACAGGAGAAACCTCTGTCGCGCCGCAATGCACCGATGCACTTTTACCGCTCAGTGAACTTACTGCTGCGGATTTTTCAGATTCTTGACGGACGACGGCGGCTGGTTCTGCGATGGTCGTGGTGGGTCGCGTGACAATGAACACGGCCTCCTCGATTCCGAGATTGAAAATTGTTGTTGCCCGAAGCCTACGTCCTATATTTGCATGCGGTTGCTGCGGGGTCGGCCTCGTTTAGACGCCGCGCTGTCGTTTCGCCTTTTTCTTTTGTTTCTTTTGGCGTATGGCTATTTCGGGAGAACGAACAGTGTGGCGCTTTCGTCCGCCGACCTGCGGAGTTTCCTGAAAAATGACTCCTTACTTCGGTATTTTAGTCACGGGTTGGGGAGCGATCGGAATGGTTTCGGTAGACTTTGGCCGTGGTATTGTCACGTGTGTCAGTTCTGAAGCATCGCTCAGTGAATAAAAACTAATGATCGTTTATTAAACTTGTTGAATAAAATAGCACCATTTTCATTCCTTGATCAAATACGCGTTAAAGCGATGATGTCATGTCAGAGACGGTTGAAACAAAAGAAATGCTCAACAAAACCATGTTAGATAATATAGTGATAATAAGTAGAGAAGGAAATGATTTTCCGCGCATGCCTGAATATTTCACCCATTAACTTACACTTTGCGCCATGTTCTTTCTAGACAGGGATTTTGACACACGACTCGTTTTCCCATAACATTTAACTAAACTTTGAGAAAATACTGCCTTAAAAATTTTGCATCCAACCTTATTGACGATCTGTCAGCGACCATGTTGGTTGTTCAATGCCGCGATGACATTGGTTAAAAACAAGATTTTAAATCTCGCCCATGCGCAAAATACAATTTTTTTCATAGTTGCTCCATAAAAATTACCGACATATACAGGACCTCTATATCTCTAGTTGCTATATGGTTTCTACAAGTCGGGGAAAAGTGTGTAACATCTCAAATCTAGAATTGATTTTTTAAACAACTTTAGAAGAGTTTAGCCTTTAAAACAACTTGAAATGACAAAAAAAAAGTAAAAGCATAGTTTGCGAGCGGAAGATAAGCAAATTTGCCAACTGTGCCTCGCAACGATAAGATAACGAAAACATCGATCGAGTGGTCCTCACCGTTTTCCTTGGTGAAGTCGCGACTTAAAAGATGAGCAAAAGAAGCTAAAGACTCGGTCTTTTTTCGATATCGACGAAGTTGTGAAATGGTGGAAGAACCGGACCAAGGTTAGAATGTTATGTCACCTTTGTCAACAAATCAGCTGATTTTTTATATCCTCGAATGTTTAACAATGATTTTGTCGTTTTTGCGTAAAAAAATAGGTGAGCGAAATGACCGCAAACCTGTGGAGCGAAACTCAAAGGACGCGGAGGAAGTCCGGGACATGGTTTACGGTAAATAGTGAGAAATTGCCCGATAGGAATGTTACACTTGTTCAGTTTTAAGATTTATTAAAAACGATCAAAGATCCGGAAAAACCGAGCACCCTGGAAGAGTTAAATGTAATATATGAAGAGGGAATTACTGTATGCCTACCAGCGAGAAAAATGTAAATGTGTATCAGAGCTCCTGTTTTAGGTTAGACCTGATAACATCAATACTAATGTAAGGGTAGAATTCAATCCCACAGTGCCTCATTGTTCATTAGCGACATTAATCGGGCTCTGTATAAGGATTAAATTGCAGAGGGACATGCCGTTTCCAATTAAACTGGATATTTTCATTAAAGAAGGTGCACATACTACAGAACAGGAAAGTAAGTATAACAACTAAAGTTAATTATTAGCTTTCTGGTGAAATAATGAGAGTGTTCTTTCCTTCTGGAACTGATGTAATTTAAGTGATTTTTTTAATATTTAGTTTTGCTCTCTTCAATTAAATTGAAGTACGATTCACATATGATTTAAAGTTGGTATCTGATTTGACTGCCGAAATATAAAATATATTTTTATGATCGGCACTAACTAATTTTTGCGACTGACACTAATTGTGCCAATTATTTTCCAATCATATAGTGGCCCTATTACAGTAAAAATTAATTCGCCACAAGGCGTATGGATATTTTCCATACATCCCTACATATTTCACCCACTAATCAGTACTTTGCACCCTTTTCTTTCTAAACAGCGATATGCACACATTTAACTTCTTTTTGCTCTGAGATTTAGTGAGATCTGAATATATTTTGAGAAAATTAGTGACGATCTGTCAGTGGCCATGTTGGTTCTGCAATGCCGCAGTATTGGTTATTAACAAGATTGAATGAACCTTTTCAAAAAAAAATTGCCTCATAAGTTGAATCATGTTTGAATCTTGCTTGAATCATATTAGCAATAAGTTCAATCAGAACGAAAGACTAATCACATTGCCTTCACTTTGTTCAGGATGAAAGTGATGGCAATCCCTTGGCCCCATAGAAAAGTTTTTATGTACCACTTTAGTGGCAACACATGTACACTACTTTTCTTTATTTTAAGTTAATAAACAAATAAATGACAAAGAACGTATCGCGGCTGCCATGGAGAACCCAAATTTGAAGGAAATGGTAGAAAAATGTATTGTGGAGGAAGACTGACTCTATTTTCAGCTGCTTTTGTACATATCGTTTTAATTTTTAACAAAAATAAAATAAATACAACTATTATTTGATTTATTTATTTATTTTGTCATAATTGATTTAAAATATATCAGAAAATGGAAAAACAGCTTGAGAAATCGACGTTAAATCTGCCAGGTAGCACACTGTTCCGGTGGTGCCCTCGTATAGGCTGTATGGGTTATCGGGCCTCCTCGCTTCGGCTTTAAAAATATCGCTAGACATAAATTTGTAGAAAGCCACTCCTCGGTGCAGATACATGGGGACTCCAGTCATTCTACAAATTATTGAAAATTTTAAACTTCTTCAAGTGGTATGCTGGTAGGGCTTTGAAAGTTATATTACCTATACAAAATTAAAAACACATATCCGTTGCCAGCCACTCCGTGGCACAATCCAGGACCTTTCTTCAGCAGGCCCCTTTCCCAAATCAAATCTGCCATCCTTTTGCAGGACTCCAGATATTTCCCATCCTGAAGCACCAGGTATGCTTTTGCCATCAAATAAAACATACCGGGAGCACCGTGACACCAATGTACCAGCTTACATTCCCTCCCCATTTCGTCCAATGTGGCCGGAAAATTGCCTTAAAAAAATAACATACCCATTGCCCTTTGAGACACTTCCGGAAACAATTTATTATGTAATTCACGAAAAATTACCAACAAAAATATAAATAAAAATTAAAACCCACCCTCAGGAGTCTGTATACTCAAGAGGTAATCCAAGGATGTTTTAACATCAGCCGCATCGCCAGGATTCGCGTCCAAGTACCCGGGAACTGACAAAATACTTTGAAGTATAGTGCACAGCCCATGCGCAGCACCCAAATATTCTACCCCATAGTAGGCATACATCAGAGGACATGGAGAGTGATGCCTAACGGAGTAATCTCTGCCCGACCTCACCATGACCCTGCAGATCTCATATAAGTCATTCTTTTGCAAGGGTGTCTTTGTTTCTTTGGCCAGCCAAAGAGCCCCCATGAGATAACCCGCTCGGCCTACAAACAGCTCATCCGAACCACAGTGCAGAAAGTTCTGATCTTTACACAAGTCCGCGGCCCTATAGTAGAAATCGCGAAAGTTCTTGCTTTGAGTTTCGTCTCCTATAGCATGATATACCACCGAAGCGACCGCGTATACCCCGCAATGACCGAGTATAAGTGAGGGCAAATCTTGCTTGTTTTTGGTGGTAAATTGGTATACGGCTATCGCCGGTTTAATGTAGTTTAGAGCTTTGTTCAGGTAGGACTCTTTCTGGTCTTGGAAAGTAGGAATTTTACTTAAACGATAGAACATGTAACTCGTACCGGCAGTTCCCAAATATACGCCCTCTGTGCCATTCTTTTCTATTGGTTTAAAATGATTTTCAATGTCGACCACAAGATTGTCCACGAATCGTTTAATGTCCTGTTCGGGAACCTGCGGAAGCCCAAACGCCTCCTCGAAGTCGGGTTTCTGGTTGACAAAATATCTCCCGGGCATATTAGTAGGTAACCTTAACGCCGACAGCCTTCTTATTAAATGTTTCAACATTCACTGGCCCATTTTAAAATTCGAATTACCTGAAATTTGACATTAAACGGATCACCACACATTTGTTGATTTAAAAGCGTTTGCTTTTTGTTTACCATCTCCAATAGTAAGGTTAGTTTTTCCCTGAATTACTTTTCTGCCGTCAAACAAAAGGCGGTAAATGTTTGACTGATATCCACTGTTGCTAAGCTGTCCTCTCTGTTCGGGATACTTATTTTTAAATAATAATTAAATTAAAATTAAACTTAGATTTTTCAGTCCACATCGATAATGTATTCAATAGCTTACATCGCATGCTGGGGTTTGTTAGGCGCAGTATTTGCAACTTCTCAAATATGAATGCAATAAAAACATTGAATTATTCTACGTCAGATCACATCTAGAATATGCTACTTCAGTATGAAGTCCCAATTCCACCCGTCTTATACAGCGAATAGAAAGTATTTAGTGCAAATTCTTACGATTCGTCAACTATAAATTCTATACCAATCAACAATTCCACTGTAATAACCTCTGCTCAGCAATACATTTAACAAATATCCTGACTTGCAGGAGGTGTGGGTTGGATTCCCACCGGGAGCTTTGGGTGTTGTGTGTTCTGAAAAATTGTTAAGAGTCAAATTTTCCTCTGCGAATGATTTCAAAAAATGGGAGAATTAAAAAAAAACAACTCCCGTTTGTCGAAGGAAACACAGAGATTTAAAATTAATTCAGAGACTGATTAACTCTACAATCGACTGCCCTTCGTTAACATCGAGGGTTGGTCTACATGTTCCAACCCGAAACACTCGTGCTTCACATACATTTCAGGAGTTCAATACAACTAACAATATTTATCACTCATTCGTCGCTCGTACTCTCCGGCTATGCAACGAAATAACCGATTTAAATAATCTATATTATTTTGCGTTGCTATGTCTTAATCTTTTATAAATATATATTTTAGGAGCTTGTAATTTTTATCGCTCTTGTAATCCGTATTTTTTCCAATAACTCAACAATAAAATAACAGAAAATAACCAAAACTAACTAATGCTTGCGTATTCCACAATTAAAATGCAACAGGTCATAACATTAGATTACAGTCGAATCATATAGCGACAAGGGATGTAGAGGCCTTAAGCAGCTATGAAATTTTTTTTGGGTTTCATTCAACATGCGCATGCGCAAGATGAGATTTAAAATCTCATTTTAAACCAATAACCTTCCGCCATTCGACAACCATCATGGCCGCTGGTAGATCGTCCACAAGTTTAGACAACAAATCGTTTGATGTTCTGAGAACATATTAAGAGTATGGAAATCGCTGTTTAGAATGAAAATGGCTCGGAATGGGTGAAATGCGCGCGCGGAAAATCATTCCCTTCTGTACGAAAGTATCATTGCGACGTATCAATTTTGACCGTAGTACTGCCACTATAAATCTAATACACTTTTACGCATTTCACCGACTAACATGCAATTTGCGCCTTTTTCTTTCTTTCTTTTTAAGCATATTATGAGAAAATACTGCATCCTTGAATAACAAGCACGTCAAATTGCAAGCTTGATTTATTGGACAATATAGACAAACATTAAAGACTTAAATTGGCACTCGTGCGACTTTCAATCCGAATTCCAGTACCATTTTTGCTACTGCAGCTGTTGTCACTCGTCTGGCTGCCCCTGAAGTATTTGCTCCTGATGGATCTTAAAAATGTCGCTATTACATGCAAAGCGTTGCAAGGACAAAAACTTACTAGGTATAGTAAAATGGGCACTGCGGAGGATTGTACGAATAACGTTTATACATGTTCAATTGCAATAAATGTAACCTGCAATGTACAACATTAAAGATATTTATAAACAAATTGCAGGATACATTGAATTTAAGAATTGTCATTTAATCATTACGCTCCAGTCAATTAGCTTCTAAGGTTTGAAATTATTTCAGAATGTATGCTTTCGAAATGGTTTTGGCTATTGGCTAGCGCCCGCAAAGTTAGTCTAAAAAAAATATCCTTAACCGATTGCTGAAAATCAATTACCCGATCCGCACCATCTACCGGTGAAAGAAATAATTATCGCACAGAGCCGCTTGTCATAACAAATCAACTTGGTGTCAACTTTGTTTCAATGCTGTTTGACGTTCCACATTTAAAACTTATTGTAAATTTTATGCTTATTCTAAAATGTTTTTCTGGAACTGTCATTAGTTATTATAGCAAATCCGACTAATGCACTTGCACATTGCGTTTTAACTTTTGCCTAATGCTTTCCATTATGCCCTAGGCTATTGATCTCGAAAATGTTTCACCAGTCGTACTCTGGCGATATATTGCATTTGAACGTCGGCGGTAAAAGGTACTCTTGACAACCCTCCATGTATCTTATGATTTTACAAGAATTTGCGTTGCAGGTTTTCCACCTCGCGTCAAACGCTGACCCTTATTCCCGACACCTTCTTTACTGCGTTGCTAAACGGCCGAATCTCGAGCCTTAGAGACGAAAAAGGGTGCATTTTCATCGATCGCGATCCAGAAGTTTTCTCGATTATTCTCAACTACCTTCGTACAAGAGAAATAGATGTTAAAAATGTCGATTTGAAAACGCTGCGGCATGAAGCCGAGTATTACAATATAGCGCCTTTGGTCAGGCGGTTAATATTATGTGAAGAGCTCACGCAATCCACGTGCGGAGATGTTTTGTTTTATGGTTACCTACCTCCCCCTTCTGTTCCAATTCAAGGAGCGGATACTTCTACGGTTAACCAAATTCGCACCAATAGACTCCCAGAGTTGGAAATAGTGGATAACCGTCACAAAGATGATGATGTTAAAGAGAGGGAACAACATAACGCCTTGCAAAATCCGTCGACATCCACTTCGAACTGTACCCAACCTCGACAAGGTCATTCTAGAGCTTGCTCCACAGAATTGAGGTTAGGATTACAAGCGAACTATAGCAGGAGCTCGCAAGACTTGAGGGGTGTCACGAATAGGGGCCACTCGAGGACGGCGTCCTTGGATTTGAGACACGCCCGCAATTCGTCAGCCGATCTGAATAAACTCGTAAGGAACGACGTGGGTCTCGTGTTTGGCGCCTCGAGCTCGAGCTGGGCGGACCCTCTGCGGGTTCAGATAATAAGAGCCCATCACAATTGGATTGTCGTCGGTTACGCTCACTTTGTTGTGTGCTATAGGTATGTCAATTATTTTTCTGGTTCAATTAGAATCGAGTGGTTATTTTAAGGTTAAAAGACTCCAGCGGTTGGCAGCAAGTATTTACGAGTCCGCACATCGAGAGTTGCATCGAACGGATCGCGATTAACGCAAAAATGGGTTCGACCGAAACATCCAAGATGGTTGCCATCTCGTATGGGAGTCAGGTGCGCCTATGGGGGATTTCGGACGCGGGCACTCGAACAAATGTCGGTAAGGACTCTCATGTTGGGCGTCACTGTCGCTTCTTAACGCGCCCTTGCAGGTACTTTCAATTTGATGGTCCGTGTGGAGTACTTGTTTTTCATTGGCAGCCAGTTGGTGGCATTGTCACCTTCGGGTAAACTGGGGGTGTGGCACGCAATGACGCAGCACTGGCAAACGCAGGACGTCATGCCGATCGCTTCATTCGATACGGCTGGGTCCATATTGCTTTTGGGATGTAATAATGGATGTATATATTATATTGGTATGTTTTTGCTCCTGCTATTCACTTACATTTATACAGTGTGTAAAAAACTCTGGGCTTGATATAGTTGGAATTATACCCATTTGCATGCTGGTTATCCAAATGGTATAATCGCTGCTAACTGACAGTGACATTTTCATATACTATAGGGGAATATTTGTGTTTGATATATATTAAACAAAGATAAACAAAAATTTTAAGGTTAAATAATAATAATAAATAAATAATAAAAAATAGACTGACATAATTTTTGTGGGTTTGTAAAATCGAAAGGGGCAGTTTTTGCAAATTACGTTTTTCGAAAACTATGCCCTTTTCTCGACTGTTGCAAGTCGTTTGGAGTTAAATAAACTGCTATTTGGAAACTATTAGACCCAAGTAATTTATTTTTTCTCAGTATATGTAATAATTGATCACGTTCTCCATTTTTGCTCTTAAGACATGCAAAAGTTCCCTTTGCGAATGAAAGACAACGATCTTCTGGTGACAGAGCTGTATCGGGATCCCAACAACGATACGGTAACCGCCATTTCGGTGTACCTCACTCCGAAAACGAGTAAGTGTGACCATCCATTGCCCATTCTGATGCGTCGGCCCCTGCGAACTAGGTACGGTCAGTTGGCGGAGTGTTCAGTGTCAAACGTGAGGTTACAATATTGAAAAGTACCGCGTATTCGCGCTCGCCCGTTGATATTTGTGACCTGTACATTTGAACTACTTGACCGAACTTTTATCGCAAACTCGTCAAAACTCGCCGACTTTCTGGTGTAATTTGGACCTTGTGTTTCATGCCAGCGTCGGAGAGGGGTCGCGAAGGTATGCCACCACCGTAACAGCGTCACGCCGTCAAGCTTACACCGCATTCGATGATATTTCTTGATTTGTTGCGAATTAAATTCCTCTCGATTTTAACATCACACGGAAGTGAGGCGCTTTTTTTCCTCCCGGTGCAATATATAATATATATATTTCGTATTGCGATATAGATTTGTTGCACATGCGTTGGTTTCGGAAAACAGTTTACTTTTGCTGGTATTCAACACAAGGACACTAAGCTTGTATGTTAGTTAGTGTTCAATTTTGGTTCTCGATTTTTATCTCGAAAATGGGGGAAAATAAAACACAAGGAAACGAAATGACGGCGCGCCAAACGGGCGTTGGCATGTTTTTGTGTGATGTTGAACCTTCTTCGTCTGAGCCAAAATTTCGGACTAACTTGCTTTATCTATGGCTCAGACCTGTGCGGGAACTGGATCGAGATCGCGTACGGAACCACGTCGGGAGCCGTGCGGGTCATCGTACAACATCCGGAGACGGTCGGTCACGGGCCCCAACTGTTCCAAACGTTCACGGTGCACCAGAGCAAAGTAACAAAGGTATATCGTCAGGTTCAAGCTACTGCGTTAGATTTACCAGTGTCCAGGGAGCCACACCGCGCACTCGATCTTGTTTGCATTTAGTTGTTCTCTGGTGACTCAAAGAAACAAAAATTCACAAACTGCAGGTAACTGATTTCATTTACATTTTATTTAGAACCCACCGTTGTGTAATTGTAAAATGTCATGCAGATTTCAGTGTAGGAAAATGCAAACCTCTTCAAGAATTGTGAAACTAATTTTTCTTTTTATCGCCTTATGGTTACGTTCATACTGGAGAACTGAAACGACACAATGTCGAGTGTAGAGTGCAACTTCCTGGATACTGGCTAGTTGAACTCATTTTAGGCCAGTGTTTGCAATAGCTTGGAAGTATTGGTAATAGATCAAACAAAAGGCTATTAAAACAAAACCTTTTACATATTACATTAAATTCAGACAGATCGAAACGAGAGGCGACAGACAACGTCGGCGCCTTTGAAATTGCGGGGTCCATTTTTGGTATACCCGGATAACAGTAGAGAATTTTTTTAAACATACATTATCGGTTTTCACTAGCATATTTAATAATAATAATATCCTATATTTCCATACAAATTCATTTTAAATGACAAGGAATGAATATTTACAGGTCGCAAACAATTATATATATATATATTATATATATATATATATATATATATATATATATATATATATATATATATATATATATATATATATATATATATATATATATATATATATATGCATGCCATTTAAATTCAAATTTAAAAGCATTTGTGCTGGGAGTATAGGATCATCTCTCGTTTAAATTTTCTCTGTTTTCAACCTTAAAGGCGAACATTAACTCAGTCCGGTCCTGTTTCTGATGATAGTAGTTATTGACTTATTGACTTGACTGAAACACTATTATATAAAAATAAAATTAAATATCTCAACCAAAAAACTAAGACTCTCTGACTAATGAGCACGCTTGAACAAGGTGCGATAAGCTCTCCCCGACTAATAAACGAACGGGTCTAAATTTTTTGACGTTTACCGTGCGCATACAGAACTGGATTGGTCTCGTTCGATGGGAACTCTGAGTACTGCGTTAAAGATTTTCAAAAACGAATTTTTTTGAATTTTGTCACCAAAATGACTTTCGTTTTGAAAAAGGTGACCCTGTCGGAAAAATATCTGGTGTCCGTGTGTTCCGAATACAACCATGTGCGCAGCTGGCGCGTAACCCGTTTCCGGGGTATGCTCAGCACACAGCCGGGGTCGACCCCTGAGGCGTCATTCAAAATAGTCGCCCTGGAGGCGGCTGAAGCGGGGGTCGCCCCCGTCGGAGGTGTCGGTTTGGGTCTTTCGCCCGCCTCCGCCGTCGGAAACGACTGCGGTCCGTTCGGTGAGCAGGACGACGAGCAGGTGTTCGTGCAGAAGGTGGTGCCCGACGCCGATCAGCTGTTTGTGCGGTTGGCCAGTAATGGTAAAAGGTGAGCGGCGTTTCTAGCACGGTAGTTCAAATGTTCTCGTTGGAATTTGTTGTTCTTGCGGTTTTTTGCGTCACGTTGACAATAAATATAGACGGAAACTTTTTGTTAAAACGCTCAATGTACGCAAAATAATTATTAGGAATTGCCTGTTCATGAAAAATGCGGAGGCACATTGAAACCCATCGCAGTTTCGTATAATTTGAGAATCATTCCGAATGGCGGTCATAATGCTTCAAGTATTTACACTCCAAAAAAATAAACTGGAATAACAAAAAGTTGTTTGGTCGCCCGCATGTTCTTTTAGACCAACATAAATGGCACGAGAGCCATGCAATTTTGTATTAAAAACTCAAAAAGTTTTAATTAATTTCAAGTTTTCGTGACCAGTTATCTAGGAACAATATTCGTTTTCGACATACAAAGAACAAAGAACACAGGTGAACAAGAATGAATGTTTGTTCTTTTTTGTTTCCTCGGTGGGTAACGTTCGAGGCAGTGTCAAAAGGTCGGGTGCAAAGCGAATAATTTTGGACCCATCCTGGCAACACCGCGGTCGGTTGTAATTTTCCTATAATTTTTGTTAATTGTCAGGGTTTGCGTGATAAAGGCTGTGGACGGCAGCACTGTGAGCGCGTTCTGCGTGCACGAGTGCGAAGGTTCGAGCCGAATGGGTTCCAGACCGAGACGATTTATTTTCACCGGCCATTCGAACGGCTCGATTCAAATGTGGGATCTTACCACCGCCCTCGACCTCTGCTACAAGACCGACATAGGTATTTTTCGTGCCGCGAGTAAAAGTCAGGTTGAAACGGGACGACTTGTTGCAGAGAGGCGGAACGGAGGCCCGACGCCGGCCGAGTTGCTGCGTATGCTCGACCAATGCGACATTAGCAACAGCTTGTGTTCGACGCCGTGCATGTCGCCCAGTCCGTACCTGGCGGCTGCGGCGCGTCTCAAATCGAGTAACGTCGCCTTCCTCAATCAACAGTCGCACAACGACAACACGGACAGATCGTCGAGTTCCACGTAATTGTTTGGCAACAGCGGGGGAAGCGAGAGACTAAGCGTAAACGTGTACTGCCAGTTCTTTTGTCTTTTGTGTTAAGACGGAACCTAGTAAAACAAATGTGATTCCCAATCCTTTTTTTTTTCTTGTGAAACCTCTCTGTAGAGACACTTCTATTAAATGGACACATTTTCTGGAACGAAACTTTTGTCTATTTCCTTACCAATAATACCAAATCCTATAACTGGACACTGTGTGTGGACATATTTTTTTGAGTAAAAACAGTGTTCTCTAAAATCCCCTCTGGCAATGGGAAAGACATTGTACACTGTTTTATTATTATTGTTTAAATAGAAATCTTTGAAATGGCGCTTAGTAAGAAACTTTTTACTTGCTAAAGAGAAAATTATCAGCTTGAAAACTCGCTGAAGAATTTTATATTGGAAGAACTCAGGCAGGTCAAAACACCATTAAAAATAAGAGCAAGGGAGTCGAAAAGGAACAGCGACCAAAGGGTTCTTGAGAATTAACTGATTTCCATGTTCTTGGAGTCAATTGAAATTCAGAAGTCTTCTCTTATTTATAGTAGTTTAAAAAGAAAGGGTAAGCCAATGAAACAAAAAAAACTTAAAATTATGTGTTAATCCACTACATCGCAACAATCACAACAACATTGAACATTGAAGATGCGATTGTGATTAAACTTGAATGAATGAAAATTAAAACTAAATATGCGTTAATCGAGCATCTATTAAAATGAGAACTCCTTAGATTCGCCGGATTTTTTATTCTGCAAATAGTCCCAATAGCAATTTTATATTTTTATTTAGTGTTGTTGTCGCGTTGTGCTGCTCGATTTTAAGTAATTTTTTCTACTCCTTTCTGTAAAATAACCAATTATACACCGATCTAAAGTGCGCAAAGTGTCATTTATCGCGTCACTTTCGTTTCCTACGGCTGGCAGCCACTTCGGACATATCCGGGATATTACCGTACGGGTTTGGGAGCAATTGGATATTATCGGAGATATTATCTATGGTTTGAATTTTGATGTTTGTTAATTGTCATGTCAGTGGAACGATTCGCGTTGTTTTGCAAAAATCTACCAGAAAACTAATGGCCATAGCAACGTTTGGTATACTTTTTCACTTATTCGTTACTTTCGAAAAATCGATGAAATCGAATTTTTCGAAAGTATACGCGCTTGGCAACGAAACCTATATCTCGGAAATGGTGCGGAATCAACGTCGAAAAAAATAACTTCTCCTGTTCTCCGGTCTCAGTGTATCTGTAGATTTGGCATTAATTGGCTATAACTTTCGAACGGTCTGTCACACGGCCTTCAGATTTGGCTTATTTTAAGCGCTGCACAAAACAAACAAGTCAATAAAAAATTGTTTCGTTCAAACCTCGGCGTCCATCTTTTTTTTTTCAATTTTCGGATGTTTTTTGAGCACGATAAGTGTCCAAAGCTATCAACTTAAAATTTGGCACACGTATGGCGCCTCGTTCCCTAACAAAGCCTATTGAAACTGGGGGGATGCTGGGGGTCATGAAGTATTTTTAAAAAATTAAAAACCAAGTTTGCAAAGGTTTAAGAAAAAAATCATTTCTCGAAAACCGTTTACGCGAACAAAAAAAATCTTGAACCAGAAGACGCACGAGATCTGACCAAAAACCTTGAATCTTTATGATTTTTAAAAAATGTACAGGGTGCCTCAGTAATTTGCTAAACACGAAAAATTGGACTCCCTTTATAATGATAATTGACCATAACTAGAAGGGTGTGATTCAGTTGCCAGTTTGTTTCACATGACTATATAGCCCGTATGGACACCTAAAACTTTTGTATTTAAGGTTTTCACAGATTGTACAGGGTGTTCGGGATATTCTCTTCTATAATCTAAAGCTTAATAACTTTCGGCAAGTATTTTTTAAAAACTTTGAATTTTTTTTGGGTTATGCTGGCTTTCATACAAAAATTATTTTCTCGAAAACTATTAATTCGATCGGCACAATTCTTTAACCAAGAGACGAGGAAGATCTAGTGGTCTTTCAATTATGGACAAAAATCTGAAAGACCCTGAAAATTGTTCTTTTCTAGGGTAAATTATTGGCCATAAATCAAAATTCGTAAAAACTAGGGAAAATTTGTTCAAACAGTATTATAGGCAGCATCGAGACCTACAATTCTTGTTTTTTCGGTTTTCGTCTATCACACACGCTTCCCGAGATATTTAAAAAAGTCCACGTGACAGTCGCTATATCTCGCACTCAATCTAGACGCGATGACGTCATTTACTATTACGGCGTAATGCTTGGTTTTAGAAAACGAATATTTTCTCGAAAACCCTTTACCCCATTGAAAAAAGTCATATATCGGGATACTTGGTCTATAACTTACTTCGGCCGTTTTTTGTATTATGTACAGGGTGTGTCGATTATGGGCAAAAAAAAATCTAAAAGATCCTGAAAAGTTTTTTGTCTGGGTAAATGATTAGTTGTAAATGAAAAACTATAAAACATGGGATAATTTGCATTAAACAGTATCGTAAATTGTGTCGAGACTGAGTTTCAGGATCATTGGAAACCGCTATTATTTGTACAAATTTTAATATTTGCTAAATATGGCCGTAACTTTGAAGTTCGGCGATAAGTAAAATACGCTTCATAGAGGGTGTATGCATAATAAAATTACATCGATTTTGTGAAAGTTGCATAGCGCCCCGCGGGAGCACGATAGAAAAACAATGCGCCCCTATAGGACGACATAGAAAATAAAAAATACAAAGCTGTTTAGTGACTTTGAAGACTAGGAAGTGCATAGTAAGGGGCAGACGATTTTTCGAAAGCACTTTATATTGCAAGACTTGTGTATTAAAACAACCTTTAACAGTATTTACAGGTTCAGTCTTTATCGCTCGACATTTATTTCCTAGTAAAAAAATGGAAAGCTCACGGAATATTAAAAATAATAAGAAAACAATTAAAGTGTAAAAACTGCCGAAATAACCGGACGAATTATAAGTGGACCGCCGCCGAAGTCAGTCGTGGTACCAAGCGTCCCGATTGGAATACAGATCCGGCGTAGTCAACGGTTCCAGCAACAGGTACCACACCGCAAAACCCGAAACAAAAAGCGCGGACACGATGACCTTTTTAGTGCGTGGATACGTGGCGACTTCCAGCACGTCTGGAAAGCCCATGTGATTACAGAATGCGTGGACGACGAAAATCGACGCAAAATGACCGGTGCGGTACAACAAGTAGGCCGAGTATGCGCCGAAAATCGTCGTATAAACGAACTGAAAACCTAAAGGAAAACAAATTAGGATCCGGCTCCGCTGGAGACGCGATCACGTACATGATATTTTCAGAGCCGTGTTGAGGTCCATCCCGAACCGGACCCGCTCCTGCACATGATGGAAGTGAGCTTAAAAGATCGGGCGGTAAATGTTTCACTCATACGCATTTCTTATACAAGTAAATAAACTGAATATGCCAATAACACAAATTTAGATGTTTCACGAGCGTTGGCACTTATGTCATATTATAAACAAAATTACTAAAAACGGCTTTTGAACCACCGGATATGATATTCAATATGATACAATTTTGTTTCAGTCTATTTTGCAACCTTTGCTTTTCTGGCCTGTCTCAAACTATTTTGCTTTTGACGGCAACCATCGAAATAACAGGCCAACTGCAGTAAAACATCTGACCGGTATTGCATTAATTGTATTCTTAATTTAAGTATAATAAAATCACAGAATATTAAGTATAGTTTATAGTGAAATCAACCCATTCTTGGGTGTATGGAACCAAGTTTAATATATATAAATTATACATATTTTCGGATATATACTTTTTAATTTCCTTTATATCTCCAAGCGTGCAATATGTTGGGATTTCATTACTTGTTTTTTTTTTCAATTTTCTATTGTACAAATATCTCTATGGAGGGTGGGCAAATAATTATGTTGGTCTCATCTTTACCTTATTCCTTTTCGGTTTATCCAAGGTAGGGACAATCCGATTTTGATACAGGGAATATATTTTCAAAACAATTCACTTGTGAACAATATTCTTTATACTTTTTTTGCTTCTAATAGCAAGTTATTTCGACGCGACATAACGGAAACATTAGGGACACAAGGAGCTTTTTTGAATTATTCAACACTGCAACTAATATCAGCCTGACGGACCCTTACCTATGAATAAATTATTGGTTGCTGGGTTTACCCAATAACAATAGGTGTGAAGGTCGTAAATACTTTTTAGGGAGCCTTCGTCAAAAGCCAATACTTTGAGACACGCCAAATAATAACTTCTACTTTTGCAGCCAAGTTCAAAAAAGTCCCAGGATATTCATTCTGCGCAAGTACGGGATGTCATTGTGTGAGTTCGATCGTTTTCGTGCAAACATCAGAGATTTTACAATATTTAACACCCAGTCGGAAGAAACTCACGCAGAATAGGTCCAAGTAAGAAACAGAGTAAACGCAAGAATAAGATCAATCAAAAGAGAACATTGGGCCAATTTTACTAGCGACATGGACCACGACCTGTATGGCGCCCGAAGGAAAGTGTGAAAGATGCTGCGGAACAGGAAAAAACAAGTTAACGAGCTTGTGCAGACCAAAGGAGTACCAATAGACACATGGCAACAGCATTATAGAGAGCTTTACGATGCTGGGGAAATGCAGAATATAAACGAATACGAAACAGATATAAGTGGTACTATCACTGTTGAAGATGTGGAAGCAAAACTATAGAAATTGAAAAGCAGAAAATCACCCGGACCGGACGGCATCCGCAACGAGCTTTTAAAATATGGAGGACCCGAACTCACAAGGAAACTAACGCAACTATTTGACAAAATCTTAAACAAAACGGAAACACCAGACGAATGGCATAACAGCATCACCATACCTGTATTCAAGAAAGGACTAAAAACTTGCCCAGAAAACTATAGAGGAATAGCTCTCTTAAATACGGCAATAAAACTCTTCACGAGTATTCTCAAGGACAAACTGGAAGCACAAATTAAGAATGCTGAAGAACAACAGTGCTTCCCAAAGGGACGGTCAACAACAGACGCAATGTTCATAATAAAACAAATAAAAGAAAAGGCACCAGCAAACATAACGAAGATAATCCACAACCTAAAAACCAATAACGTATTCACTGAAAATATCCCAACATCGGGAGGAATCAGACAGGGTGACAGTCTAAGCCCCCTTTTGTTTAATCTCCTCATGGACAAAATTATAAACAAAGTACCAGGTCTCAAACTCGCGATACAGACTGGGCAACAAAAGAGTGATGATGATCATCGCCGAATCAGAAAACGAACTACAGAGACAACTATTCCAGTTCTTCCTAGAAAGCCGCCAACTCAATATGAACATTTCTATCAGTAAGACCAAATGTATCTCAATCGCGAAGGATCCGCTCAGATGTAAGCTGGTGGTGGAGGACAAACCCATAGAACAAGTGATGCAATTCAGATATCTGGGCATAGATGTATCAAGCACTCACGACCCAGTTAAAGACATGAGGAGCCAGACTAACAAAGCATCCGCACTAACGGGATGCCTACGAGATATACTCTGGTCCAATCCGTACATGCGCAAGGATAGCAAAATTAGAATCTACAAGACTTGTATCAGACCCATCATGACGTAGGGCACGGAAGTCCGCGAAGACACCAACAAGAGGAAACAAATGCTAAGGGTAGCAGAGTGGTACAACGGATGGACGAGAACAGACTTCCGAGAATAGTCCTGAAAAAACAACCTGCCCGGCCCACCACGGGAGACCACCAAAAAAGTGGAAAGATAGTTGGCAATCTACATCACAGGAAAAGATGCAGAGGCAGCTTCAGAATTAACAGACTGACAGATCTCCAAGAAGTAGAAGAAGAAGAAGAAGAAGGCCCAGATCTCTATATTCCACTTATCCAGTTCCTACATGACCTATACCTTACCTATCCCGAACAACAGAGGATTTACCGCGATGGCGGTCGTCGCGGGAAAACACTGAAGCAGCAGGGGCAGCATACAACTTCTGTACGTGAATTCTTCAGAAAACGGGGCCACTAGGTGGTTCCGGATCCATATTAAGTTTGTAAAGTTCGCGTGCCACGCCCCTTCTCCTGAAACAGGACCGTCGTCTGTCGAAATGGACATTTTCATACGCCTACTCTTTCCCGCGTACAATTTGCCCAGGCTGTTTGATACCTCCATCGATATGGGCCCCAAAAACAGGACCACTGTTAACAACAAAGGAACGATAAGGGCCTGCCATAATCCTTTGCTTTTCACGCCGAGTACTTCTAAAAATGAAACCTGAAATCCATTACATTTTTCTTTAGACTGGAGTTCGTTAAAATAGCGTTTTCTAATATGCTTCTCAGAGACTCCAGAAGATAGAACACGCAATTTTAGAGTGCTCGGAGCAACAATAGAAAAAACGCCGTGATAATTAATCTCTTAACCTTTTGGAGAGTGTTTTTATCGAGTCCAATGTATAAAAAACATGGCGCCACAAACAGCATGAAAAATACACTGACGAATCTCTTCTTAATCGTTGTAGGGTGGTCCCTGCAAGAAAATTATTGTGCAGCGAGGTCGGTAGCAATAATTTAAAACTTTTGTCTCATTCATTAAACTAGCAATTATTTTTAGATTTCTGTCATTATTAACTATCTAAACTTCATTTCCGATTTTGTACTAGTCGGAATTTGCAGCGTTTTGCGCGTAATTTATGAATGTAATTTTAAGAAATTTATCAAATAGAACATTAAATCGTCCGTTATCCTTCAGCTTTGTTATGCCATCAAACGAACGACGACGTCGGCGACCGTGGGGTGCACCAATCCACGATTTAAATAAAATATTCAAGACACAGATCCTGTATTTTTCCACGGCACAAGATTCGCCCCACCGTTGCCAAATTACACGAGGAATTTATGGTAAATTTGTTTTCACAAGTTCCGATACGAGGATATTCAATTACTTTGCAATTTGAATAGATCGGAAGAAACGAAACAAAATTTGGAAAAAAAGTCGATTGCGACCCATTTTAAACAACGACCGAAGAATTTGTTAAAGTCTGGCAACTGTGTAAACGGCAGGGTGTTTGACGCGAGGGGAGAAGGACGACTCGACCACCGTAAATCCGTAAAGCGCGTTGCGGGTTTGTATGAATCCGGTCGATCTGAATTTTCGATTGCGTTTGAAATCGGTACGCACCTGCTGAAAGGGCTGTTCCATACATGGAGGCTGGCCAAATAAACGACCGATAGAAGCAGACATAGTCCGACAGACACGACGCACCCGAAAATCGCGTTCAGCCCGTGCTCCATGAGTCCATTCCACCGATCAGCACGGAATACAAAAAGGCAGCGACTGCAAAAAGGTTAATTTTGACGTTTGCGGAAAGTTCACGTGACACGCGTCGCGTGCAGTGATTGGTCAAGCGATTCGGGGTGTGCGCACTGAACGTTCGTATTCGTTATTCGACCGTAGGCAGTGCTGTGTCCTCTGAAAATGGCCGTCATGAGTGGTAGTGCTGGTGTTTTCTTTGTTTAGATCGTGGAAGATAACCGTTGGAGCGCGCCGTGCGAGAGAACACCGAAGATGCCCAGCGCCTCTTTTACGGCCTCGCGGTCGTACGTGCGGCGATCCCGAAGGAAAGGCGCAAACAGGATACCCACACCTTCGAGAACGACGTCTGGTAAGTCGTAATGTCTATATCCCATATTCAATTCAAGCAATCCCGCCGTATACTAACCCAGGACCCCAATGAATTTTATGCGGGGTCGCGCCTTACAAAATTCGGGTCGCGATCGATCATTGGGTTTTTTTATTGGGCGTTTCGGCTTTTACAAAAGAACGGGACTGGTTTTATTTGTCAGCCCAAAATGTCAGGCTTCGATTTTGTAAATATAGACGTTGTCGACTCGTTTTGGGGGGCGCACAGGTTTGGAAAGTCCGTTCTCGTTCGTTGGAAAGGGTCCAGCGAACCGAAAAACCGTCGTGTTCAATTGTGTTTTACGTCGCAATCAATGTTTGGCTCCGTGGCGAGAATGGACACTAAAAGAATCTTGCGATTTACATTATCAAGGATATAAATATTCTTCAGGTTGCGTCTGCCGATGGTTTTTTTTCGTTTTACTTCGCTCGTTTTTGGTATTTTTTCTCGGCAAACGAGCTGCGCAGTGTTTATCGAACATTTCGTTTTAGAAAAATACCTATCTTGCCTGCTTGTTTATTTATTTTTATAAAGATAAAATTTCTGCCGCTAGTCGTAATTCTGGACCCGAAAATAAACATTTTTTGATTAACTCTCAGACTTGGTTTGTTTTTAAACGCAAGTGGGGTTTTCATTTCGCGCGCCGTAAATGGCAAATGTCGATCGTTGAATGAGAGCTCGTTTTATCGGAAAGTTTTTTTTATCGTATACGTGTGCGTCAGTTGTAATCCGGCCCTATCGATTCCGTAAAACAGAAAAGTATTAACAGTAAATTTTCCCTTTCAATGTCGGCAAACGGTCTCGATTGCACGTCGACCTTGCGCGTTTAACTGTACCTTCGGCGGTACAGTAAATCGCCACCTGCATTTTTTGTTTGTTCAAATGGAGATTGTCCTATTGAAAGATATTCATTAACAATTTGGCGCCGGTTTGCTGTCTTCTTTGGCCCTCTCCGGCAGTATAACGGAAGATTAGAGATTAGAACGCCCTGTATAAATTGTGGGGCGTTTTAAGAAATCGTCTCGCCCTAATTTTTGGGAGACGACACCGACCAAAAGCTGTTGTTATGCGAGCTGTCAGTAAAAATAAGAGGAAATCGACCATCTTCCACATTTGTTATAGAACCGTGCGAGCCGTCATGTCCCGTCCAGCCTAACCAGAACGCGCCCGCACCATCCGCCCTCGCTGGCAATCCTCTCGGCGGGCAGCAACAAGGGGCGTTCGCCCCGCCCGGCCCCAGTGCCGGGGGCGGCGTAGTGGCGGCCGCGGCTGCCGCTGCCGCCCACCAGTCGCCGTACGATTTGCGACGCAAGTCGCCTTCGCACAATCACGGGGGCGGCGCACCCGCCGTCGACGGTGGCCCCGGGCCCAGTACGAGCGCCGCGACGGCGAGCGGCAGCCCCGCCTCCCCGACGACACCCTGCAACGTGCCCGTCGCGCAGGGCGCTTACAGTTCGGTAATGCAACCCGCGAGGAAACGGCCCAGACGGACCTGCTCTGCATCTTACGAAAGTGAGTAGTTCAAATAACCCGCTCGCCCTAGTAGGAAATTTGAACATTTGAAACGAGAAAAAATTGCTGCAGCTCTACTATGCGGAAAAATATTTTTTTCAAATTATTGTGTTGTACCCATACAACACATTCATAGTTTTATTCACTGAATTTTTCTCGATATTTCTTTTATTTTGTGCTAATTGGATTTTTGTTTGTTTTTGGTGATTGACTACTTTTTATGGAAATTTTTGTGAGAACAAATTTCGTCAAAGATAATAAATAAATATTTTTCTTTTGGAAAAGTTATGCAAATAAGAAATTGGGACGAAAGTTGTTACGTTGTATTATCTAAAAGAGATGCGGCGGTTGTGATATGGGTACAAAGAGGAATATTGACCAGATTAACCTTAGTAAATGCGTCAGCGTTGTCCATCGTTACTTAAAGCGACTTCGAGTTTGTTCTTCCACAATAAAAGTCTTAAAAACAAAAACAACGCGCAGTAAACCAAATAAGATTGGCAATCGGCTGATAATGCCAAATCCTAAACGTAAAACATTTTTTTACCAATCAATTTTTAGGAAATACTAGGGGAACAATTCTTTTAGACCTAAATAAATGATATTATTGACGGAAAAAGTAGGTTTAAACTAACACGGTCATTTGATTTCTTCCTCAATTAGATTGTACAAATACCGCCGCTCACTACTTGCAATACGAATTGCCGGACGAGGTGTTGCTCACCATATTCAACTACCTGCTCGAGCAGGACCTGTGCCGTGTGAGTCAGGTGTGCAAGAGGTTCCAAGTGATCGCCAACGACACAGAGTTGTGGTAAGACGGCATCGGATTCAATTTACCCGGCCTCTTTTTAACCCTGTCCCGGTTTCGCTTCCAGGAAGCGCCTGTATCAGAACGTGTACGAGTATGATTTGCCGCTGTTCAATCCGGCGCCGTGCAGGTTCGAGTTTGTTAGCTCGGACGAGTCGGAATTGGCGAATCCGTGGAAGGAGTCGTTCCGGCAACTGTACCGGGGCATACACGTGCGCCCTGGCTATCAAGATTTGAGCTTTAAGGGCCGCAATTTGGTTTATTTCAACACCGTGCAGGTAAAGGTTTTTCCATTGTTGGAATAAATTAATTATTTTTGTCTGCTACAATAGTGCAGGAACAACAAGCACAACACTATTCAAGCCGAAAACCGTAAATTGGGCAACTATAAAATTAATAAAAACATTCCTAAAAAACAAATTCCCAAAGAGCACTAGAACGTCGTAGAATTGCATTTTCGCGTGAAAAGTTGTGGATATTGCTTTTTCCATTTTTAATGTCAGGGAATTACGATTTTTCAAATTGCTGATAACTCTGTTCTAGATATAATTGAGACATTTCAATTTTAAGTCATGGCACTGTGTTTGCATGTTCAAACTCGGGTATATTTCCTTTCCCTTATTTAATGTCAGGGATATCTGATATTCTGTAAATGTTGAGGACCCTAACCAAACTAACCAAAACTATCTATGACATAAATTGAACTGAGGTGGCTTTTACTTGATGAAAATCCATTTATCAAATAAGAACTAAAAGTTCAGATTTTCACGAAATTATATATTTTGACATGACAATTGTTTCGACAACACCGTGTCTTTATCAAATGTAATATTTACAAACTAGTTTGTAGTAGTTTATAAATATTACATTTGATAAAGACACGGTGTTGTCGAAACAATTGTCATGTCAAAATATATAATTTCGTGAAAATCTTAACTTTTAGTTCTTATTTATTTTGATCTATAACATACATAAAACTGCTACAAAGTTAGAACCAAATTGCAATTAGGAGCACAGGTAAGGTAAGGGCAATACATTGAACAATTGAAACTTATCATTTATAGGACTGGCCTAATGAAAATCTAGTGGTAAAAACATTGTCGCCTACCCCTATTGGAAAAGCAAAATTAACAGGATTTAAACGAAGTACAAAGTAGACCTGCAATATAAAAAAAAAAAAAAAAATTGTTTTCTATTTGGACGTTATCCGTTCCCGTCTTTTGGTTTTTCTTTAATAACTTTGTAACCGTTTGGGCTAGAAAATTGAGATTTTACTTCCTTTTTAACCATCCAGGAGATACATAAGCCCATAAGGAATGGCCTCAACTGACGCGGGCATTCATCTTTTTTTCGCCGAATCTTGACTGTTTTTTGGACATTGCTATGTGAAACACGATATGTTTTCCTCCATGACCATACCTCTCGATTGACAAAATTTTGGGACCGTGAGACACGGAAGATCCGGGGCTATAACATTCGTTTTGTGCATTTTTTCGATTACATACAGGGTGTTTTATTTAGGGAGAAAAATCTAAATTGTTCTTTTCGTGACTAATTTATTAATCGTTAAACAAAATTCGTAAAAAGTATGGCTAATCGGTTCACGTAGCTACAATTTCTGTATTTATGGTTCAAATATCAGTCACGCTGCTCGAGATATTTGAAAAAATCCTTATGAAAATCACTATCCTTATTCCTTGGGCTCAGTCTATACGCGATGACGTCATTTACTATGGAATACACCATTTCTCTATAGGAAACGTGGGAGATCCAGGGCTATAACCTTGTATTTTTTCAATTATATACAGGATGTGTCGATTATGGTCAAGAAATCAAGAAGACCCTGAAAATTGCCCTTTTCGTGTAAATTATTAACCGTAAATAAAAAACTATAAAACATGGAATAATTTGGCGTATCGTAAATTATGTGGGGAGAGAGTTTCAGGTTTCGTCTATCATACAGGGTGGGCGAAATATTTAAAAAAAAAACATCTTTGGAAATCTCTATTATTTTTAAAAATTTTTGTATTTATCAAAGTTTGCCGCGACTTTGACGTTCGGCGAGACGTGAAAGTCATTTTATACGGGGTACATGCACATTAGAATTACATCGATTTTGCGAAAGTTCCATAGTGGTCAACAGTCACCGTCACATAAACATAGTACTTAATTTTCTTTGTCAATTCGTGAGACATAATGTATTGTATTTTTTTATAGCCCCGTCACTACGCTACCTACCTACATGGTGTTAAGTGAAATATTTGTCTCGTAATTGTTGTTCAGATTCGATCCAACGTTTCTCTCGTCTCCGTTCCAGGGCGCCCTAGACTACGCTGACGAGCGAAGCGGCAGCGGCGGCACTTCCACTGGCCTGGTCGGTGGGGGCGGGGGCAGCGTGTGCGGGAGCCACCCGCCCGACGGAGGCGGTCAGGGGGCGTTGATTTTCCTGCACGCCGGGACGTACCGTGGCGAGTTCCTCGTTATCGACTCAGACATCGCGCTGATCGGCGCCGCGGCCGGCAACGTTGCCGAATCGGTCATACTGGAGCGGGAATCCGAGTCGACGGTCATGTTTGTCGAGGGCGCGAAAAACGCCTACGCGGGCCATTTGACTTTGAAGTTTTCGCCGGAACCTGCATCGGCCACGCCCCACCACAAACACTACTGCCTCGAGGTCGGGGAGAATTGTAGCCCCACCATCGACCACTGTATTATCAGGAGCACGTCGGTTGGTGAGTCGCCCTCAAACCCAAGAATTAATTTTTTTTATGAAACTGGAAGTATTGCGCATTTGGTGGCTTCTGACTTTTACAAGATGTGACCCTTTTAAAGATGTGGGTGTAACATTTGACGCCAAAAAGATGATTTAGAAAGCAGATTGATCAAGCTTGTGGGTTACAAACTGAGAAATTTTTGACATTTTGTAAGCAACCAATATTTAACAAGAACATCACTCAGATTGAAAACAGAAACTTTCTAAAAAAATTTTTGCTTTTATCTAAATGGTTTCCATGAGGTTACGGAACTGCCACAGATTGATCTATTACAAATGATTAACATCCTCTCACTGTTAAATTATAGTAGGTACTTTCCATTCCAGGTTTTGCATAAATTATGTGGCCCTTTCATATTTGTCAGATATTTCAATATATTCAGGGTCCGGCAAAGTCATCGAACTGCCTTTCCATGTTAAGTCGGGGATGTTTGCTTTTTCATATGTAATGCCAAGGATATCTCATTTTTCAGATAATTCAATTTTCAAATGGAGAAATTATTTCTGCGAATTGCCATCAAAACAAAACTGAAACTCCATTTTTCGTAAATGATTTTGAAGTTCTCAGATAATTGTTAACTTCCTTAATCAGCGCCTTTTCATATTATATTTTGTTGCATTAAAACAAAAATGTATTGTTCGCCGATTCGGAGATATGGTCACACTTTCTTCAAAAATTCAAATCTTGGACCAGTATTTCCTTAATTTTTGGGCTATAACTGTATATTATCTTCAATGCCCCTTGAAACATTTTTTTTAACTTTTTTTATTTATAACAAAACTAAGCTTACTGCCATCTATTAAAATTTTAAAGGTTTTTTCATCAACAATGACGTGGGTTTAAGTCAACCTTATGATTTTTAAAAATTCACCTTAACTCATTCACCTCATCCCTTGTTTTTTTCGGCCTCTAAGAAATTGTCATTGTCAAAACGATGATAAATTTGTGTATCGTGGGCAAACATTTGGATTTTACACAAGAAATAGCGGTCGGCCTAAAATGGACTGCGTGGTAGCCTCGATACATTAGGTAGGTTCGACATTTTTTTTATTTTAACTGAAAGTGATAGATTTTGTGCTTAAAAAACAAGAAAATATCCATATTTACGTAGGCTGTAAACATTTAAAAATCAATGGTCTGCGCGATGCTAGAAAACGCGCGACGTTAGTAGCCTGACACAGCAGACGACTGGCTTACCGGGCTGGCTTTACGATACACATAACACTCGGTCTTGGGTTTAGAGTATTTAGTTTAAACGGGTACGGATGTATTGTTAAATTTTGTGAACTTTATCGGAATTAAAAATGCCAAACAGAACGTGGTGTTTTGTTTTAAAACACGTCCAGTACAACACCAAAATAAATTTCTGTGAGTGTTCCATAAGCTCCTCTACAACGTAAAAAGTGGTTTGACGGAGATGATATTGAAAACCATCTAGAATATTAGTTGAGTACCATTTGAGCCCAGAGGAAACTTGAGGTTGTACCACATAAGTTTACATGTCATCCGGACAGAAATATAATCTTTACAAAACAGCTCAGTGCTCATCTTGGAAAGTACAAGACGGGAAGATATGGCGGCATATTTTGCAGCCAGTGCCCATTGCGAGGCACTCAACCGAAAAGTTTCCCTGAATTAAAATATGTGTCTTCCAAGTGGACTAATACGTTGCTTCGTACATTTCTGTTGGCCCGTATTTAAAATATATTAGAATATAATATACAAGCATATTAATTTTCGTTAAAATATTGGAAGCAAAGCACATTTTCGGAATGAGTGGGACATTCTTCAGTTTTATTGCGTGATCGCTTAGCCAATGAAAGAGGGAACTTTAATTCGGAAAAAATATATATTTTTTGTAGATTGTGGAAGCAAATAAAACATGCTTTTGAATATGCCTGAGCATTTTTTTTCTTTACAATTACTGCATGCAAATCAGAATATTCAATGCAGAAAAAAACAGATAATAGCTTTCATAATTGTTACGATCCGGAATATGTACCATGTTTTAATATCGTAAACTTCTAGTGAACTAAAAAATTGAATTTTACCCATTAGTGCTAAACAAAAAACATGTAGAATAGCTTTATTATCTACTTACCAAACTTATTTACCGTTAAAGAACGCCACTGCTCTGAGGTTCGTTTAAATTTTCATTATTTGCCAAAAACTCGTACACCATTTGCACATTGACATGGGGTAAATTTCGCGAATCAGCCCTTTGAAGCATTGCGTTACCACAAATTAATAAAATACACAAACGTTTACGAGAATTCGCCCGGCACAACGTGGCGTCGGTCGTATCTGGCTACTGACGTTAGGCGGCCTAGCCTGGCGCAAAGGATTCGTTTTCTTGCTTGCGCCTACCCTTGATTTTAAAATGTGAAATGTCTACCAGTGGGCGTAAATATGACCTACTCTAGATTTTAGTTAAAATAATAGTCGTACGAAAAATGTCTAACCGATCTATTAGCGCTACCTGTTAGATATAAGAAATTCACACATTTAACACATACACATAACATTTGATACATTTTTCACATCACGAATTGAATTTGTTTATTCACGAACACGGGATTGGAATTAAAAATTCGAACTGCGCATCCGCATAGTCCAGAATCGGTTCTGAATCCTTGCCGCGTACGAAGCCAATAAGAGAGTAAAATTTGTGACGGCTAAAGAATTTCACAGTGGGGGCGGCTGTTTGCGTCAGCGGCGTCGGCGCGAACCCCGTGATCCGGCACTGCGATATAAGCGACTGCGAGAACGTCGGCCTCTACGTCACCGATTACGCGCAGGGCACCTACGAAGACAACGAAATCAGCCGCAACGCGTTGGCCGGCATCTGGGTGAAGAATTACGCGAACCCGATCATGCGTCGAAACCACATTCACCACGGCCGCGACGTCGGCATCTTCACCTTCGACAACGGCCTCGGCTACTTCGAGGCGAACGATATCCATAACAACCGGATCGCCGGGTTCGAGGTGAAGGCGGGCGCGAACCCCACCGTCGTCCATTGCGAGATACACCACGGCCAGACCGGCGGAATTTACGTCCACGAGAACGGCCTCGGCCAATTCATCGATAACAAGATCCATTCGAACAACTTTGCGGGCGTGTGGATCACCTCCAACAGTAACCCTACCATTAGACGGAACGAGATCTACAATGGACACCAAGGCGGCGTGTATATCTTCGGCGAGGGGCGGGGCCTCATCGAGCACAACAACATCTACGGCAACGCGCTGGCCGGCATCCAGATCCGCACCAACAGCGACCCGATCGTCAGGCACAACAAGATCCACCACGGGCAGCACGGCGGCATCTACGTCCACGAGAAGGGCCAGGGCCTGATTGAAGAGAACGAGGTGTACGCAAACACCCTGGCCGGCGTGTGGATAACGACGGGTAGCACGCCTGTGCTGCGTCGCAACCGCATCCACTCGGGCAAGCAGGTGGGCGTCTACTTTTACGACAACGGCCACGGCAAGCTCGAAGACAACGACATCTTCAACCATCTGTATTCGGGCGTGCAGATCCGGACCGGCAGCAATCCGGTGATTAGGGGCAACAAGATATGGGGCGGTCAGAACGGTGGCGTGCTCGTTTACAACGGCGGCCTCGGCCTCCTCGAGCAGAACGAGATATTCGACAACGCGATGGCCGGCGTCTGGATCAAAACGGACTCAAATCCGACGCTCAAGAGGAACAAGATTTTCGACGGACGCGACGGCGGCATCTGCATCTTCAACGGCGGCAAGGTACTTTTTTTTTTACTCTTTTATTGCATACTTGAAATCAGTACAAAATACTGGCACCTAATGTTGGGATTGCTCAATTGACCAGTCAGTTGACCACATCTTAATTGACCGGTCAATTAACCCGTTTTTATTGACTAGTCAAATTCGAATGTTTCAAATTATTTATTTATCGTATGGCTCTACAAGTGCTATATAATAGGTTACAAACAAAATTTTTATGAAAGGTAGGTATAAATGACAATTAATGCAAGTAATGTAAAACACAGTAATACACATTAAATATGACACAGACAGTACATATAACAGCTAGCGGTATGGGAAAATTAAATCTACAGGTCCAAATCCAGTTCAGATAACCATGCAATGGCAGCGGGGCTTGCATCAGTAAAGTCTTTCCATTGTCCAGTAAATCTTCTCAGTGGGCAGTCTTGGACTATATGTGTTAATGTTTGCTCTTCAGCTCCACAGTCACATGCTGGATTGTCGGCAATTCCCCATTTGTGCATCGCTGATCTCGTTTTTGCATGTCCAGTTCTAACTCTATTTAATAGGGACCATGTTTTACGAGGTAGTTGCATCCCTGGGAGCTGTTTATTAGGATCTTCTATGTTGTGTTGATTGACATTGCTGTTATTCCATACGGATGTCCATGATTCAGAAGCGTCGTAGGTTTTTCCTGGAGCAAGTGCTTCCAAGTTCCATATTGGGGCCCTTGATTTCAGTCGATTCACACAGGGTTCATCGATTACCTTGTGAATAGGCCACGTTCTTGGCTGGTCTGGGTGATTTATCTTTTGCCATTCTTGGAATGTAGCCTGTTGTCTTCGGATTCCTGGGGGAGCGATATTTGATAGTACGTGGAGCCATGGTAAAGGAGTCGACTTCAGTGTCCCTGTTACTACTCTCATGGCTTCACTGAGTTGGGTGTCAATCTTATTTACATGAGAGCTTCTGCCCCATACAGGAGCGCAATACTCCGCTACAGAGTACACAAGTGATTGTGTTGCAGTGCATAAGGTAGCTGCATTTGCTCCCCATATGGTGCCTGCCAATTTACGTATGATGTTGTTTCGGGTTTTAAGTTTCTGGCATGTCAATTCAAGGTGCTTTTTAAAGGTGAGAGACCTATCGAGGACTACGCCTAGATATTTGGGGTGTTTGTTGTGTTTGACTGGTTCTCCACAAAACGTGACATTTAGTTCTCTGTGCGCCATCCTGTTATTTAAGTGAAAATGTTGTCGACGCCAGCTGCTTTCCTTAATTTAAGGCTTTTTATAGCAGTGTTCACCTCGTCGTTAGTAAAAGGGGTTGAAAACTGTGCGTCTTCTTGTAATGTATTCCTCTTCTGATCTAGTTCGTTTTGTACTGATGTCATGTCCTCTTTGCTTATGGTTACGCACTCGGCTCTTTCTTTGATGTGTATCGCGATCTCATTTGGCGATACTGCTGGTTTGGGGATTGGTATGTGGGTTGCAGCCCCCAGTCGTCTCAATAGGGACCAGCTTTTTCGACTTGAGTGGGTAAAATTCAGGTTTTCTGTAGTTTCTTCCCATCTTTTCCTTCTTTGTTGATTTAGAGATTCCAGCAGTCTACTCCCCACTTGAGGATTATTTGTTTCCCTGTACTCTTGATATAAGTTTTCTGTATCAGAATTCCAGCATGGTATGTAGTGTTTTCTCTCTTGGCCGACGCAATCATGAGGCCAACAAACCTGGTGTAGTTTCCGACTTTAGGTTGAACAAACCGTATATTTGATTCCATTTCTCTTTTGTATGTAGGCCAGTCCGCTTTCCTGAAGTTCCATCTTGGCTTTTGGACTGATTCTATCAGTGGGACCTGTATACCAATGGTTACAGTGACTGGACGGTGTTGAGTACGAGGGAAACTAGGAAGCACCCTCCTCATATGTGGCAAGGGGGTTCGTTCCTCATCAGTGGAGACAATACATAAGTCAGGGTTGGTATCTGTCTGCCATCGTGCTGAGCGGAAGGTTTTCAGGTCTTTAGCGTCATAAATGAGATATAGATCTTGTTCTTCAATCCATTGCATCAAGGTTTCTCCATTGTCGTCATTAGTATTGTATCCCCAGCTGGTGTGGTGGCTATTGAAATCCCCGAGAAAAATTGTTGGGGTGTTTTCATTTAGGAGTGGAGGATTTGACCATCTTATGTGAGGTGGTTTATATATTGAGACTATACGTATTTGGGGAAGTTCGATTGTTATTGTTTCTATGTCATTTGCATTGGCCTTCTTTCCCACAGTAAAGTTGTCAAGGTCACTGCGCAGGTACATGATAGATCCGTACGTTTCCGAAAGGATTGCTTCCACTGCTTTGTAACCGGGGACCTTAGCTCTAGTTGAAATTTCGGTTTCATTTGCTAGATGTGTTTCCTGCAGTGCAATAACATCAATTTGGCTTTCCCTGGCCACTCTGCCAAGGTGCTCGCATTTGTCACGGCTTATACCCTCTATGTTCAACTGCAAAATTCGGACTGAGGGTCCGATATTTATTGTCTTCTTACTCTGAGAAGAGCGTTTTTCTCGTTTTGGTTGCACTTGTTCGTGTTGGCCGTGAGAGACTCGTTGTCTAGTTCGGCCGCCATTGTAAACTTTTTGCCGCTCTGCTGGCGCAGTGCGTTGCCCAGGGTACACCATCTTGGAGGTTGTTTACACGTCGTACCCCAAAAATGTTTCAAATAACAATTGTAGAGTGTTGTCTATTATTATTTATTAATATGTATTTTATAATAAATTATGCGTTTATGATGTCAGTTGACTGGCCAATTGCGCAAAGCCTTATAAAATTAAAACAAAAATACAGAATATGATTCAAATAGGTATATATTGGCAATAAATATCTATATTAAGTTAATAAATAGAACTTCCCTAAGCAACGTCAACTTTTTAGGCTTATTTTAAATAGTTGCATGTTTGACGTTCTAAAAGCGCGTTATGATGATATTAAAAAATTTGAACGAGTGCAACATATATCTCTGAAATGTCATGCCAGGTATAAGAAATTAGCTTACCACTCGCAAGTTTTATATGTGCACGAATTGTCTTCTTTCGCACTAAAGATCGTTATAATGCTAACTTTTTGCGGCACCCTAACTAAGTAATTCCACCTTTGAAATGACAATTTTCGATTATTTTATTTAAGGATTCTGAATTCCTTTTTTGTCGTAAAAAGGATAAAAATTCTTAATGGTGTCAATTTCGTCGGGATGTTGCCCCACCCACCATTAAAAGTTTCCAAATATATTACTTATGGATTGTTGCGTTGCCGCTCGCCGTTTTTTTTTTTATTCGCCTGTTGAATATTAAATATTTAGCTTATGGAATAGGTTTAACTAGAGTCAGGGCTGCTTAATTGACTAGTCGATCAATTTTTTTTTAAATAATTTCTTGCTTCTACAATTGCTAACAATAGTTATCTGTCATATTTAATTTATTTATGACCCTCTCACTTTGCAATTCGAGGAATCCCAATAAAAATATCCTCTGCATTTAGTTGTCAGAACGAGGCTACGACGACCTAACGCGCAATATAAATAAATATAAATTAATTGTATTATCAAAATTATTTCCTTCAATAGACACAAAAAACTTTTAGCGATCAATTCCACAACCCTAGAATTAACTTTTGATCCTACATTTTTCGTAAAAGAAAAAAATTGCCCGCTGCTTTGTATTTCTTTAAATTACTGGTAAATACTAATTTCAAACGGATATTGGCACCATCGCCGTTAAAGGTTGCACTTTCCAAACGTTTTTCTTACGAATTCGGTAGGTTCCTTTCTGTATGTAAAAAAAATGGTCACGTCTCATGAACTAAATTTTTTTATTGTAGTATTTCATTTTTTCATGAATCTCCAGGGTAGATTTCGCCGTATGATCGGTGCCCACAAGTAATGAAACAAACAACAAACAGATATTGACACCCAAATTTTGATCTCGCTAAAAGGATCAGCATATAAATATAAAAATTAAAGAATTGAAGTTTGATGGGGGTTGTGGAAATTCTTATGAAGGTAATATATCTGACTACAATATAAACAAGACATTTTCAAAAAAATGCAAATTCTTCTATAGAATAAAAACTGTTGCAAAAGACATTTTTTTTAGTAGTTTAATAAGTTACCTGTAATTTGATTTGAATTATGTTTCAAATTGCCATTACCTCAGATAAGGTAAGGTGGTGGGGGAAGGTGAACAGTCGTCTGGAAACAATCTTAGTTTTTTGTAAAATTTAGTTCTTATTTATAAATCTTACCAACGTAAGCTTAACGAAAACTGTGTAGCTATTCATGAAAAAGAGAAAAATTTTACTCCGCAAGGTGATTTTTAAGTTTTTATTCCCTAAAAACTTCTTTCGGCGAATAGAAATAAAACTGAATATTTTTCGTCTCTTCTTTTCTCAATTATCCAACCTCTTATTATTATCAATCTCAATATTTGCCGGTACGGAAGTTGCTTAAGGTCCATTAATTTGAGACAATTGAAGACAAAACAATCAGTAAAGATGATATTTTTTTGAATTCTTGCCGGAGGGAGTAACGCCGTTTTTCTAGTTAGAATTACGGTTTTCGCAGGGCATTCTCGAGGAAAACGACATATTTCGTAACGCACAGGCGGGCGTGCTCATCTCGACTCAGAGCCATCCGATCCTCCGACGAAATCGGATATTCGACGGTTTGGCTGCGGGCGTCGAGATCACGAATAACGCGACCGCCACGCTCGAGTTCAACCAGATTTTCAACAATCGTTTCGGCGGGCTATGCCTGGCCAGCGGCGTGCAGCCGATCGTGCGCGGCAACAAGGTTAGTTTTTTAATTTGGTTTTCTACACGACCAGCATTACTTCTTTCACGCCCTCCGTTTAGATATTCAGCAACCAAGACGCGGTCGAGAAGGCGGTCGCGAACGGCCAGTGCCTCTACAAGATTTCGTCGTATACGTCGTTCCCAATGCACGACTTCTACCGATGCCAGACGTGCAATACTACCGATCGCAACGCCATCTGCGTCAACTGCATCAAGACGTGCCACGCGGGTCACGATGTCGAATTCATCCGGCACGACAGGTAAAGGGGGGGTTTGGCTGATAGATATTATTGGTGCTGATACCCTGCTGCAGCGTTTATGCAGTTCAGCAACATGTACAGGGTAGTTCACAACTGCCGGATTCTTTTATAACATCATAAAGCCCCTTTCTGACCACAAGTTAGTATCTAGATGTCGTCTAGGTGAAAATACAATCTTTAAAATAAGTCAGATTTTCCTATGCACGTCACTATCTGCGCCAAATTTGATTAGTGAGTGAAATATTCGAAAAATGTACTACAGTACATTACCCTTATATAGATAAGTTTGTTTGATCAATTAATTTTAATTTTCTCTACATTTTCCTGTTTTCACCACAAAGTGATGTTACATGGTGGTCCGCTATTATTATTATTTATTTACAAAAGTAGATATTACAAAACAATATTTTTAGGACTTAAGTAATACTTGTCCATGGCTTTCTGCAATTAAACAATCACCCTAGTTCTGCTAAGACTGTAGTCTCGTGTGGGTGGGCTCTCACATAAATTTGCACAAAATGTAGGACCTCTAAACTAAAATAGCCATCAATAAACAGAAAATGATCATCAATATTATACTCAGTAACATAATTATTATCTTGTACGCAGCTAAAATATGGTGATTGATGCCAATATAAACCCTCTGCTCTATATCTGATATAAAAAATAGATATACACATAAAGTCTTGGCCTACTATACATGAAGTGGGGACCCACTACGCCCAAAGCGGTGGACACAGATACTGACTGCGCAGGTGAGAGAGGTATTGATTTTTGGCGAATTTAAATATATATATATATATATATATATATATATATATATATATATATATATATATATACCATTATGCACATTATGAGTATCTCATACCACTGCACAGATCATCTAAAATTTACCAACCAATTTCCTCATTTTCAACTCTTGCGAAATCTTTAAATTCCTCTTGAACACTTGAAACCTTACAAAAAAAAAACAAAACTAATGGAAATTAAACACTACAAAACAACGGACATTGTCTAGACAGGGTTTGTTGCATGGACTAGAAACATTTTGCAACATTATTGTTGCATTTCTATAAATTTGTTGCAGAGACACTGTCTTTATTTACAGATTTTTTTTCTCGCGCATTGTTACAAATTCTTGACTAGATACAAAGATGGGAAAGACAAGTTTCACTTTCACAAAATCTGCTCTATAGCATTTAGCCCAAGCCATTTTACATTTATTAAACTTAAATTACATTCTTTAATAAAAAAACCTCAATTATTTCAAAGAATTTGCACATTATTCATGCGAGAAAGCTTATTGCTCCACTTTTTTTTGAAAAGGAGCCTCACTTCAAGGCAATAAAAGCCGACACGAAGTGTAAATGGCGGTGATAAATTTAAAAAAGGACTGGTGTCACATATTTAAAACTCAAATGCTTTTATTAGTTGTAATGTCGATTACAATGGAATAAAGGAAAATAAATTAAAGTCGGTAGTTCTGGATGACAGGCGGGTACGTTTAAAGACAGCAGTCTAAGGTCCAGAGTGATAAAAGCTATGATGTGCTACTACTAACGTTGGCAGAGAAACGCGAAACTATTTTCTCCGTTTTTTAAGGTTTTTTTGCGATTGCGGTGCGGGAACGCTGACCAACCAATGTCAGCTGCAGGGCGAACCCACCCAGGACACGGACACGCTGTACGATTCGGCGGCGCCGATGGAGTCGCATACGCTGATGGTGAACTAGGTGCGGGTGGCGCTACGCCGCTTCCAGGTGTTCCTGTTTTTCGGACTCTCGGTCGGATGACGCCTCGGACCGAGGCGACCATCCGCCGCCGATTTATTTATACGAAAGGATTTATTATTTAAATACACGTGCGTATATAGTGCGCGCGCGAGGTGGGGGGACATCGTCCCCTCCTCCTCCATGAATCTCGTCGGAACGCGCAGAATAGGTTCGTTAGTTTCGGCTTTTTTTTTTTAAATTATTGTCACTGTTTAAGTTTATACACGCAAGTATCCTTTGAGAGCGAGTTGTTTGTTGTGCTATTATTATTATTATTATTATGATTATTATTATTATTATTATCGTGCGTCGGACGAAGAATGGAAAAGGACCAGAAAGACGTTTCTCCGATGTAAGTGCGAATTAATTTTATTTATTGTGTTAAAGTGCGCGTGCGCCGCCTATTGAAGATTGTGGAGGGCTACGAGGAGATACGTCGGTAAGCTCGCGTTTTGAGAAGGAACCTACTATTCACATTAACTCGGAGTAAATTGATTATTTATTTTTAACAGTTATTGAGGACGACGATTATAAAATCCCTGCCCTCGAGCGGTAGCCTTAAAACGCTTAACTGTAAGCTTGTTCATCTCAACAATGCGATTAATCTCCTTATAGATCGTTGTTGCGTGCAGTGTGGCACCGCGATATCATTTTTATTCGACCAGTGGCGGTTCGTCGCCGATGGTAGTGAGTCACCAAATTAATAAAATCTTTAAACGAAATTTATCAAAAACTTCAAACTAACTACAGTCCGTGTCTTTATCTACAGAAAACACTTATTACTTTTTTTCTGTTATCACTCAGCTCCACCTACTGTGTGGCAGCAGTAGTAAAGGAGTCTCCCCGAACAATAAAGCCACGAGCCGCTTCTGGTTTCGGCAGATGATCAGTATTTTCCCATTCGCCAACGTGCGTGACTGTGTGTGTGCCGTGTCCGTGATGTTTTCGTTTGTTGTGTAAATATATTGTTGGACGTGAAATTTTGACTTTTACACTTTGCACCCGCCTCCCACAGGGGCGGGGCGGTCCTCGTCGATGCCATGATTCCTTTGTTGTCAAGCATAGTGATCAATGTAAAGGAGTTTGGGGAGTGTATCATTGATTGGTCCTCAATTTTTAAAAGGTGTATATAATTTCTTGCCCCCTCCCCCTATAATTTGTTAATTTGTTATCGCGCGAGGATGAGAATCAAGTTTGAGAGTTGCCCCGCGAACCAGGGGCGCCCGGATAAGTTTGTTGTTTTGATACTACTGAAGGTTGCGTGTATAATATCCTGTAAAATATTGTCTTTTTCTAATAATAACCCCCCGCCCCAATTAATAACGAAGAATATAATTAAATATACTTAAGAGTTTAAGTGGTTAGGCTTAAGAGAACCTTTTATGTCGGGCTTTAAATGATAAACAAGAAAAAAAATTAAACAAATAGGATCTACTGACGAGACAGTGATCGTTCAAAGTAGATAGCTAGGCACGTATTGTACTGTGTACATTATTATATACAAACAAAAAAATATATATATGGTGAAAAATTTTGGGACTTCATTTTTTTTGCGTGCCCTCCCTGTTGTATTAGTAAAAAATGCAGCATTGTATGTCAGGTAACAAGCCAACAAAGGTAAGTTCACTTTTCATTTTTTTTTTATTTTAATCTGGCTTCCGTCATCTCATATCATTCATTCTTTTGTTTAAATATTGCTCTGATTGATTTCACACGGCTTGCAAATAATTACAGGCGGAAACTCTTTTGTTTTCATTTTCAAAAGCAAACAATTTTATTAATGAGATCAATTTTTTGCACATTTGTTTTTTTGTCTTGACCACGTTTACAAAACAAAAAAGTTAAAATTAGTGAAAATTTCAAAAGTGTCAAAACACTAAATGCACAAATTCCTTGAAAAAATACCTCGATGTGTCAAGTTGAAATTTTCAAAAAATACTACTTCTACCCTGTATAAGAGGCTTCAGCAAAAACGCACGGATAGTACAACTAATTCGAGATATCCAGATAAAAATAGGAAATAAGTTTCCCGTTTGCATTCCGCTTTATTAAATGGTTTCGAAAATTGCTGACTTCGTTGCAGGACGATCTTTATAACGCCATTATTGGTATTAAAATAAAATAAAGCTCCGAATATCATCTATTAAATGCCGTTTATTTTGTCGATAATTTCGTCGAAGTCTTCTATATAAAAGGAGGGGATTTCAATTTTGGTTTCTTCGGGATTCGGCATATCATACAGAGCCGCCGGTTTTGGTTCCACAGCGAAGAAATGATGGTTCAGACACTGTTTTGCTTGGAGCCGGTTGTTATCGTTATAACAAATTAAATTCTTAATGAGCTCCAGAGTCGGTTCGTCCGCTTTGGGTATCATAATCCTCCAGCTTCTGGCATTGCTCTCCCGAAACCTAATTTTGTTATAGTCGGGTAAGTCCTTCACGCCAGGCCAGTTGCGTTCGTTCGGGGTACCCAAAGCGTTCAGCACGATCGCCAACTGCTCTATATCCGATTCCCCCTAAACTATTACCTTCGTAATATTGTTCGGTCGGGCCAGTTCTACTTACAGGAAATAGGGGGGCGCGGTTGATCATCTCTGCCAAAATGCATCCCACCGACCATAAATCCACGGAATTGGTGTACGTCCTGGAACCGTACAACAGTTCTGGAGCCCGGTACCACCTCGTAGCGACTTGGTGGGAGTACAGCCGTCGCTTATCTTTATCGTAAATCCTGGCAAGTCCAAAGTCGGCTATTTTCAACACTCTGCATGGGCTTATCAGCAAATTTCCCGGTTTTATATCCTAAAAACCAGGTCGTTGACAGTAAGCGAACTCCGTCTGGGAACACCATGTTTAAAAAGTAAGGTGACTTTTAAGTTTTATCAAAAATTATTTATTTATTTATCAAAATTAATGTGGTCCCCTTCAAATATATATATATATATATATATATATATATATATATATATATATATATATATATATATATATATATATATATATATATATATATATATATATATATATATATATATATATATTCCGGGATATCATCCGTTCGCTTGTTGAACTCCGACTGGAATCCCGCAAACGCTTCGCCAAAATCTCAGCGTCGTCGTCGATATATGTGCCAACGTTTTTTTCGAATACTCGAAGCACTTTCTGGTATAGCCCTGAGTCCTTCCAGAGATTTTATTTTATCTCCTAAATCGTTCCAAACCTACTTCTTTTCATGAGTTTTTTGAGTTTTGGAAACAGAAAAAGAGAATATGGTGGCTGAGTTATAATTATGGTTTTGTTTTTGGCCAAAAAATTGGACACAAGCAACGGTGAGTGAGCAGTTGCATTAACGTGATGCAAAATCCATGAATTGTTTTCCCACATTCGGACGTTTTTTTCATATTGATTCTCGCAAACGGCGCATAATTTCAAGGTAATAATCTTTACTAACTGTACCACCTTGTGGTAAGAACTCTGGATGTACTAAGCCACGATAATCAAAGAAAACAGTAAGCAAAACATTGACATTTGATTGAACTTGTACTTTTTTCGATCTTGGGGACTCTATGTTCTTCCATTTGGGCGACTAAGCTTTGGTTTCGATGTCATAACCCATAACCCATGATTCATCCCCAATTATGACCTTTTTGAGCATATCAGGGTCATCATTGTCGTCGTTTAACATCTCATGAGCGATGCTCCTTCGACGGTCCTTTTCAAAATTAAGCAGTTCCGAAACAATTTTGGCTACTACGCGATTCAAGATCAAAACTTCGGAAAAAATTGCATAGCACTAGCCCATAGTGATAGTGATTCGACGATTTTTCAACGCTTGCATCAGTTATTGACGTGCTGTTGTGAACATTTCAAGTGTTTTGTAGCACTATATTCCATTTTTTACACAAAATTTTATGCAACTTCTTTGTTCCATGTTTTTTTAACAGTAGAAAATCGCCCAGCACACAAAATATGGGTAACGTTTCGGTCTCAAAAAAATCGAAGATCGAATGTACGTAGCCCGACCAATTGCAAAAATCACATTACTTTTTCAACAAACCTCGTACACCGCGAAAACTGACCAATCAGATTAGGTGTTCTGTTTCGGTTAGTTTTGGTTTGCTGCGTATGTGCGAATGGACAATAACAATAACCCAGGAAACAGAATATCAAATTTGATTGGGCAGTTTTGGCTCTGGCTAGATCAGTGGTTCCCAGACTTTTTTCTAATTGACGTCTTTCAAAATTTGCTAGTTCCGTTGGGGCCGGCTGTTACATTTCTACCATATTCCCAAAAATCGACAAAGAATATCAACGCCTAGGGAACTAGGAGGCTAGATCAAGGATCATAATGTTTGAGGCAAATCTTATTTAAAGCGAGACGGGTAGTAATAAGGATTGTTTTCTTTGTTAGATGCGTTAATACGAAGTGCACAAGACTGTATAATAAGAGATTGTTGATATTATTTCTCAATTTTTCAACCCGTTGAGGATAAATCGTTTGGGTTCAGTTATTTTGTGAATTTCAATCGGTTATCCTTGTTTGAACAAAGTGGTTATGATATATTTTGACTATTTTTGATGGTGACAATCTTGTGTATGGAGTAATAATTTAATTCTGGTTCTTAAATAGTAAATTGTTGTTGTGCATATGCTTGCTCTAATGTATACATAACCGGCAAAATAAAGTTAATTAATAAATAATAACTTCATATCGTTATTTTATAAATAAAGCATTGTAATTGTAATTTTTTTCATTGTTATACCTTCGCTTTGGTTTTTTTTCTACGCCCTACAATAAAATACCAACTTTTTGTAAAAAGTGTCACTTTAAAACGCCAACTTATCATAAAACGAAGGTATCCTGACACTGAAGTTGGAATCAGAACATTGACTGGTGTATTTTCCGACATAGACCATAAATCGTTTTTTTGAGATTGCAGCGCCATCTATCAAGATTATCGAGAATCAAAATGAAACCTTTGGACAAAGTATGAGGTCTTTGGGGCTTAGCGCCCGAATCTGTAATAAAAAGTGGAGGTTTCCATTTAGGATGTCAAAGTTGCCCTACTCCTGCAGTCATGATAGGTGTTATTGAAATTTTTTTTTAGTTAAATTTAAAAGCATATTCTGTTTTTGATCAATTATGTAATTCACACCTTTAGGCACCTGGTATACATACTTCTGAAAGAATACATACTATTTTCTGACCATTATACATATATTTTAAATGTCAGTTTTTTGAATTTCTAAGTTTATAAATTTTGCCCTTTTTTAAAAGGTTTTTTGGGAACTAAGAATATATCGGCAAAGTAATGAAACAACCAGAACTCCCCACTTATACAAATGAGCAAGAGAAAGACAACAATCCCCACTACTAAGCCTCCTCTTTCTAGTATAAAATTTGCGACACTTTCCTATCACTCCGCTGCCATTTCAGTTCAGATCAAGTTTATTGTCGATGATGGCAAAAATAGTACCCTGTGCATGATTTTTCTGGAATGCATGTAGCCTACACCTTTGAGCAACATTTTCGCGTAAGTTTTCACTTGAGCCAAGCTCAAGTCGACTTTGGAATTTTTAATAACGTCGGCCAAACTACAAGGCAAATACTCCATGATTAAAACCACCGCGCTTCCCATGCAAGTGATATCGAGTAAGTGAACGATCTGCAAATTGCATAGGATTCAAATCAAGACCGTTTCACATATCAAACCACTCACGTATTTAGACTTCAGCGCCCGCAACGCTAAGATTTCCCTCATCGTATTTTTCGGTATCGGAGCATCTGGATTGACCGGGATCTTTTTCATCGCCACCGTCCTCTTATCCCGCAAGTCGACACCTTTGAACACAAATCCGTGGGCCCCCTCGCCCGCCCGTCCCGTTATTTTGTAGCTTTCCATGCTTTAATTTTAAGTTCCCTTGAAATACTAAAGCGTTTGTAATGCTCGGTTTCCTTGACAACCGGACTGACGGTGGCATTCCACTATTTTTTTATTCCATAAATTGACAATTGGAACTATTTGGGGCTTAATTGATTGATTGCACGATAGATTTCTGTTGTATGTGGCCATTCATTAATAATTGTTTTTTTATATTGTTATTTTATTTAGATTGTAACAAAATGATTCACTTGAGAAGCACAATTTGTTTTTAAATGTTGAACACATTTGTTCATTAGAAGAAATTGCAATAATTAACATTAACAAATATTAACATTTTTGTAATAGGGGCAACCTTCCAGCGCAAAAACCGCGATATAATTAAATACCTATCCATTGACATCAAAATAATAATTTATTTAACTTTAGTTGGCTCGAAAAATAATGATTTTATCGTTATAAAGAGAAGGTATGTACATTAATAGTAAATGGTAGCCAGAAACGACTATTTAGCACAATCTAGAAGGGTTACCTACACAAGTATGACAAAGATACGTCAAATATTTAGTACTATACAGAGTACTGAGCCAAACTAATTGTTAAATTTTTAAATAAAACACCCGGTAAATCAATGAAGAGCCACATTTTATCTAAGATATATGAGTTAAATCTTAATATTTTGAGCTCAGGATGCTACAGTTCATTCATTTCCCATTATTAATGGATTATGCTCCATATGTTTCCCCATGAAGTTACTGTCAATTGTCATTCAACAATCAACATGGTGACTTTTTCAGCTACTATTTTGTTAAAATATACCCAGACGCCATTAAATTTTCCTGGAAAAAACGCATTACCTGTTTAAGGGTGGCTTCCCACGGCCCGTGTTTTTGCAGGCCCAGACGCGCCTTATCAAGACAGTCGCTTGAGGTGGCGCGACGGATCCGCAGCGAGTCGGTAAATTCAAAGACGCGAACCGGCGCGGCGCGTTCATGCCTGTGCAGACGTGGGGTAGACAGACATCTTCATTGTTTTTGCAGCTCTACAACAAGTTGTTTTGGTGTTTTTTAAGCGTTAATACGGAGTGGACGAACGAAATTACTTACACATTTATTAATTTATATGAAAATGAACCCGCGTTATGGAATACAAAAAGTGACCGTCATAAAAACCGAAACGAGCAGCACGATTCGCGGAGTCGTATTCAAGATAAATTAAAAGACAGTACTAGTGGCATTACGATTATGTATGACAGCGGCTGCGGCAACAGTTTTTTCTTCCGACATTACTGATAATCACCAAAAACAAGTTGTTAGCAATCACTAACCCCGAACACCAGTAAACACAAAAATATGTAGACAGCTCATTTGTTTTGAAAAGGTACTTAGGCACAAACACGCCGCGCCGTGGGAAGCCACCTTAAGATAGCGGATTAGAAAGGAAATGGTGCCAAGTGGATGATTATAATTATTATTAATTACCTTTTTGGTGAAAGAGCATTAAACAATTTTTCAATAATCAAATAACTAGAGAATGAAACGCGACTAATCAATCAATATCTTTTTATTTAAAAATAACCCATACAACGGTTTACTCTAACAAGATATAAATTATTTTTGTTTATTAAATATTCACGGAATAACCCTTGGGCCTTATGACTCCCACTGCCCTTTCATTCCCTTGCAACATTAAAATTAACAAATAAAAACTATAATACTCAAATAGTTCTTTTTAAAAATAATTAAAACCTGAAAATTAGTAAAGTTAGGTCAAACAACAAAATCAAATGTTGCTTGGATGGGATATTTTGGAGTTTCCTTCTTGCTGTATTTATAACTAGGCCAAAGATAGGATTTATTCAAACCATATTAATTTATGTATTATATTTTACGCGTTTTCCGCCCAATAGCAACCCTAAAATTTGAAACTCCTATTTCCTATTCTTATATTAAAAAAAAAAAAAATGTTTTTACGTAAAAAATTATAAATGTAAAATATTTATATAAAAGAACAGTATACATATTAAAGGTCCTCCATAAAAAAAATCATTACTATTACACTTTTCTAATGCACAATCAGGGCACTGCGCCACATTTTGTTCCTGTAATTAAAAAAAAACCAATAGGAGAGAGGCAAAAATGGGCATTAGTAAAAAAAGGACCGCCTCCTCCTTCACACAATTCTAGGCGCATTCGCTTTATTATTTTTCCTTCTTCATTTATATCCTAGTACAATAATCTGCTGGTTGGCTAGTTCTTTATGTACATGGTAGGTCCCCCAAACCGGTCACTGCGTTTTTAACTCTTTGCCGATACTATAGGAAACAATTTTATTCCAATCGATTTTGGTGCGGGTTACTGGCAAGAGCCGACGCAGCGCTTTGAATGTCGAATCTGACATAGTCTGGTAGTTTTCCGATATCGCCGTTTGATACATGTTTTCCGCGGTTTCTATGGCCTGAACTATTTCCTTTACAGTCTGTGATTCTGTAGATACACTTACTGTTTCTTTGATTTCTTTAGTGCTCACTAACTGAACGTTGCCCTCTTCGTAATAGTGTACCTGAACTTTTAGAACGCCACGTACCTCGGCAGTGGCAGATCCGTTTAGAGTAATGAACCACTGGCTTCGCCACCGACCTAAATATTGGTTGGAAAGGTAACAAAAATGCAAAAATTATTATTATTATTAAAAAACTTACCATTCCAAAAGTTCTTTGGCTGAAATTGATGGTCCTCTATACACGCAGTCAGGGTGATAACTCCACCCTGGCTCTTGCCAACAACACTACACACTCCATCTTTGTAGTGGTTGCGCGTATACTGCACGAATTCGGTGTCCAGCGCGGCCCTCCAAGGCTCGACAGTCGCATCGGGAGAGTAAGCTTGATAATCTGAGGCTTCTTTTCTCAAATGGTCGTACTTAAAACTTTGCTTACTTCGAGGATCAAAGAACCTACAAAACCAAAGAACAAAAAGGGTATTTATGCTACAAAAGAACTATAAGCAAAAAAGTGCCAACCTGTTATTCCCTAAATCGTTGTATTCCGTAATAAGCACCAAATGGTCAGCGTTTTCGATTCGCACGGGCGTCAACTGGTCTTTGTTATATTGCGCAAAGGCCCCACTGGCCCCTTCCTTAAGCAGGTCATCGTCGTCCAACAATTTGCGGACGTCGTTAAAGACCTCGTTAAACTCACCCGGGGGTGAGTGCAGGATGAAATCGGACACGATTCGCACCTTTTCCTGGTCACTTATCACTTCGTCCCCATCCGACGCCATGTTTAGGTTGGGTTTTCGCACAAGCGACAAGCGCTAAACATGTCAAAACGTCGATGATGTCACTCGGCTCTGAGTCACAGATATTCTAAATTCCCTAAGGCGAGCACTTGGCCCTATAAATTTAAGCTTTTTGTTTTGAAGAAGAAGAAAATTTCGAACTACTGCGGTAGGTCAACCGGACTCCACCGATCTGTTCAAACATTTTTTTGCCGGGTTATTAGGTTAGGTAATTTTAAATTTTAGATTATTTTAGGCCGCTAGGATTTAAGTCCGATTTTTTTTTGTACGCACATGTTAGTTTCGGTATAAAGTTTTCAAAAATTTCAATGGCTAGTGGAGGAGATCAGCCTGACGGAAACGACGAAATCAACAAGCCGAGCACATCGCAAGTTCGAGATGAGCCCGATATATCTCGTAACATATCAAGGCGCGGCCCGTTTTCCGATTTTAGAGATAACATAGAAATTCCGGCTCGAGAAGACGTAATTAACGAAACTAATGGTCTATATCTCCAACATTTGGCCAGGGAAATATCCGAATTAGGCATGGAACTAGGCAATCAGCTGCGAGACTCTCGGTTTTTTACTAGACCTAGCAACCTGAGGAGCCTCAGAGAGTTGGCCGACAGGTTCGCTGAATCGCCACAGCGACAATGGGTGCTTGAACAGGCTCAAAACGTTGATCTCGACTCTTTAAACTCTCAGAATTTTCAGCAACTGCTCAATGGCCTTTTTCAAGTAGGTATTTTTTTAATTGTGACACATGTCAGGCCATGTCACATTTTCTCATAAAAATCTTTTTAGGAAGACGGAGCCACATGGGAAAGGGTGCTGGTGCTGTTTTATTTCTGTACTGATTTGTCTATAAGAGCCATTCAAGAAAAGTTTATAAACTATTTTGTACGGATCTACAACTGGACAACTGTATTCTTCAGTGGGCGGTTCTCCTATTGGATTCAGCAGCAGGGGGGATGGGTATGTATTTATTAACATTTTGAAAGTTGTGCTATTATTTTTTTCTGTTAGAGTGCTGTGTTGGGAAGTCCCGTTGATTACACTATCACCGCGAAGTTGTCTTTGTTAGGGGTGTGTTGTGCCACCGTGCTGGCCCTCTGTTATTTCCTGAAGTCAAAAAAGTGAACCACCCATGTTGCTGTTGTTGCGATTCTTCACTGCCAGCCTGTCAGTTCCTGTATTGATCTGTATTATTTTGTACATTGTCTCTTTTTTGATTTTTTACGTGAAGAGCCACATTTAATCTTGTTGTATATTCTATTAATGGCCCTATTTTTCTATTTATGAATTTGTTACTTTTTTTTTTTAATATACGGGTTTGAACCTCCTGTTGTGATTAAAAGTCCCATTGCCGTCTCGATAGTCTTTTATTAACTTTAAAATAAAAATGGATCCATAAATTACGTTAACTTAAACGTAGTAGAGATAAATGTGTTTAAAATTTATCGTCGCCTGTTTCGTAATTGTCGCGCAGCAGTCCGAGCTTGGCTATCAGGTCGGCAACCGACATCTCGCCACGCACCGCATTATCACGCGTGCGCACGTTCACTGTTCCGCTGGACCGTTCCTTTTCGCCAACCACTACAAAGTGACAAATTATGAATCGCAACTCCTCCCAATCCTCTCTCCCACCATTCTCACCCAAAATAAAATTAAACTGCGCTAATTGGCCGTTGCGAATTTTTTTGTTGAGGGTATCTCCCGCGTCTGTGTCCACCTCGGCCATAAAGCCGGCATCGTGAAGCTGCACCCGCACCTCCTCCGCATATTGGTCATAGTTGGGGCCTACCGGCACGACCATCACTTGCCTCGGCGACAGCCAGAACGGCCACTTTCCGCCGTAGGACTCTGTCAAGATGGCTATCATGCGTTCGACTGAGCCTAGAATGGCCCGGTGAATGATGACGGGCCGCCTCTTCTCCCCGCTCTCCCTATGGTTAAAATTAAATTAAAATTAAAAATTTTATTTACGCATATTTACATTATCATTACAATATAGTTTAACCTAAGAAAAATAGTAACACCAATACTTACAGTTGCTAAACTACCAAGTTTTGATTAAAAACAGTCATCTTCACTTTGCAATTAAAACTACTGAGGGTCAGAATATATATATCAATATGCTCATTATTTGTGAGTAAAATATTTGTCAGCTTGCACATTCGATTCATAGGCGAGTTAATGCCATAGTTGGTCCTATGAAAATCAATATTAAAAACAGCCTTATTTCTTGCATTAATAGGAGAAATATGAAAACCAACAGATGCCAGACGATCTGGTGAATCCAACAAGTTATTAAGGAAATTGTATAATGTTGCAATGTCAAAAAATATGTGCCTACTCTCCAAAGATGTCAGATTCAGAAGCTTTATAATCTCCTTGTAGTTTATATCTTCAAATGACATTCCCAATTTAAAACCTATCCCTCTAAGGAACTTACGCTGCACACGCTCTATTCTTTCCTTGTGAATTGCATGGTTGCCAGACACAGCTAACATACTCTAAAATTGAACGCACAAGCGCACAGTACAGCTCCCTATACGCAAAGATGTTCTCAAAACCCGTCAAAGTCCGAAAAACAAACCCAAGTCATCGAACAGCTCTGTTAGTCATAAAATCAATGTGATATGTAAATGTGAGCTCCGAATCGAGCCAAACTCCAAGATCTTTAACTAGGTTCTGTCTCTCGACCATGGCATTCTGGTAAGGAAGCTCTCAGGGATGGGAATCTTTGGAGACCTTCTAAGTTGGTTTCGCAGTAATATCACTAACCGGAAGCAATCAGTTAAAGTTAGAAATTACATTTCGTTAGAGACTATTGTGACGTCTGGTGTCCCACAAGGGGGACATCTTTCCACATTCCGTTTTAATGGTGAAGTATTATTCAATCAATTCATGTCATGGCATACAAACGTACTCACATACGTCAATAAGAAGAAAATAATCAATCACAGATTAAATTAGCCTATACAATTATAATAAAATCGATATCTAACATACTTGAATATTACAAAGTCCTGCTTGACCACTGCTCATGTGTTCATTGAAATGACAATAATCTAAAGGGTCATTCGCTAAAATTGTGTACTGAACCCTATCACGGAGTTTACCAGATCATATTGTGATTGCACCTATCCTGAACAGCTTTAAGAATAGACTTGAAAATGTAAATAGAAAGTCAAAGGAATGTCAACGTGTGACTTCTGTATATAGTGTATATTAAACTGCAGTTTTACTGGCTTTGCCGCCTACTGCCTAATGGTATAATAATAATAATAAATCAATAACGTAAAATGTTTTAGCAACCAAGGGTACTTTAAGTTGCTTCACTTTCGGTGCTTTAATATTTTATGAAAGAGTGCTAAAAATTTTATTAAGCAACGTCGGGATCATTTGGACACCTTTTTAGACGGCGATAAGCTGGTATAAACTCGAGTGATAGTCCCGAACCTCGCTGTTGCATCCTGTAAGCTGGAGATTTACATAAATGAGATTTCTCGAAATAATAGGGGGACCGGAAAGCAATGTTTTTGTGCATGCGAATATTTGTTCACAACTTATTGTGATTAGAACGTCGTCAAGATACACTTAAAAGTAAGAGTGGATTATTGACGTGTGATCATTAAAACAAAATTTTTTCATAGAAATGGCAAGTGAAAAACCCAACGAGTTACATATTCGACAATGTATGTTGTTTCAGTTCCGGGTAGCACCAACTGCTACAAAAAACATTTGTGATGTTTACCCAAGCAGATGTTCGCAAACGCCAAAGATGGTTTAGATCAGGTAATTTTGACCGTCCCGATTCACCTTGATCGGGAAGACTAGCAACTTTTGATAATGACCTATTAAAGGCAAAAGTGGAAGCAGATCCTGGTCCGACAATTAAAAAGCTGTCGCAAGCACTTAACCACAACCTTGGTCGAATATTGAAAAGCATTTGGTACAGATAGGTAAGCGAAGCAGAGCAGGTGTTTGGGTTCCACATGACTTATCCGAGGTAAACAAAGCTAATCAGACTACCATGTGCTAGAAACACACAAAGGAAGGATTTTTGGAACGCTTGATTACTGGAGAAATGAGTATATGACAATCTGAAAAGAAGGTGCTCTTGTGTTTGGTGGGGTATTTGCGGAATTGTACACACTGAAGTTCTGGAACCTGGGCAAACAGTCAATGTCCAGTTTTGGTAAAGGGAAAGACCACATAGCGCAAAGAAAGCAGTCGATAAAATACGACCTGGGTTGTGAGCTACTATCTCAACCACCATACTCACCTGATATTGTTCCATCTAATCATCTTTTGTTTAGATCACTGTAAAGTTTCCCAGCTGGAAAGAAATTTATCAATGTGGATGTTATCACTTACCACTTACTTTAAAAATCAACCAGTTAATTTATTTTCATTAGGCATTGAAAATTTATTAAGAGGACAAAAGGTCATTGACAATAATGGCAATTATGTTATTGATTAAAAATGAAACCAAACAAAAATATATGTAGTTTAAATAAATTATAAAAAACGGACGTTACTTTCAGTTCCCCCTACTATATTGAGAAAACCTAACCTGCCAGAATTCAGATTAAGCTTCTCTGGAGTTTAAAAGTTAACTGGCACTCCATATGACAAGACAGAATAAAATATCATCAGACCTAGACAAATTTCTTACATCAAAAACAGCACTATTTAGTATCTTACTCAAATAATCTATATGTGGATCTCGGCATAATAAATTATCAATTTGCACGCACAGAAATTTTAATGCTGGCGTTCGAGTATTGTGATCAGCGAGAATACCAATATACTTATATAACTGCATTAATATTGTTTGATGACAGAGAGACCATGTTGTCTATTTCACCATTGTAAAGCAAATCATCTATGTAAATTCAAGATAAAGGAGGCCGCAAGACAAAGCCTTGGGGATCGTCTATGTTGATATTGAAGTATGAATCTATGAGTTGAATACTTGTAGAGAACTTGTAAAGCTACAGGTTTTGTAGTAGGTGAGACACAAAATTGCCTGCCTGCTTAGTGCGCGGAGGCGCAACGCGAAAAAGGGGTGGCACTCACGAAACGAACGATAAGTTGAATCGGATGGGCAGCTGAAAATCTAGCTGGATGGTGGCGCACTGAAACGATCGGCGCAACGCGTCCTTGATGGTGATGTCGATTTTGGGTCCGTAGAACGCACCGTCGCCCGGATTCTCCTTCCACGGCTGCCCGAAATCGTCGAGACTTTCGCTAAGCGCCTGGAACGCGTCGTGAAATGTAATTTCGCTTTTGATGCCCACCTTCCCCAGTACCTTTTCGGCTTCGTTCCACATTTCAACCTCACCGAGGTACTTGTCCGGCCTCGTGCTCAGCACCAGGTCGAACGTGAAACCGAAGATGGAGTAAATGTGTTTGAGAAAGTCGAGGGCGCCCTTCATCTCGTCCTTGATCTGTTCGGGCGCGCAAAAGATGTGCGCGTCGTCCTGCTGGAAGCGGCGCACTCTGGTTAGACCAGTCAGCGCGCCAGACAGCTCGTTCCGGTGCAACACCCCAAAATCGGCAAGCCGGAGGGGCAGCTCGCGCCACGACCGGATGCGGTTGTCAAAAATTAAACTGAAACCCCATTTTAAGAGTATCAAGCGAGAGCAGTTTTGTTTGTTTATTTATATATTTCTCGCCTTACATAAAAATCCCAAAATCAGGTAAAATTTTGTCGAAGTGACAGAAATTATTATTATTATTATTAAGTTATTTCAGTAGCACTCAGTAGTCACAAGAATTATGGGACTTTGATTTCTGATGAATCCAACTTGCTGACGTTTCACCAATCATCCCCGCTGGCTTCTTTAGAACTTAACTGCAACTGAAGAAGCCAACGGGGATGATTGGCGAAACGTCAGTAAGTTTCATTCATTAACAATTGATGCAGTAGGAATCCAGATGGTTTTTATATAGTATTACTGTAGCCTGTGGAAGTTTCTATCCAAAATAATGAGATTTCCTAACAACCCAACATTGGAAATAATTCATTACACATTCCACATTTACAATTATAATTAGAATTTACAATTATAATTAGGATTTAAATTTGAAAAGAAAAGTTTTACAGAACCTAGGTGAATAAACACCTGTAATGTGCCAAAATGAATATTTTATTTTGCAGAATTGTTGAAGAGTTGAAGGGATGTTGTAGCGGAAAAACTCACCAATGGCCTGGGCAGTTCATGGGTTTCAGCGCGAATTTATCCTTTTCCACGTCAAAGGAGAACATATTGTCCTGCAAAAAAAAAAGAATTTTTGACTTAGCAAATCGTTTCCTGGTTACATGGACCTAACCGCATAGTGGGCCCAATGCCCCGAGGTTTGCCACAACTTGGAGTTGTAAATGTTGGGAGTAACAACCTCTTGGAATCCCCGTTTCCGGTACTCTTTTCTTATAAGATCCACCAGAGAGTTGTAAATGTGGGCACCTCTTGGCTGGAAGAAGCATGAGCCCGGGGACAGTTCGTGGAAAAAGAATAACTCTTGCTCCTGCATAATAGGACAAAAAATCTTCATTAGCAAACTCACATTATGACCACTACCTTTCCGATTTTTCGGTGATCCCTTTTGGCAGCCTCCTCTTGGAACTTCTCCCACTCTTTCAGTTGCTTATTGTCAGGAAAGCTGATACCATAAACGCGCTGTAGCGTTTCCGCATCGGCTTTGCCTTCCCAGTAAGTGGACGAATTCTAAAGATTTGAAGAAGAAACAGAACATGCATCAACAATTAAATATGTTGAAAAATATGGCACTCACTTTGGTTACTTTTAAGGCTTTTATTTTACCAGTATGCCTCACATGGGGCCCCCTACAAAGATCGATTAACGGGCCACATCTATAAACAGTTGTGGTGGGTGTGTTGACCTTTTCATTCAAGATTCTCACTTTGAACGGATTGTACTTAAACATCTCTAACAAGTCTTCCTTCTTCATTTCCAATCGTTCAAATGGCTGTTTCTCCTTGGCAATGTTTTTCATTAGACTTTCAACATGTGGAAAATCCGTTTGCGATATCTACATATATAGCAAAAATTAAAAACTTCTGCTAAGATATTTTTATATAATTATATGTATTTTGTTCATTTTCTTGATCAATTGAATATTAATAAAAACGACAATTTAATCTTACTCCTCTTTCATTGAGCCACATATCATAGTAAAACCCATTTTCAATTGGTGGACCATAACATAAACAGCCACCATAGATTCTCTCTAGTGCTTCTCCCAAAATGTGGGCTGTTGAATGCCAAAAAACAGCTTGCGCTTCTGGATCATCAAACTTTAGCAGTTCTACTTTACAATCGGTTTCTAATGGCCTGTCCAAGTCCCACAATACACTATTTACTTTGGAAATTACAGCATTGTCAGCCAAACCCTGACTAAAAAAACTTATTCATATGCCATTTTATTAAGATTGTTTCTTACCTGATGCCTTTCGCCACATCATACATAGTGGTTTTCCATGCTACACCTTCCACCACTTTACCATCTGGCAAAGTAATTTTAATAGACCCCTCGGGTTTGCTGTTGATTTCCGCGTCATACTGGGCCTTAAATTTGTTCCACAAAATTAGCCTTTCTTCTATAAAAGAAGGAGGAGGTTTTAATTCAGCAGCCGGAGACTTGTCGCCCGCCTCTGAACCGGCTTTCGCTTTTTCCTTCTTCATTTTTGCCTGGAAGAACGCAATGCACACTCAGACCAAGTAAAATGAAGCAACATATAAACGTTTAACGTCACTAGGATGTGATTGCATCATTTCCAGTTCCGCGAAAAATCAATGAACGGAAGGAAGGGCAGCAATCGACAAGAAATACCAACCAATGTGGCGAAACGTCTTTTTGCTGATACCCTAACCAAACTTAATACTTTGAGCATTATTTCAAACGGAATTACAAATAATAAAAGTTCATGCCTTTTCTTCTTTGTTGGGTTTGAGATCTTTAGCGAGTTTAGCCGAATTTTCTTCCATATTTAAACACAACTAGGTTAGGTAGAGTACCATGCAGCAACTGACTGTAACCACGTGATCTCATGCTTGCAAAGGTATTCGTTCGCAAAAAATTACAATCACAGGCATCGAAAAATGCCTATGACTACAACCATTCATCAATCATCTCATTAAAGAAGTGATAATAACGAATACATAAATAAAGTTATCAATGAAAGTAATCCTCATGATTTAGGTTCCAGCGCGGCATCTAGTGCCTAAAGTTCAAAACACATCAAGTTGCTTCGTTCGATACTAGATGACACCGCTAAATTTTTTGCGTTTCGTTTTTAAATGTGACACTAATTTGTGTGGAAGGCGACGAAAAAAAAGGATATGGATCAAATGCAAATTATATTTCTACAAAATTTTCAATTAACACGGTTAGTAGTGACCCTACCTACCTCGTTTCGATTCAGGGGCCCTAGTGACAGGTGGAAGGATGGTGAAATTTGGACAAGCGAGAAATAAAAAAGTCGTTTGACACTTTTTTTTGTCTCGACAATTGATTATCAATGAGTAAGATTTCAACGTTCGGGGACATCACCTCATTGGATCACGTGTTTTTGCTATCACCGAGTTTTAATTAATTCAAGTGGGCAACACGGTAAAAATAACGCACAACGTCGAATTCCTTGCTTTTATGGTGGCTAATCAAACTAAATTGATTGGTATTCAGATAAATAAGCATTTTGGGACCGTTTGATTGCGTATAATACGCATGTTCCAAGAGTGATTGTCATTCATTTTCTTTGATTCTACATTTTTTATAAATGGAATTTAATCTAGATTGAATTTGAGTTTCGTTTGTTTGAAGGATTCGAAAGGGCCTTGAAAGCGATTATTCAAACAATCCCTTCAAGTGTGCTTTGATACGGGCCCTCTGCTTTTCAACCCATTAATCAATTCTTGCTGCTTAAACTCCTTATTTCTTCAGTTTACAGACAATTTAAACCTTTTTATGAAAATTGTTACTGCTGCATAATTGTGGTGTAGGGTTAATGGCATGGACCTTAATGTGCTAAAGACCACAAGACCAGAGCGTTCAACAACTGTATTTCTCTACTTCTTACTTTAAAATAAGCAATTATGCGGATCAAGCGTGTAAAAAGTGTCACTTTAAGCGACACCGTCGCAAGCTACTTCGGGCGTTTCCAATACTTTAGTCACGGATTTGAGAGCGATCGGGTGTTTTCGGTAGAAATGTTTCATAGCTGAAATTATGCGGATATATAAACGATAGCTTTTGCACAATGAAGACTGTGTTTTTTAGTTTAGCTTGAAATAACAGTTTGTCTTCAACTAAATGGGTTTTTTACTTTCTTTTGAATAGCTTATGCATATCTCGCGTTTATTATGTAAAATCGAATCGATGGGGTAAAAATGAGCCAATCTCAAAACACTCGAGCTTTCAATGTTGTTTAATTAACTTGAAAAAAGATGGTTATCTGCGAGACACATATAAATACTGCCAACGCAGTGAGGAGGAGCACTTAGTTCCGATCCAAGTTCGTTCACAAGCCATATAGCAAACATGAAGTTAGTTTTATTGATTGGGTTGGTCGGCCTAGTTGGTTTCGGTGCCGAAGCTAGCGGTAAGGTTGGATAGGGGTTTTGATTCATAGCAGGACGCGAAAAATAAAGTGGTTTTCAGTCGTACCACCCAGTGGCAGAATTAACGAGGATGTAGTGCGTTGGTTCATTGGTTGCGCCAACAAGTCTATGATTGACGGTCTTCCGGATATCGGCGTCCCGCAACACAACCCTCTCCACTTGAGGAACCTCTCGTTTCCTCTCGACCTAGGACTCGTTCAGTAAGTAAATGATTACCTCGAAAGTCTTGTTGGTTCCTAACGATTATCAATTTGCCTCGTTTAGATTCGAAAACAACTTAACCAATGTAATCTGGTACAATCTGCCCTTTTTGGATATCGAACAATTGACAGGAGTCACCGGCGGTACCGCTGACACCGAATTCTGGGCGTACTTTGACTGGGGCTTTTACTGGCGTAACTTTACCATCACTGGCGAGTTCGACTGGTCGGTCACCGTACCGTTGGTCGGACCCCAAACAGGAAGAGCTACATTCGTGTAAGTCAGTTTTGAGAAATATGAGAACGCCTTGTCGGAATAGGCGAACATTGATATGTTTTAGATTAACCATGGAACACGTTCACTGGTCCGGTAAATGGAACAGTACCATTCCCGACGATTCCCACAAACCGTTCCTCAACGATTTCAGCTTTAACTCCGAGGTCGAGAGTACGTCGGTAAGTGCACCTTTAGTGTTGATAAATAATTATCTAGTTTGGCCCAACTAAACTTTTAATGTGTATTTGTTGTGTTAAATTTTGCTGTCAATCAAAATCGATTGTTATTTAATGACAATTGATCAACTCCTTTCCTGGCTCGTATTTACCAGTCCTCTTATTTTACCGATTCTTTCATGTTTTTCATTGATTTGTTGTGTTTTAAAAGTGTCTGACTCGTACTTGATTCACCTCCTCTACATCTAGATGTGCTAAACAAGCATATAGCTACAAGATAATACAGGGGCCCTGCGGTAAAAATTGATGCGTCGCAGGTGGCTATGATATTTTCGTGGAGAAAGTATGGATATTTTGCGCATGCGTCACCGCCACTGCTACATTGCCGTAATTTTTTAATTTTCATAAGACAGCAAATTAATCAACACAATTGGCAACGCCGAGATAAGTAATTACTACTGTCACAGAACAGTGTGTGTCCTGTGCCATTGTTGTTTTTATTTTTCGTGTCAATATCTCCGTACCTTATTCACGAAACTCGTATAATTTATGCTTTCAATACTTTGTTCTTTCACGAAATTACAGCAAATGTGACAAAAATAAGATAATAGGATCTTAGAGAAACAGTGATGCCTATATATTTGACATTTAACAAACTGGAAAATAGACTTACACAGATATTTACATCTCAATTTACTAAACAGAATTCCCCACATCTTCACTTAAATAGCTACGAAGAATGTTTGGGTAATATGTTTTAGTGTACAAGAATTACAGGAAATATAAGAAAACAATTAACCTACAAGTTGAACTTTTATTAGAACAACCATAGGAAATACTCACTGTCAACTGCTGTGTACAGGAGGTGTTTGTTGAACATTTTTTCCACTTAGATGTCTCTTGTGCGATATCTACCATCTCAAGGGTATTTAAATAAAGATTAAACATATGAGTTTATGAAAACTAACGCTTTGCGCCGATTTACAAGCAAAACAAAAATCGAAAAAATTAGCTTACATGAACAAATACATTTAGAAATTGCATCGTATCCACAGGGCTTAAAGAACAAAACCGCCCAATTAATTACAGAATTATACTGACACCGGATGTTGCAATTCTGCACTGCTTTTCCACACCTTAACTCCTTTTTAACCTGAAAATTTAATAGGATTTCGACATATCTTGAGAAAATACTGAAATAATGTTGAAAGCCGCAAGGTCTTAGAATTTGCCATTAGAGTTGCCTTTGGTTAAAAACGAAATTTTAAATCTCGCGCATGCGCACGTTGAATGGACCTTCTCGAAAAAATGTTACATCGTTGCTTCATGAGTTCCTGTACTGTCCGCATAGGCAGGGCCGCTATATGTTTAATAGCTATATGTTAACGAGCGATCCAGGCAATATGTCCATCCTGTCGACGCTTTCTTATCCCTATTATTTCGATTCTCTTTTGAGCGGTGACAATCGATTTTAGTTTTTGCGATTTTAAGAGACTGCTTTTTTGAATTGTGTTGCTATTACTGTGTGTCAAAGAGACGTTAGATTCGGTTAGTTGTAATAGTCCAAGAATACTGTAGTATTGTATATTTTGAGAATCTTCTGAGTTCGCTCCTTAACAAACTTAACCTTAGAAGGAAAATCTCAAGAAAATAACAAGCTTCGTCGGTCATGATTAAAAGTTTAGTTCATATAGAAAACAATTCAGTTGGATTTAGATTTTAACTATTTTCGGCATCTTATTTATTTATTTATTTTAATCACCGCTTGCATTCTCCGTCAGGTTGTTGTAGATGGCACGCCATTCGACTCCCTGTTCGCTTTAACCGCTCAAGGATTGTCTCACACCTTCTGGAACCACGTACCAGCCTCGGCCGGTCAGCTTCTAAAGGATGCTCGTTTCAATGGTTTCTGGAACGACCCGGACCATCCAGAGAGAATTCAAGCAATCATTGATCATTGTAACGCTTAAATCGTGTAAAAATGTTGATACAATTTATTAAACTGTTGCTTATTTAGTTACAATTCTTTTGTCTGACTTGACATAATTTTCAAACTAGATATTCGGTAATCGACAGCATTTTCGAACACGTAACAGTCAGCAGAAGCACAGAATAGACAAACTACCGGAACGACAGCTCTTAAAGTTTGTGCGTAAAACTTTGCCTGACCTAAAAATAAAGATAAATTAAAATTCTTCATTCTTTAAGTTTAAGTTCTGGTCAAGATCCAGTGACTGTTCGTATGTGTGGTGTACTTCCAGAGAGAAAATGTTTGTAATCTATGATGCATTCAATTAACATAAATGCAGTAGTTTCAAATTTTAATTGTCATAATTTAGAAGAGAACTTTTTAATACACTTCTGCGCCCTATGAAATGTATTAAATAAAATCGCGATGATCGATATAGAAGCCGATTAGACTCGAACTCGGATATGTTACTGGCTCTCGATCAACTTCGTTCACTTGTCCTTTGGATGCCGGGCTGGCCTTTTGCCCTCTCTTAAGTGTGTCTTGCCAGTCGGGTGTGCACCTACGAGTATTGTCATGTAGCCAAGAAGTCAATAAGGATCAAAGTGTAAAAGCTAGTATTAATTATGCAGAGCTATGGCCCTGAAAGCTACGCACCCGCCGTCCTTGACAATATTCTCACCGTTGCAGCAGTGTCAGATCTAACGTAAAGTCATAAGAACCTTACAAATTTCACTAGAAGACCTTGTAGATTGTTCTGTTTTTGTATTCTGGTCAAAATTATCAATTTATTGCACTTACAATACATACATCCGCAACTCTGTTAAGTTAGAAGTTAATTTCTAAAATGATTGTCGATCAAGATTACAAATTAATTAGTTTTGTCTTAACACGTTTTTTTTGTTTAGTTCATTACTTAGAGGGGGTTTAAAAAATAAATGGAATTTTTAATAGATAAGCGTGATACATTTATATTGCACATAGTATGTGTGGCAACACTGTGCATAGAGCGGCAAGGACAGTGTGTGGTCTGTGACACAAGAAGGAGAGTGAGCACCACCATGACAATTTAGAGATGTGTGACAAGTTCTGTATTTTTCTTTTTGGGAATGTCTACTATATATAGCATATTAAAGAAAATAGTCTTTGCGTTCCGATCCACCCCCAAGAATTTTGATTAAAGTTCATAATATTTGAATGGAACATGCTAGCACATGTTTTTTGTGTTATTGAGGTGAGAAGGTCACGAATGGTTTATTATTTGCGTTTGCAACTGTGAACTACTGCATTTATAGGTATAGGAACATGTATAGAGGGCATTAATTCTATACAGTTTTTGATTAGCTAATCATCTATTAAAAAAAGTATTATGATGGAAAGTTCATGCTGCCAAATGAAACCATTTTTTAACGATCCGTTTATGTAATTGACGAAATTTTTGCACTAAAGTAATATATCCTAGGATGTACCTGACAACTTTTTTTTAAATCAGTTTATTAGTTTTGTATAGATCGGCTTATAGATCGTACAGATATCCGCTTTAGTTTGGAGATATGCGATACTTTGGAAATCTTGGTCTTAGGAGCATATAAAAATTGTATGTGTTATATTTCAAGTGTTTGGTTGAATGTATTAATCGAAAATCGATGTCCTTGGACTGCTGATTACATAGAAATCGAGACACAATCTCGTCAAATTTGACATGCATTGCCTCACCTATAAAAATAAAATGAACTGGCTATTTATTTTTTCGTCGTCGTCGATCTTCGAAAAGGGTCAGTTTGGTTAGTCAGTTCGATTAGTTCCTTGCTCTGCATTCTTTTTTTCTCGAAGCAGATTGAGTTACGTACATAGCTAATAGATAACAATATCGCAGTCGCTCATATAACTATTAGATAAGGCGGTAAAAATTAATGCGCCTCAGGCATAGAGAAGCGCATACCGCCTAATTTCGCAACACAAATCTGCGCTTTGCGCCATACATTTGAGATCTTAGCGGCTCCTATATTATCTAATCTTATCATGTAATAAAAAAAAATGCATTGTTTGCGACACACTGCTACGGCGGTATCTATTGGCAAAGTTTGAAACAGGCAAGACGGACGCGTAATCTTGCGTAGTTCAATCCTAATGAATTGAGAATTATTTCGCTATTAATGTCCTGAGTTTTCGCAAAATTTGTGTGCTGCAGATTTCATCTAATGCTGAGGAATGTTTTCTTTGGCATATAAAGTTAATACCACAGGTTCATTATCATGCTAGTGGCAGATAACTGTAGTAAAGTAATTAAATAATAAAAACTTTATAAATCGTCCAGGAACGACAGCTTCCATTATACGTCTTTTTCTACAATAAAATTTGGTATTCTAGTTTTGTGATATTGCGACGTTTGGCACTAGATGGCGCCTTTGCACTTCCTAGCAGGTTAGAAGTGTGAAGCACACAATACAAAGGTTTGTTTTGGTTAGTGCTGTGTTGAGTTATCCGACGATAAGCGATATATTTGGCATGGCGTTCATAATATCAAATCTGGGTGAAAGAGGATAAAAAACACATGTTGGCTGTTTTATATTATTTTAATGTTTAAAGAGTAGATCTAAAAGGAGGAAAGTGTTATTTTACCACGTCCGTGTTGTTTCCCACGTGTTTGAGCCACTTCGGACGTGTATTACCGCATAGCTTTTTGAGCAATCGGATGTTCTTCATGTTCAGTAACTGAATAAAAATTAATTTGATCAAAAGAAGAGTTTCTAACGTGGTTGTTAGTTTATCTGTTGATTCAACAGTGCAGGCTATAACTCATTCAATTTCATGGGATTGAAAATGATTAGATTAGATTAGAAGATTTTGAACTTATTAGTCCACTAACTAGTTCCAAAACTATCTCAGTAGGACGCACTTTTATGTTTTTTGTTGCTTGAATCCATTTTCTGGCAAGGTCTTCACTTGTGAGAAATGAGAAAATTGCCACCTTTGGTTAGTGTCAATTCCCCTTACAGTTCGCAAAACAGCAAGTGTTTACCATATGATATGTCGCCAGACTGGATTTTCGGAAGAAAACAGTAAAGTTAATTACTTCCACTTTAATATCACAAAAATACAGGTTCTTTATGTGACCACGGTACCGCACGAACGTTGTTGCCTCTTGGACACATCGGCCGAGACTGCCTTTTTGGCCGGCCCGCGGTGTTGCCAAATACACCACACCATAATTATAGCAAAAAAAGATACTAACACACGAAACACAAGCCTTTATAGTTATTAAATATACAGTCTCTAGTTTTTAATTATAAAGGATTGTTTCTTTGAATTATTCCTGCGTCGGTTCTAAAGTAATCCAGAAGATTTGTAAATAGTATTACAGTAGTGTGTGTACGATTGAAAAATTAGGGATAAAAAAACAAAGACTTTTATTTCACACACCAATCTCAGAATTAGATTGGAGGACTGGATTTCTCCTGCGTCGGTTTTTGCTGAGTTGAACTTGCTAACGTTTCGCTAATCAGTTTCAGGTTCAGTTAACTTCTGAAGAAGCCAACCGTAGTCTGTTGGAGTTTCTATGAAAAATTAATATTCACAATCCGTCGTGAAAACTGTTTCTTTTAATTTGTCACAGTTTGACCAAATACCTCAATTAAAACGTCTAAACGAGTATATACGTAGCGACCCGCGTCTCATTTGTCATCGATTGTTTACAGTGTATAGTTTCACCTCCTGTTTGTAAAGGTCGTGTTTGCTGAACGTATTTGAAAGTATCGCCTATTCAACAATGAATCCCAAACAAAGCTTTTGTGTTTCGGTTTTAAATATTAAAATATTCGATGGTTTATTATCCGCATCTGTGTCTGGTGAATAGATATAAAGCGGGCATTCATGAAGCGCATGTTATATTACTTTAAAAATTAGTACAAAGTTAGAACGAACACAGTTAATGGCGACGATAGCTATCTTGTTGCGATTTTGCGGCGTTGGCGGCACTCGCGGCGACGACGGCCGCCCCGGCGGCAGCCGCATTGGACTGAGCCACCTGGGCTGCTTGGGCGGCTTTGTAGGCGGCCTGTTCGGTTTCCTGGAGTTCGAGAATTGCATTTTGCAACTCGTTGGTCAATGCGGCGAGCCGCTGCTTGGCCTGGGTAACCGCAGCTTGCTGATTGGCGGCGACACTGGCTGCCTCTGTTGCCGCTTTCGACGTCAATTGAGCACCACTCTGCGCTGAAGCGACGAGAGCGCTAAGTGTGGCGATCTGGGCCTGGGCTTGATGAGCAGCCTGTTCAGCCAGTTGCGCAGCCTCTTGAGCCTGATGGTACTGAGCCAATTCCTCCTGGAGCTGTTGTTCAGCGTCTTCCAGCTGTCGCCTGACGGTACTTACGATGGCCTGTTTACCAACCAGCGCAGCTTGAGCGGTCTGAGCGGCCTGTGCGACACAAAGTACTATCGACGTAGTAAAATAATGAATGCGCATGCACATTGTGTCATTTGGTTTTAATGTAGAGCGTGCGCGCTATTTTAAATTTAAATTTGATTGAAAAAACTTTAATTTTATTTAGTGGTTCAAAATTGTATTGGCCAAAAAAAAACCTTTTAACTGTGGAATTAATTTTTACTGGTTAGTGCCATGAGAAATGCCGTTTACCATACTTGTTGCATAATATACTATTGACTGGTACGCACACACTTACTCTTTCATATATATATATATATATATATATATATATATATATATATATATATATATATATATATATACCAGTCAATAGTATATTATGCAACAAGTGTGGTAAACGGCATTTGAGTCACTAGTTTATTTGGCGCGAGCGGAACGTGTGTTTAACATATGAGTCGCTTAAAAAGTGTTGCATACTATACTTTTTCTACGACCGTTAGTTTTTTTGTACATTTTCGCAAGACAACATGAATGCATTCACTGACGTGATCGTCAGAATTAACAAACGTCAAAATTCAAGCCATGCGGTAATATTCCGGAAATGTCCGTGGGAACGAAACTGACTTGGTAAAATGACACTTTCCACTTCCCCACGCTAGGTCGGTGTATAATTAGGTCTTTTCCAAAAGGGAGTAGAAAAACAAAATTTTGTCCCTGTCATCTATGTCCCTGTCACCTTTGACTATTGTACATCTCTCGAAAACTTTATGCTTCTTTTAATACATATTGTTTTATTTCAATAAATGCTTTTAAAATTATTTCTTATGTTTTATTTAAATTTTTATCCGAAGTATAATGCCAACAGTTTTTTAATAATGTACGAAAGGGCATTTTTAGAAAATATGCTTTAAAAAAAATCGCTTTAACTTTTTTAGTATGCAATATTTTGCGTTTCTATGAAAACATTTCCAAAGCAACTTTTTACGAAATAATTGTACTTAATTATAACATCTCCAAAACTGATGGTTTATTAGTGATCAATCCGAAAACGTAATTTTCATATGGGAAACTTTGCATATTTTTAAAAAACTTGAAATCACTTTTTTAAAAATATAGCACATTTGACATTTTTCTGGAGTTTTATCAAAAACTTTGAACCGGTAGGTTTTGGATTGAGTAGCCCTAATACCGAAAATAAATAAATCCACGATGGTGAACAAATTGTGAATTTGGTTCTCAATACGACGCGTTTTTGATTTTCAGTCTTTCATATACATGGGATAATGTATTTTTGATTAGGCATTTGTACTATGACCAATATCCTAACAGAAAAAAGAAATATTTGAAAGATTTCAACACAACCTGATTGATAGTCAGTTTGAGAAGAAGCGGTGATAATAATAGTGGTTTTACGACCTGCTAAAAGTAATCTTGCAACCTCAACATGAAAATTAAAGACACCAACAACGCTAGCAAGAACTAACGTTAGATGGGCTTTGCACATATTACTAAAAAAGTGCATGGTCCGAGTGAATCCCATAAAAATCTATCCGAGTACCCATTTCCCGTTGATTCTTTGAAATTTACTTGAAAGGTTAAACTAAAACCAAGCGTATTTACAACCAAATTCAGAATGTGGTCACTGAAGGTAATTTTAAGTCATTTTTAATTATCGAAAAATATACAGAATGTCTTAAAAAATACTTTTTTTGGTTGATAATTTCTAAAATATTAGCTTTAAAAACATTTACACCCTTAATGTTCTGCGCACAAAGTTGCTCTTAAAATGTTCATAACAAGACATGCATACTTTTGAAAAACGACGCGTAATTCCCAAACGGTACTAGATATCAATATGCATTTTGTTATCCTTACAAGCTCCAGTCACTGACATTAGTTTTCGCCTATTCCCATTTGATAGGAGGGACTTTTCCTTTAAAAGTGTCCAATTTAGCCCACCCCGTACAAAGTCTTAATATGAACGGTTTTGAATTTCAATATTATCGCAAAATAAAAATAAGTCTACATATTATGCCGAAGGGGCATGGTCCGGCAAAAAATAGTTATAATTTGATTGTTCCTGCTAGATATTCATATATTTACCCCAGTGGCGGCGCTGGCTAGGGTACTCTTTATCCCGAAAGCGGCTTGACTGCCTGCGGTATGTTGGCTGCGGACGGCGTTCTTCGCTTGGACGGCTGAGGTGTGAGCCAAACTTGTCAATTCCGCCCCGTTGCGTCCGTTATGGCTTCCATAAGAGCTTTCGTAGCCGCCTCCGTGTATTTCTTCCAAACGCGTGCCCTCGGCTTGTTGTTCGGGAACCACCACAGTGATGGTTGATTTCGTCAACCTGCCACCGAGGGCGACACCGACTGCAAATACGAACGCGTCAAGTATTAAATCAAATTTGAAAAATTTTGATTTTTTTACGCTGCCGGAATTACATTTTGTATTTATTAATAAGGTGCGCAACAGGTTTTTTGCGTCAAACTCTCAACATTTAGTAGGAAACAAAGCAAATATGGACATAAAAACATAAATTGCTTCGTTTCTGAGATACAGTTTAATTAAATTTGAATGACCGGAATGGCTATTTTCAATAATTGACTTTATCTAATAAGTAATAGTTAAAATCGAACTTTAACTTCAAAACAGCTTATCATATTTTAGCGATTTGATGGCTTTGTTTTAAGGTAAACCATAGCGGTCTTCTTAAATTGGCATACAGGTAGAGTGCAAACCAGCTCAGAAGATATGACGGCGATCATACTTAAGAAAGTCCACAGTATCTTCTTCTCTCAAAGAAATTCGAAGTAACAATTTTCACGAATATTCCCGCTAATATTTTATATTTTTGTATAAAAATAAATAAATACTTACGAGTCATTGCAGCAACGAAGAAAATCTTGAATGCCATGTTATCCTGTAACAGACATAATTAAAATACACATATGTGGTGCGCACATTGGAACAAAAACGGAAAAAATATTAAATTGCACATTTCGTGTTTGAAAAGTAGCGTATTTTACTGTTAAAATGACTATTCCTTTGAAAATAAAGTCGATGCTCGAATTATTTATTTTTCTATATTTTTATATTTTCTAGACTTTGTGTCTGTAGCTTATTATTTTCTATGAAATATTTTCATGCTGAAATTTCTTCATTAATTGTCTTATAACCAAATATTATCTAGATGGCGACTTTTATTGGTGTGTTAAATTTGCTTTATACCTACAATTAGCTACAACCAGAAAACTACTCCAGAGAGAGGCAAATAAATCTATAGAATGTATTGGTATTCGTAAAGCTGCCAAACTTTACCAATTTTAAGAAAGTCAAAGATTATTTTGTATCTAGTTCCACGGATCAAGAAGGCTGCAATTATTTTTTTTGTCAATATCTGTTATTATGCATGGGGAAATCAAATGTCAAAATGAATTAGATCTGACGAAAATGGAATCAAAAATACATGACACATGGTGATACATACAAATTTTATAAATTTAAAATAAAAAACATAACTTTTGTAGAGATTTACTTTTTCTGTAATGTATTGTGTCAAAGAACTGCAATAATAATAATATTTGTTTGCGAAAAACGAGACTAGGTTTTCTGATCTGCTCTCCCGATCTGGAATATTTTCGGGAATACCAACCAACTAACTACTAATTACCTTCCAGTTAAACTGCAAGATAATGCTAATGAATAGGATGAAAAATTGAGCCAGGAAAGTGTGACCGGCTTTGCACGAGGTCTAACCCTTTAAACTTTATAGCCACTCAAATTTCAAAAAAATACGGAATACGGAATATTCAACTCTGCATTACATCAAAAAGGTTTTAGATATAAATTTGTGTGACCTATTTAATATGCTTGGAGTAGCTAGATTAATTCAAAAAAGCGTTAATACAAATAATAGTTTGTCCCATATACAATTTTCAAAGACGCTGCTGCTTTTAGATAAAACTGGATACATTGATTCATTGAAAACATTTTAGATCTACTGAATAAATTCAAAAAACTAAGCAACCAAATTTTTAGAACCCTATGTTCTCTTTTCCGTAAATGTATGTCAAATTATACCCGGTATATTAAATTACCACCTCTCACCTCAATACATTATTATGTATTATGTATTATGTATGTGCGCTACATTGTACATTATACAAAGATAATTTAAAATGTTTTTGCAAAAATATTTTATGTTCTATAAGCTACCTAATTTTTTCTGACGAGTATTATTATCTCCCACTACTTTAGAAAAATGATTTAATAAAACCGAATGACCATTTGAAAAATATTTCATAAAAGTTGGCAATAGAAAAGCATGTATTTGAATGGACATTAATATATTCAACAAATATAACAAAGGCTTAGCGCCAAAGGAAGGAAGGATTTCATATATAGAGAGTTTTTTTAAATGCATCTTACTCTTTTATCTTGTTCAGGTATTGCTCTTTACGACGTTATTAAGGTTTCCTTGAACGTAACAGTTTGTTATCCTACTAATATCCGTTTTTATTGAATTATTTACAAAATACGTTAACCTGTCGCTATATAGCGAGCCCTGAATATAAAATAAAATGCTAGTGTTATCATAATTACAAATCGATTTATAGTATCATCTTTACTTAAAAATGCGTTTTTGTTACCAATCTTTAAGTGGTGCAAAACCTTTAAATTAGAATTAATCAAATACACTTACAGTGGTTCGTATCTTGCGATAGATGTTAACGACTTGTGAAGAGAAGTGAGAAGGCACTGGCTTGTTTTCCACAGACCGAAGCTCTAATATTTATATTAGTTCACATCGACGGGTGGGGTCTTTCGCAGGGGGCAAATCAGGCAATACAGTCAATTAAGTGCAATTTTGGTGGACCTCCGGTTAAGGCAAATATATTTCACGTCTTCAACCGTGAATTTCTGAGTTCGATTTTGCACGCACGTCCGATTAATTAGGTTACAGATGAATTGGACTAACGCATATTTAAATATAATACAAAATTATGGGGTGTTTGTTATTGGAGTGTTTTAACAGGAAAAATCTATTTTTAAAGTAGAGCCAAATCGATCTACATACTGGGCTTGATTTTTGAGAAATATTTAATGATAAAGGCTGCATGGCGAAGTATGGGGCGTTTTTCAAATTATGACCTTTTTAAAAGTTGATAACTTTTGAAAATATGTCAAAATGACGAAAAATGTTACATACTGTTATGCGAAAGCACAGAGGCAGGCGCAGTGACCTTTATTTGAATACGATCTAAATTAAATTTAACAGCTTATTTTTATTTAATTTTAAATTTATTATTCTATGTTCTAAATAGGAAAATTAATTATATTAAATTAATAATATTAAAACTAAAATATTAAAGAGATCTTCGATTGCGAAATTTTCATTTAGGTTATTTTAAAATCACCATTACAGCTATATGAACCGTCTACTTATACAGATGCAAAAAAAAATCATTATATCTTCTGCTTTCATCGCAGAAACCTACCGACAACCAAAAAGGGGCATAAGAAATGAGAAAGCTGTATTCATTTAACTCAAAAAAGCTCCCTAAGTTCTCTAAAGTTTTTATCCGAATCAGAAATTTTCGTAATTCAAAATGTTATAAGCTATTTCGAAAATTGTAAAAAAACGTTGCAACGAAAATGTGGTTTTGATTGTGAACACCATTTCCGAAATTTGTTGATTATTTGAATAAGATTTTGTAAAGTTTAGGGAATAAGAAAATGTGCAAAACAACATTATGTAATGTGGAATAGTGTTATTTTCCATGTATTTTTATTAACAATGCATTTTTCGAATCATTGTTTTCAATTGAAACCCTCGATATTGATTATTGATTGTCTGTTAATCGATCTCCACGTGCAAACATTTTAAAATTTAGTTAAATTTAATTGGGTGATGAGACAGAAAAAAACCGATATGGTAGAATCCTGATTTCGTTTTAGAAGGTGCGTGATTTAATAAACGACACTGTTGGTATTGCCATAAATAATAAGCAACACCCCATTTGACTTGATGAGGCGTTCCCGTGTGGATCAAGATAGGGTTCGCGTTGCAATTCGAAAGGCGGAAATATCGCATTCGGGTAAATGTCAGTCCCCTATTTCGTTTTTTTTTCTATTTGAAAGACAGCAGCGCGGTAATAAGCTACCTCCGCGCTTAATCCGTTTTTAATCTCGCGCAAATATATACCCGAGGAACTTTTGCACTTAAACTACTGGACACTCGAAACAGGTGAACAAAAATTATGGACCATTTTCCATATCTGTAAAACTGAAAGACTATATTACGCAATAAGTTTGATAGGTAAACGCCGCTACAGTCACGAGTTTGATTTGGAACGATAAACGAGTGTCTGAAAAAGTTTATCAACGTATTCCACATGGTTTTTCTAAAACCACTAGATTTTGGGTATATTTTTGCAAAACAGCACGGCACTTATCGAGAAATCTGTCTACGGCAGTATCTAATTTTGTTTCACTCTCAGAGTAGCCATTTCAAGTGATTACAATGTAATATATGTTATTTTGTATGCAAAAGTAAGAAAGTTTAATATTATATCTTCAATTAAATTTATTACGCTCGGACTTTGTTCACAAATTTTCTATGGGGTTGAATATACAATGATATGGAAAACGTAAAAATATCATTTTGTGACAAATATTCTTCAATTTCAGTTTTTGTACTTGATGAATTTGGTGCTTTTTGTAGTAGGCGGCTGTGATGGCTTGCATTTTCCGTTACAATGCCACTGTTATCCTAAATATTTTTTAAAAGATAATTTTGAAACCAGTTTTAAAAAATTCTGCAATTCATGATAATCCAAGTTAGAGTCCTAAATATTCTTTGTAGACAACAGCAAGCAGTTTGATTGAATTATGAAGATGCATCTTCCTTTTCCTTTTCCTTTCCTTTATTTGAAGGTGCTTTCGGCTGCCAGTTTTTAGTGAAATCAACCTATCCTTTGTGTTGTGCAAATTAGTTAGTAAATTATGCATCTGTTTTATCATCTGTACTTTTTAATTTCCTGTAATACTCTAGTTTCATCTTCTTCTAGATCTTCCTTTTTAGTTTCTGGTTTTGATAAATTTAATATATATTTTCCTTATCATATTTTGTTCAATAGTGTCCATATGGTGAGATTGAAAATCACTACGTTTTTTTTCCATTGAATGAGGCAGGCAGGTGTCTTTTAAAGCTTCTTGTTAAACATTCCTACACTTTTTTCATAATTTGTTCTGTATCTAATGGCAAGAAGAATTAGTTGAGTTGAAAAAACCAATGGGACGATTTTCGAAACGTCAGCAAGAAGGTTTGTGAATAGTTTTAGTGGAAGAACACTGCGACTGACATCAACCGACACGTGCTCGACTTTTGGAGGATGATCGGCCAAAAAAGTCAAGACGATATATATTGAGACACATTTACTGGTAACTAAACGGTTGTTGTTACCTATAGAGGTGGGTGGTGCAAGGCAGCCCCCTTGTTGCAAGGAGGCCCACCTCAAAAATAAACCAAAATTTTTTTTCGTTATTATAATTATAAATTATGGTCATTTCTATATTTTCAGCCCTATGCGTAATACTAGGGGTAAACTGGACCGCTCAAAAATTCAAAAAAGCTATTAGGGTTATTTTTTGGATAATTCTATGGATTAACCCTAAAGCCAGAGCTTTGAAAATTCTTATAAATGCCAATAACAAAAATTTTTTGATCCAAAGAAAAGTAGTTACTAATCAGAAACGTTTTATGTTATTAAATACTTTTTAATAAATAATTATGATTATTATACATAATATTATAAATATGGGAGAGTGAGGCACGAGGGCCAGAAGCTTCGCCAAAATTTGGATAAATTTAGCTAAAGTTAGTCAAAAATAAATCGAATTGATGATTAAAA